ACGTCTCACCGGCGATATCCTTGAAGCAGTCGACATTGTAGGCTATACCTGTTGTTGCACCAACCACAATGCCAAAATTCAAAAAGGCGAGCGCAAACATGAGCCCCATAAAGTGGACCTGTTTAACAAGACCAGAAGGCCATTGATCAGCTTTTATTTGACCGAGATAGAGCTTTCACACATACCTGGTGAGCAGCTCCAACCCCCCATAGGATTAAGCCACCACCTGAAATGAAAGCAGAGGGCACGAGAATCCAGAGCCGTTGCTCTGGCTCCCGAATTCCTTTGTTGCGTGTTGCCAGCCAGATGGTCAATTTGTCTGCCCCCCAGCCCGAGTAAACCCAGCCCACAAGAGAGCCAATGATGCCTGTTGGTCGTGTTAAAGTCTCATTCTGACGAGCCGTAGGTGAGTCTGAGTCAACTTACCACAGAGGTAGGACAGCCCAACCATATCGGCACCCCATCCATACCCTGGTCCTCCCAGTACGAAGCCGACCGTGGCATTGCCGACCTGATACAAACAAAGAGATGCACCATAGAGAAAGCCTGCCCAGACGACATTAGGGAAGAGAAAAAAGATCTGTAAAGGTCGATACATCATGACAAATGTTTGCTTGACCGTTGGTCGGTTGGGCAAGAGCCGGAAGAGGTGCAACTTTTGAAGGTATGTACGAGACTCCGAAGCAATACCTACGCCAGGAGTCACCGGGTCTTGTCTTAATTCTGAAGCAGACTTTTCATTCTCCTCGTTGTGACCAATCTTATGTGCAGCCACTGAGTCCGCAGGATCTTCGCTGGCCCCTTCGATGGTAGAGCGAAAGTAGAGGGTCTCTTCCATGCCAAAGAAGATGATGACAGTGGTCACAGAAACGACAATAGTGCCGAACCAAATGGCAGCCTTCCATTCCATGTGCTGGGTGATGAAGCCGGCCAACAAAGGAGCCAGGGCGTTGGAGCCAAATAAAGCAAAGGAGTAGAAACCCATATAGTTGCCACGTTCGTGCGCAAATAAGAGGTCGGGAACAGAGACTTCAGGCAGAGATTCTACAGGGGCAACAACGAGGCCAATCAAAATTCGATGTGCCCACCAAGCACCTTTGGATGTGGTGTAGGCAGTCCAGACCATAGGTCCGATACATAGCAGGCTGGAGAGCAGGTAAACACCGCGCCTGCCATAGGAGAGTGCAATTGGCTGCCAGAGAAGACATCCCCATCTGTTCCATATAGTCAGCAGTTTGAACTACGTAGGAGGAGGAGGAGGAGCAACAAACCCAGCGAAAAGAAACATGAGACCGGTGCCGGTATTGAGGTCTGCCAAAGGAATGCCAGTGTCTTCTGAGATATTTGTCAAGATGGAATACTGGACCGTGGTTGCAATGCCGATACCAAAGACATAGATGTAGACCATGGCGATGTTCCAGAGCTTGCGAGGTCTTGACCAATTGAGGGGGTCTTCGGGGTCGGCGCTTGGTGTCGGGTTGAGCACAATGGTTTCATCGCGTCCAGCATGTCCGGAGTCGGTGTTGACCAAGTGGATGGTTCCAGGAATGATGTCTGGCTGATGGTGAAGCATGGTCACCAAGAGTTTAGAGAGCTGGCAAAGGAGGTTGTTGTGGTGGTGCTCGAGGAGGTGATGCTGATGCTGATGCAGCCGTTGACAGGAAAAGGATATTATTTGTACCTCTGATATATGCTTGATACCAACCCTTTGATCATCCTTGTGCGGCAACTTGATAGCCACGCATCTCTATCACGTCGACGCTTCGTCCTTGGGAGTCTTGATAAGATCATCTTGGCCAGGAGATGCAGCTCCTATTCAGACACATGTTGGAACTAATCCAGCCCGCACGGGGTATTGAAGATCAATCTGGAAGAATTGCCCAATTTGGATAGCAAAGTCTATCACAGATGCACCCAATCGCGTCAGATAAAGATATCCTGCCGCGCCAGCCTCGGATCTTTACCGAGAAGTTCTGGTCGAGGACACCAACGTTCTCATTCAATTTGCCTATTCGGGTAATTCGAGCTTGGCTAGACTTCAGTTGTTAGCCTTGCAGGGATTGTTGTGGGGATGACCCGTGCGTTCACTCCATTGCCGAAAACGGGGCTGCTTGTGGAGAGAAAGATTCTCGAGATTATCAGGTCGATGGGACGGATTGCCTGGGGATGGAGGTCAAATGAACCCTGAACCATCTCTTGCCCGAGGGGTTGCCTGTATGCTCCACCAGGAGGAGTGAAAGACTTGTGTCCATATGTTGTTCTCCGAAAGTCATGACACTTGGAATCAGACGACTTGCTGGTTTGAGAAGCTCGGTGTAGTATAAGTCTTTGAGTACGCCGCTGGAATTTCCCACAAGTCTAGCATCATTAAAGCTCATTCCAATTCACCCCAGAAGCGAGATGAGCATCGTCGACACGCTCTCGGACTCTGATACAAGTCGATATGACTATGTCATCGTCGGTGGTGGCACGGCCGGATGTGTGATCGCGAGTCGTCTTTCTGGCTACTTGCCAAACAAAACAATCCTACTAATTGAGGCTGGTCCTAGCGATGTGGGAGATCATCGTGCCTTAGTGCTCAAGGATCGCAACGACATGCTGGGAACTGATCTGGATTTCGGGTACACAACAGTAGAGCAAGTCAAAGGTGAGTCGTTCAGCGAATGGAGATGGCCCGAGAGACTGGGGCGCTGAGACACACGTGCTAACCAGAATAACGACATAGGTAACAGCCACATCAGGCACTCGAGAGCAAAGATCCTGGGAGGATGTTCAAGCCACAACGATATGGTGTCGTTGCGGACGCCCGAGTATGACACATATACGTGGGAGAAGCTGGGATGTAAAGGCTGGTCGTTTGAGGTTTTCCAGCGACTGCAAGACCAGCTACGTCTTAGCACATATCCAGCAGCACATCCTCGGGACCGTAATGAACTGAACAAGGACTGGATCAAGTCGGCAAATCGCGCCCTGGGTTTGCCATTCTCGCCGGACTTCAATGGGGCCATAGCTTCCGCGACAGGTCTAAGTGATGGAGTAGGATGGACACCGTTGTCGTACAATCCGGACAACGGCTGGCGAAGTAGTGCAAGTGTGGCTTACATCCATCCCATCCTTCGAGGAGAGGAAAAACGACCAAATTTGACTATACTGACTAATGCATGGGTCTCTCGCATCAACACACGAGGCGAGGTAGCAACCAGTGTAGATGTTGCAACCAAGAATGGATCCAAGTACCAGATCAACGCGAGAAACGAAATCGTTCTTTGTGCAGGAGCCATTGACACGCCAAGGCTCATGCTGCTCTCAGGGCTGGGAGGCCGTGAGCATCTCGAATCGGTGAATATTCCAGTGGTGGCCGATATTCCTGGAGTTGGGGAGAATCTTCAAGATCACCCTTGTAGCGTGGTGGTGTACGAGCTGCACGATCCGGTGCCATCGCAGACGGCTACACATTCAGACGCTTTGATGTTCTTCCGGCAGAAGCCATTCAATTGGGCTGGTGATGACGGCAAGATACCGGATACGCTGATTCACCTGTGGCAGCTGGACTTTTGCGACGATACGACAAGAATAGGATATGAGCGGCCAAAGAACCCGTTCTGCATGCTACCGGTGTGTCTGCGGACACAGACTCGAGGACGGGTTTATCTGAAGTCCAACAATGCTCAAGAGCTGCCAGCGCTTGACTTCAAGTACTTTGAAGATGAACATGGGTACGACGCAGAGATTTTGGTGGGAGGAATCAAGGCCGCGAGGAAAATGGCCGAGTCGGAGCCGCTTAAGAACTGGATCCTGCGGGAAGTGGCTCCAGGACCTGGGGTGACTTCAGATGACGATCTGGACGAGTACGCACGAAAGGTGGGACACACCATTTACCACCCAGCGTGCACAGCCAAGATGGGAGATGTTGAAAATGATGCCATGGCAGTGGTTGATCCTCAGCTCAAGGTGCGAGGGTTCAAGAACCTGCGTATTGCAGATGCCAGTGTCTTTCCGACGATGATCACGGTGAACTTGATGCTAACTGTGCTGGCGGTTGGAGAGCGAGCTGCGGAACTGATCGCTGAAGAAGCTGGATGGACTGGGTTGAAGTCGAAGATGTAGAAGGAAGACTGGTGAAGGCCGGTAGAGGAGTTGAGACTTGAGTCATGGCATAGCGATCGATAGGCACTATGCATAGCTGTGACATTGTCGTGAGCTAGCAAAGGGCGGTCGATAGGCAGGACAGTACCGATGGATGATGCATCACAGCAGACAAAGACCAGGGTTCAAAAGTGCTGTGATGTTGGATTCAAGGAGATGAGCAAAGAGCAAAAAGCAGCAACGCAGCAACGCAACGACAAGTCACAGAATCTTGTCCAAAGCACACGTGACAGCCTATACAAGGGAAGGAGCGATGGGATGGACTTACTTGATGCGGAGGCAGGAGCGAAGGAGGACTGTGTAGTCGAGGAAAGGAAGCAAGGGCGTGTTGTTACGAAGTCAAGTACTTCATCTACTCGGTATATCTCTACTTTGTCTGGGGTAATAGGCCATCGTCCCAGTGGCCCCAGTATCCATCCCCTCAGGTTAATTACTTAGTCAACCTCAGGCTCTGTAGCACCCAGGATCTGGTTAGAGTTTGGTAGTATTGGCCTCGGGCAATGCCCTCGGCCAGGTCTGTGGGCTGTTGGCTGCAAGCTATTGGCAACGGCCGAGGGGCGCCCGCGGGCCCTTTCAAGAGTCGAGACGCGGCCGAGTGGCCCTAAGGCCCCCAATAAGCGATCACTACCTGGCGCACCCATCAAAACCCCCCCCCCAACCGAGGAAGCCTTGGGCAGGCAACCGCCCCGCTCCAGTTATGTTTGGAGTCTTATCATTCCTTATCAGCCGCCCTTCAAGCCCCTCAGCCCCCCTTCGCCCAATCTCCCCTTCTTCAACTTCCTCGCCCTCACAGAACCACCATCAATGCCGACCTAGGCCACGGGCTTGTTCCATTGTTCTTCACCCTATCATGATGAAACTAGTCTTTGCATCCGAGTCTACACCGACTTGAAGTGTGTGCCAATGTCCAGGCGAAAGGAAGCCGTCGACTGTTTTACTTGTTCCGCCTCGAGTCGAACTTGCGATCGAATTCGACACCGATGCAGTACATGTACTAAAGCCTCTGAGATTTGTGGAGGATATCCTCGAGATCTGCAATGGCTCACCGGTGTCAAGTCTCGTGGAAAAGAAAAAGGTCTTTGCCTAGGCCCTTCAAGTCCCAATCCGCAGTGGCATCCTACCACCCCAACCACAACGAACCAACCGTTTGTCTTCAAGCAAGGCAAACCCAGGAAGACGCGCCAGAAAAAGGCCCAAAAGCCCAGTGAACCATCTCCCCCCAGTCCAACATGTCAGAAGAATTGGTCTACATCGCCGCAAAGTGACGACTGGCAGCCCTTCACCCCAACGGTGATTGAAAAGCAGCAATCTCCTGTTACCATCGATCACATTGAATCACCGAGTTGGCCAGAGACATCAACCACCTCAGATGACCTTGTATCCAACTTGGAAAGTGGTCCAGATCCGTCTGATTCATCTACATGTCTGCCAATTGACCCAGCCGACAACGCTTATGATGTGTCTTTGATTCCCTTGGAGCCTGACCCGGGCATGGATGGTCTTGACTTGGACGTTTACGAATTGTACGACGAGTCAGAGTATCAGTACCAACCGCCCTGTCGTCCAGGTTTCCTATTGCCGTCATTGGAGTCTTCAGCACTGCTCACGTGGTGTAAGATGTCTTTCATGTCCCTCCTCACTTTCGAACCACTAACTTGAGCTCCTGCAGATAACGAAGAGCTTTGCACTCTACCCTTGACCTCAGACTTCCACGCAAATCCATTTCGTGTTAGCAGCACCCCGTCCCAAGGTCCCACCTACCTAGTCCATGCCGTCCTGGCATTGTCTATGCAACATGTCTTTCGGGTCAAGGCGGGGCTCCAGGGCGAGCATTTCGAGCAACAAGTCATCTCCTACAAGCAATCTGCCACACAGCTGTGCAACCAAGCCTTGCTTTCCGCCTTTGAAAAGGTGGACAGTTCAGTGATTGACACAATACTTATTCTCTTCGCCCACGACGTAAGCAATCTCGTTTCACTCTTTGTCGAGTTACTAAATCCTCCACAGACTTTATTTTCTGCCGCGGGACCATGGAAGGACCGCCTGTCTGGAGCCTATAATAGAATAGAAATGGTCGGCGGGCCTCTGCGCCTTGCTACTTCATCACGTCGCCTGCGGGCACAACTGGCCATGTTCGTCTGGTCAGTCTCATCCAACATCCCACGTCCTACCGTTTTTGAGCATCATCCAAAGCTAACATGTGCAATCACAGGTGGGACTGTAGTATCGCATTAGTTTCACGCTCGGAATGCGTTTTCCCTAGTACCTATTATGATTTGGTCCTTGCGAATGACAACGATTCCATGTGGAGTATCTTCACAGTCTCGGGAGTTCCTCGAGAACTATTCCAGTATTGTCGAGAACTAGCGCAGCTGGCCAGCGAGAAAGAACAAATTGCCGGGCTGCGGTATGCTAGATTCGACACAACGCGAGTCCTTGAGATCGAAAGCTGCATTCGGGGTTATACTGAGGGGGAGAGTGAATCCCCCAGCATTGCCGACAGCGAGGAACTGGTGCAGCACTGGCATGACATCTGCAACGCAGGCAATGCATGGAAGTATGCTCTCCTGCTCTACATCTCGAGAGTCTTCAAGTGGGACCGAAGCAGTGACTCACGCTTGCCCGAAATCACGTCACTCGCCAGACTGGTGTTGGATAGCGTGCGGTGCTGCCGTCCCGACTCACCGCTGCAGAAGCAACTTTTATTCCCCGTGTTTTTAGCAGGCTCAGAGTGTGTCGACAGCTATAGTCGGGAATTCGTCGAGTCCTACTGTGAGGGCTGGTACCAGAAGATCCGGTACAACATGTTCCGCGAAGGACTGAGTGTCTTGAAACAGATCTGGTCGTGCAAAGACGACGAAGCAAACCAATTCGGTGTGTGGTGGGGGCCCTTTGTTGGCACTCGTAACAGCGGCGGTCCCATGTTTTTATTTGGTTGAACCCGTGAACGAGGCCATGGCCATGAATGTGTATAAGTAACTATTGTTGGGCTCCGGTAGAGTTTGTGACGCTGTGAGATGGTTCTGGATAGGTATATAGGCGCTGAATCGTGCCAGAGGGATACCCTGGCCACCTGGCTTGTTTTTGGGATCAAGTGGGAAGCTTGTCTGTGCTTGTGAAAACTATTAAATAACCTCTGCTCAGCCGCATCTACTCGGTGTGACTGTCCACAATACTTTGTCAAGCGAGGACTCCTCAGGACTCCTCAGGACTCCTCTTTAGACCAGACTCCCATGTCAATGTTCCCTTTCGATGGCGAGGGTGTTCATGTAATCTCATGGAATTGATTGGCTGATGGCCAGCAATATCCCACCATCATATTACCCTATAGCGAGCAACCTATCTTACTACAGTAACAAGCCATCCCCACCAAAGCTTTCAGGTTGAGCAAGACTTCATCCATGGCATCAACCAGCCAGGCCCCGAAATCCATTGCCATTATCGGCGCTTCTCTCACAGGATTGATTCTCACACTCTCCTTGATCCACCATGAGCTTTACTCGCCCGAGACCATCACCGTCTTTGACTCACGACAGCGCGACACCCCAGACGCGGCCAACTCGAGTGGCGTGGTCCTTACACCCAATGGACTCCGTATCCTCGATCAGCTAGGGGTTCTTCCTCGCTTCGCCCACCTCTGCTGGTTGTCAGACTATCGCACGTACAAGAACGACCGGGGAGAAACACTGCGAAAAACTCTCATCGCCAATGAGCGTCTCTACGGATATAAGAATCATCGTGTATGGCGACGAGTCCTGCTGCAGACCCTGTTGGAGATGGTCGAGGAGAAAGGGGTGATGATTTACTGGGGGGCCAAGTTTGACCGAGTGCTAGATGAAGGAGTCCAAGGAGTCAGGTTTCTAGTCAATGGCGAGGAAATTTTGGCGGGCATGCTGATTGGCGCTGACGGCATCTATTCTAGCGTCAGGAAATACATTCATCCGCATGTCCAGCCAGAATATACGGGCGTGATGGGGGTTTTGAGCCATATTCAATGGGACGCTGTGCCGTGGCCATCACCCGACCATGAGCGAGCATGCACCATCCAGGGAAAACCTGGTGCGTTGGTGCTCATGCCCGAGGACCGAGAGGGAAGTGTGATTATGGTGGCAACACAGGCCAAGATGGAGGATAGAAGTCGAGAGGAGTGGCTAGAGATGGCCCACGACAAGGCCGGCATGGCTCGATTCTTTCAAAGAGGATATGAAGATTGGGGTCCGACTGGGCGCCATGTCATCGACGCCGTGTGTCGAAGTCCAGACACCATGTATCTGTGGCCGTTTCTACGCATGGCACGGCTGGACAGGTGGGCTTCGGAAAAGGGTCGGGTGGTGATATTGGGAGACGCCGCACATGCTCTGCCACCGAGTTCGGGCCAGGGAGTCAGTCAGACTCTTGAGGACGTGGATACCTTGTCAAGGCTTCTAAAGGCACAACCGCGGAATTTGATACGGACACTAGGATTTTGGCAGAGGCTTCGTCAGGATCGGATCGATGCCGTATTCAACTGGGCAACGAATGTGACCAATGTGCAACGAGCCCCTCAAGCAGACCGTGACCTTCTGATTCAGCAAGGCAAGGCAAAGGATGCAGACACCACTCAGGGGTTTGATGATATGGCATGGCTATATCGTTCCAATGCTGATGAGGAGATCGAACCGTGGCTCCGCGCAGATGCTTCAGACTGAGGAGGATACCAGAGAGTGATGGTGACGATTGTCATTGTTATTGTCGACTGGAAGAGATGGAAGATATTGTCATTGATTGAGGCTAGGTGGTAAGCCATTCGAATCAAGGTCTTCTTTTTCCTTGTCTTCTTTATTCTTGCCGTGCAGCTTTCGACCACTGCAGACCTTGTTACTACCGTCCCTCCCAGCCACGCATTGCCCTCGCGTGCTCGCGTCGTCACGTCGCCACGTCGTCACGTTCAGGCAGACACGTGCCCTGAGATATCAAAAATCTTCTCACCACCACAAAAATCGACCAAATTCCTGACAAAAAGTCAAAAAGATTTGAACAACCCCCCCAACCCGGATTGAAACCAGTCATTTTTTCGATCCCTCCCAGGAGGGAACTACATTACCTGGGATTTACGAGATAGAAGGAAGACCTGTCGTAATTGTGGTTACGACCAGCCAACTATCCTGACATGGCCCCCCTCCAGACCACTCGACCAAGCACCCGTCTTCGAAGTAGACAGGTCTTGCAGTGTAACACTTCTCGTGGTGCTGGTCTTGGGAAGAATTCTGCCATTGTAAAATATATGTCGTCCTTGTTATTTTTGTCACGGGACTTGCGAGTTGCAGTGACTGTCCTGGGTGAGGTGTAAAAGGGGAGCGCTCAATAGGAGGCTGGACAAGGCAGAGATATGGCTGGCTCAGCCTTTCCATCGTTTCTCGTTTCGAGTTTCGAGTTTCTTCACAGCTCTTTCTCTTGTAGTCGCTCAGAAGAACTTTCGCCATTGACTCGACGATAATCTTTGTGCACTGCTATTGGAGCTCGAGGCATGCGCCGTCATGGATGAATCTGCCGTTCCACCCCCTCCACTCTGAGGCATGGCCATGTTCATTTCAGACTGTTGCTGAGCCATGGATTCCGGCCACGCATACGGCGCCGGCAGCTGGTTGGCAGTCACACTTTCGCTCGGCGACGGGTGCTGTGCCTGAGGTGACGTCTGCATACTGGAATATCCTGTTGATTCAGACGACTGGCCAGATGCCCAGCTAACCATGGAAGGGCGAGGGGGTGGAGGCATCATCAACATGGTGGTTTCGGTCATCGATCCATCGTTTGAACCACTCGGTGATCGATATGATCCTCCCTGAGAATGATGTGAGCCTTCGCCGGCCAGGTAAGGAAATCGTCGGGCATTGCTGCTTCCGCTAGGACCACCAATCCCGGCAAAGAAAGCCATTGCCGCGACCGACTGTGGACTGTGGATGTTGTTCAACCGCTGCAGCAAGGCCTCACCCGGGGGCCCAGCCATGGCAAGCCGATCCTTCCACCATTCGAAGTGATGCTCTCTGGAAATCAAGGGTAAAGTCTCCCACTCCGCCACCTTGTCCGTTTTGGACTGGTTGGCACTGTGTTTGGTCAAGGATTTGTTGATCTTGAGGTTGGCCTGTTGCTCTCGCGCCACAAGGTCATCTTCACTGGTGGGGTCTTCATGCGACGACACATGCATCAGGTGAAGGTCTTTCAGCGCATCGAACAAGGCTAGCTCCGTCTCTAGCAATCGACGTTCAAGCGCGGCGATATATCCTGGAGGAAATCCCCTGAAGAACAATCAGCACCACAACGGCCAGGCCTTCGACGAGAAGGTATTGATGTTCGCCAGACTCACCTCTTGTTACTCTCGGGGTAGTTGCATTGAATGCCACCAGAAATACACTGGCTGCACACCGGCAAACGGCGATCGCACTGCAATGAAGATGTATCAGAAGATGAGACGAGATAGGACAGGGTTTCCTTGTCGCGAGGATGATTCAACGACAATGCTCGACGTACCCGACATTTCTTGGTTCGACAAGACTCACATGCCACCACGTTTATATCTGCGAGGGCATCACGTGGTCAGCAGGCGTTGCAGCGTTAAAAGAGGGTCAGCAGATTGATTCCATCATGTTTCCCTGTCGCATCCACACCAAGGGTACGACGACACAAGGACAAGAAAGTCGCCAGGGAGATTGGGACCATCTGGCAATGCTTCAACGAGGATGTAATGTCCACTCACCAGCGACCGCATGTGATGCAGCCATGAGACCGTGGACCAAAGTCCATTCTCCAGAGCCGGATCGCGAGGGTGGCAGGATGGGAATGTCTGGCTTGACCTTGTCCGTTCGACCTCGAGGACAGGAAAGAAACACTGGCCAACGGGCGTCAGGATGGAAATATTGCCAGGTGGCCAAGGGATGGCCGAGAGGAACCCCGCAATAAGCTTTGCCCGGGCACCCAAGTCGTTCTGGCGTGCTTCTTTGCAGGATTCCAGGCGGGGTCAAGGGTCAAAGTCTGAAGGGCCAAGGAGTGGCTAGAGGAGTACACCGTTGAAGGCAGCTTTCCGTCCTCCGAGTGCTTCTTGGGTGTCACAGAGGAAGAAGAATGGTACCTTGATGCTAACAGAGAAGCGAGGTCGGGGATTGCAAGTTCGAACCCTCCAGCTTCGACAACAACAGGACTGGACTGGACTGGACTGGACTGCAAATTGAGGGGAGAATTTACTTGTGAATCTCTGTCTCTTCCCAATACAATCGACAACAGATCAGGAGAGGAATGGAAGGATTCTAGAAGCTTTCTAGAAGCCATGTTCTACTACGACTTATAAGAGGTCAGAGCTAAACGCGGCTGGCCATCGCGAACAATTGCTGCATGAGCAAGGATACTCCTCAAGCAAAACATGGCGGCACTAGAAAACTCCAGGTCCTGGGAAAATTCGTCCGTCTTCCTGATTCTCCCGAGCCGTCAACACTGGATTACATACGCCGCCCGCGTTCTACACCTCCTTCACCACCTTCACACCCTTCTGCTTCTGACGTTGTTACATCCGACTCATCATCTAAGAAGATATTCCGGGTGTCTCTGGTCTGGCTTGGTTCGAGCAAAACCTCAGCGAGACCAATAGCACACCGAATTATATCTCGCCACAAGCTTCACCTCGTAAATCTATCGGTACTTGTTTCTCGGGGCTTGATGAGACAATCACGATCTGAAGCGTCCAGAACTCAAAAACAGCTGGTCAGCAAAGTTTGACATTGTCTTCTGAATGAACGCCTATCAACTCCGCGGGTGGACCCCTTTTCATCTGGCCTGGTCCTGCCCTAGTTACTCATGATCAACAGTCAATGCTCCGAGTAGGACACTCGAAGTGCAGTCATCATAGCCTTCCCAGACCCTTTTGTTCGTCCTCAATCGTAACATGGCTCAATACAATTTGTCCGCCATCAGGCACTTTCCTCCACATGTCGAAGGACAGGGTACAATTGCTCATGATCCGACTTGTCCTTGTGGTCATCCGTTCCCGTCATATCAGTGTCGTCTCCATCAGCCTTGGCCGTGACCTCCTTCTGGTCCTCGTCATCGTAGTCCTCGCGTTCGAGCTTCTTCTTGATAAAGTCTCTCATCCACTCGATCAGGCGCATATTCTCCACCCAGATTTGCTGAGAATCGGGCTCCTTGGACTCGCTCTTGGGTGTGCTCGCATCGCCACTGAGAGCAGGGTCGATCAAACTATCCTCCATTGAGGCCTTGCCCTTACCCTTGGCCTCCTTGTTCATCGCCGATGCGGGCGGGGTCAGAGAACCATCGCTAGCGACGTCCATGGCGTCCCGATCTTTGGCAGGTGCCGCACGCTGAAGCATGCCACCGCTGTAGCGGCGACGATGGTCTTCGCTATCGTACATGCCACTGAGCGTAGCAGCATTAGCAGCCGCATATGCGATGTCCCCGGTCGAAGATGGCAAAGTTGGATACATGGCGCTGCTGCTGGGGGCGGCATGGTTTTGCAGTGGCGATTGGCCAGACGTGTAGCTTTGAGCCGAAGAAGGCGGTGTCAAACCTGGAGTGCTGGCATCGGTGGCGCTAGCGATACTGCCCTGGTGTTGATGTTGTAGCATGGATGAGGGCGTGCTATGAGAAGCGGCAGACGCGAGGTGGTGGCTAGGTGGGCTGTTGCTGGTACGATATGCCACATAGCTGGCTCCTGGTTGAGCCACACCGGCTTGGGCAAGTTGGGTGTCGTTCTCATAGATGGTAGCTTGCATTTGCTCCAGAATCTGATCGATTGAAGTAAGGTCGCCACGAGTCTTTGCATTGCCCATAGGTGGCAGGCTGTAGGCCTGGATAGGGTCGGCGTTGTCGTAACTTCCTCCCACGGAAACGGGTTGGTAAGCAGGGACCGAAACCGCCGATGGGATGATCTGAGGCAGCTGAAGGCCTTGAAGTTCAAAGAGGCGGCGGCTGACATTGTGGAAGTTGACGGGATCAAGTTCTCTACGCTTGACCTGACCGAAGAAATGATCGAGCGCGTCATAACCACGCTTGCGAGTCTCAAAATCATACGTGTTCTGAGGAGCGGTGCTGTAGTAAGTCACTGGACCGTAACCAGGATGTTGTCCTGGCTGTAACAGGTGTTAGCAGAATCAATCAACTGGCTGCTGGTCGGGCTTACCTGAGGATGTGGCTGATAATATTGGTTGGGATGATGCTGGCCAGCATAGTCCGGAGGACCACCCAGGGCCGGAGCATAGTAACTCGGAGGGACTTGTCCAGTCAGACCGTGACCATAGTATGAGGCGTTGTAGTCACCTTGAGGAAGGCCATTCTGAGGTTGACGCTGTCCTCCATTAGGTTCTAGGTTGGGGGAGCGCATGATGACGCTGTCATCAGCATGGGTCTTGACATGTTTTTTCAGATCCTGGGGTCGCTTGAAGGACTTGCCACAGAATTCGCACTTGTGAGGCTTCAGAGGCACGTGAACGCGGATGTGAGAGGTGATGTGGTCACGCTTGACGGTGGTGGTGCGGCACTGGCCCCAGGCGCAGGTCAGGTTGAGGTTGTTGGTAGACTTGCGGCCGACATGGCGCTCGCAGACATGTTCCTAGCCACGGTCAGAACAGGCAACGCACAACAGGGGCGCGAAGAGACTCACATAAAGGGCTTCTGGAGAGGTGCAACGCTCACTGCAACCCTGCCACTGGCACTGCAAGTTCTCGCCTGCAGAATTGACACTGGGAGCGGCGGCGGCAGGTTGAGGGACCGCAGCCTGCTGAGGCAGTTGTCCTTGTTGTTGGACAACATCCTGAGGTGCTGGAGGGTTGGCTACGGCGGCGGCGGCGGCGGCGGCCGTGCTGGTGCTGGCTTCGGCGAGGTCAGACATTTTTGGACCCAAGGAAGATGCCAAGCCAAGAGTCGAGAGGGAGAGCTGGCAAGAGCCAAGATATCTGGGATTCGATGACTTGGCGACAAATAGATCTACTGGAAGAGCGACGAGACGGCGCAATGGAAAAGAGTCAACCAGGGATGACTCTTACGACGATTGATCTCGGGTGGGAGGGAGGATGCAAGTTGAGTGAGTTGTCGCCTCGAAAATTAGTGGCGGGGTGACAAACAAGTAGGCGACTGAGTGCAGGAGCTCGAGTGCTGCAGCAGGCCGAATAATGCGCGACTTTGTCGTTTCTGAGACGAAGCCAGCAGCAAGTTGAGACTAATTAATCTCTTACACGTACAGTGACTGGGTCCAGTACGTGTGGGTAGAGAAAGAGTGAAGATGGCAAAAGGTTAGGAAGAAGTTGGAAATGCCAAAGTTGGGAAGGGGAGGGTAGAAAAGAGGTTGGAGGGGAGCGGCAAGCCCGAGTGACGGTATATTAAACTAGACTAAAAGCACTGGACAATCTGTTTGGAGCGATCGCTGGGGACTAGGCACCGAGGTTGACCATCAGGTCGGAAATGATGGGATAATAGGATAGGCGCGGGAAGAAGAAGGGGAGGGGGGGGCACTTGGGGGACCAGGTGAACACTACGGAGTACTACACTTACTCGGTCGGCCTGGGACAGGGACCAAACATGGTTGGACATATCTGATGGAATTCGACAGGGAGACAAGAAGAAGCACGGAAGGGATTCACGGGAGGCCGTCCTCGTCCTAGGCGGGCAGAAACAGTTCCAGGCGAGGGAGGCAAAGGCAAAAAAAGCCAAAGCCGAAATGGTCAGAGTCAGTGTCACGTCTGGCCAAGTCTCTTCCTCGTCAGCGGGCTGGGCGCCCAGACCTGATTGGCGCCAAGGTGTGTGCCAAGACACTATGGTAAGGAAGGAAGTCAGGTCACTGTAACTAAAAGGTGGGGCATCTGCTTTTGCGGTTTAGATTACAGAGCATCACTTGATTTGGTCTGGATGCACGATACGAGTTTTAATCAAAAATTCTATCGATCGTGTCCTGCGCTCTTTTCTTTCGGCTACATTGGATGATTCCAAGGCTCTGTTGGTTTGCTTGAATTGACTGGTTGCCAAGGAGCGACTGGGACAAGCTGGGCATGCTGGGTCGGAGGGAAATCAGCCAAGCACGCCCAGACAGGCTGGTCAAGGTCGAGTTGCGGAATGTCTTGACTTCTTGGACTGGTCTTGGGAGCGGGATGCCCAGATTACTCCCTGAGATTGAGAGGAGCAATGACACCAGTGGACATCTAAGCCTCATTGGGTCAAGGTAAAGATGGAGGCGCAGCTGGTTTGATGCACGTTTCGAGGCAACATCTGAGGGTGGCAATAATTCTCGAAGATGGAGGTGATGCAGGGAGACACGACAGTTGAAGTTGTAGGACTAAGGAATACGGAGGACTGCTGGAAACTGCCACGGTATCTACCCACCTACCATCGCCCTTTCCTCGGAAATTCTGGCACAATTATGATTATTATTGGGAAGGAAGTGGGTCTTGGCGCTTTCGGACCCGAATGAGCATGACCTCATCTCCCATCTCCTGCCCCTTGAGTCTGTGCGGCCCCCTCTCACCTCTCTGCTTTTCTTGTCTCTCCTCTCACGTATCCTCTGACCCGTCGTCTGGCTTTAAAGCAATCTTGACTTCCCCGCTTATCATCTCGTGGCAAAGTGGCCGATTTGGAGCACCGCTCACGCCATTCGAGTTTACATGCGTGGTGATCTTCTTCGAAGCGGGTTCTTTATTTTTACATTGTAGGGAAATAGTACGTTATGCAGGTGATAACTGGTCACTTATTAACCTACTGGGATGTGTGTACACAAACCTTGTACCTCATCAGACCACACGATTTCCTATCTTGACACTGCTACGCGAAGAAAGCTGTTCCAGTGTCATTTATGCCGTGTTGCTACCATGTCGGCTGTTACGAAGTCTATACTCTGTAGCTCCATGCAAAAAGAAGGTGCATTGAGCAGATTCCCAGAAACTCATTCTTGCTTAAGCGACTCCACAAGCGTTGACATTGTGCGGGCGATGATGCAACAAGGTTCATCTGAACCAACCTCTTTGGGAGTCAAGGTCCGATAAGATGGAATCCACGTGGATCAACAAGCTCCCCACGCACACCTTGGTCGACAGTGGCTCCGTCACTCCTGGCAGCGCTCGTTGTACGGAGTAGGTGAACGTCAACGTTGATGTGGTGATCTTCCAACATCACCCAGATACATCGTTGTCCCGCGAAATAAACTCGTCTCGAGATCCTTGTCTTGATCAACCTCTTATAGGCCAGGGCTGGCGAAACTCTTGATCTTTGGTATGTACGGAGTACATACGGAGTAATACTACTCACAAACACTTCCCCGGTGATCGACATAGACCTCCCCTTTCGATACCACTCCTTCGTATCCCTGTTATGAATTTTAAGTGGTGTTGAGGCAGTGCTGTTATGCGACCCAATGACCTGATTATCGCTCGTTTGTCATGTAGATACTTGCACATCCTGCGTAGCCACAGAGCTCATCAGACAACCCACACCCGGTAAGGGGCCCCCCGTCAGCGTTCCAAGACATTTCCAAGAGTGGTGCCATCCGTCTCCAGATTTCCTCCCAAATGCCGAGCTTCTTGAGCAATTCACGCCCAACGCCAAGTCCCGGTGAGCGCCAATTTTCTTGGGAGGCGGAAATGCCTTGGAATTGTGCCATGACTTTCCAAGTTTGGGGGAATGGGATCAAGTCACGGACCCAAGACTCTGCAGTCTTTCCCTTTGAGCGGAAATATTGGCATTGTCGCATCAAGGCATCATGGCATATCTGCTTACTTGACGCCTCTGGTGACAATCACCTGTTGTATCTGTCTAGATGATTGCTAACGCTCTTTTTTTCCCGCTTTCTTCTCGAGTAATATTCACCTTCACTCATCACTCTTTCCATTAACATGCCGATCATATCGTCGTGCAATGCAAAGGTCTGATTGTTCGCGTCTAATTCGAGTCACGACTGCTTAACATCATCACCCTTATACATCTACATAGGTAGTAGCGATATTAGAATATCGGTAAAATGGCATATCCAAAAGGCAAAAGGCAAGAAATTGCAAGAATTGACTCGCCGTTGTGCCTCCACACGTGACTCACATAAGATCTTCATCCATTCTTCAGCACTGACAGGCCTATGGCTTTTGACATTGCAATATTGACACTGAGTAGCCCAACTGCACTGCCTTGAGAAATTTCTAAACATGTTGTAGATGTACAAAGCCCCTGCCTGCTGCTGAGACCCAACCCATCCATAACCTCTAACACTACCGCAACTTTATCATTCCCGTTATTCGTCATATAAGATCTGCGTCTATGGACCCAATCCCTTGCGCATCATGTACACAAAATTTCAATTCCCTTCTGCCGACGCTCAAGGCCCGTTTTGGTCGCCTATTAATGCCCTGTTCTGTAGACTTGCATCTTTGGGGGTCGTATACACCACACCACCTTCTCTGTTTCTCCAAACATAGAGAACAAGAATCTGAAGTGGGACAAACCACTCAATGAAGAGACCATAGATCGTTTTTTCTTTCCACCTTTATACTCCTGGTGGTGTGACACGCTGTCACTGCGGATTCGTGGCATATGTTTGCTCCCAAGAAGGCATCCAAGGATCCGAAGTAAACATGTCATTAATGCCGCCGCCGTTGTTATTGATCCCATTGGTGTCCTCCATCGGTTGGTAACCCGACTTGAGGCCTCCCACGTCTCCCTTGTGGAGACTTCCCCAATATTGGTCGTCTGTTGAAGCTGTATCCAGATTCTCCCCGTTTAGATCCCCCATGCCCATTGGGACATGGCCCTGAACTTGCCCTTGCCCCTGGCCTTGTCCGTGTCCATGGCCTTGACCCTGCCAGACCCCAAAATGTCCCGCTTCAGTCCCAATGGCATTCTGCATTAGAACGTCCGTGAGTGGTGTTCCAAACTGGCCGCCTGGGCCGCCATAAGGATTCGTTAGGATGGATGGCTCGTTGAGCGCTTGATGATAGGAGAGCTCAAAATTAGGCGCTGAGGTTGGTAGTGGTTGCATGCTGCTCTGGCTACCCGATTGAGGCGTGTCGTACATACTGTGTTCACTCGTGCCCCCATAACTATCCATGCCTTGGTCCTGGAAAGCATACTGCCCATCTCCAGACTCGAGGGTACTGATTGGTTGATTTGGATATGCAAACGGGTTGTCGCTGGGAAACATGACATTTTTCAGATCTGGAAGCTGAGCGTTTCCCATTTGAGGGGTAAAGTCAAAGGACGCGGACATGGGAGACGCGGCTGATGGGCTGGCAAGTCCGACGATCTGAGGGACATGGCCCGACGCTTCTCCGAAATTTGTAAAGATATTGGAATCTGGCATCGAATTACGTTTCGCCAGCTTAGCCAAAAAGTCGGATGGGAAAGTTCTGGCACGGAGGGGTGTGCCCATATTTTCGCGCAGACTGGTTGGGGTGGGGATGTTCTGTGGTGTGGTGTGTGTGTCGTCAGCGGTTGGGGTTGGGGGAGGCCGTTTGCGAGACGTGCTTGGTGTTGGTTTCAGGGAACTTCTCTTCTCTTTGAGTTTTTCCGGTAGGACATCGAAAAGACCCTATGCCATGTTAGCAGGCTGCGATAAAGCTGGCTGGGGTGGACCTACAACGAGGCTGGCAGTACATCGATCGGCTGCCATGCTACGTTTGGCCAAGCTGGCCAAAGTGTCTCTTCCTTCCACAGCATCTTTGAGGATGTCTTGCCCGGTTGGGCTGTTGGGGTTTTCGATGACAAAAAAGACGAGAGATAGAATGGCAAAGTAGGTGGTGTACATGACGAACCAATAGGAGCCTACGAGCAATCCCCGTCGTTTCATTTCGCTCGTGATGTGGACTATGTTTCTGGCGACACTAATGCAAGCAGCGGCGCAGGCAAAACTCCGCTTGTCGACGTTTTTCGACTGACATGATGCTGAAACGTAGTGAATAAAAGGTCGGTATATCATCATCTGGACATGGGCATATGATATGCGTAGAAGTTGTTGCACCCTATATTCGTTAGCTGTCTGGTTAGAAGGCATGATTTCAGTAGCACAAACCTCGATAAATCTTTGCTGGCGTTCTCGGAGGGGCGTAGCTCCATAGGTAATTCGTCCATCCAGGCCTGAAGCTCTCGCTCAAGCTCTCGAATTCGTTTGTGGCTAATACTATAACGTTTGTCGGGGGATGTTCCTGTGATTTCCTTCAAGGGGTAGATGTACTGCACAACCCTGCGGAGGGTGTTGGTTAGCTTGGTGTGTGCATTTGTGGCCTTGAGCAGAGGAAATGAACCCGCGGGCATTGGTCGAATGCCTTCACTGGTGATGTAGTCGTCATCCACCTCAGTGGGATATTCTTGGTCGATGTCGTCGTCGCTCAACATCTGAGGGAGACCGAGTACAGCACCAACGTACGAATCCATCTTTCGCACCAGCCAGAACATCCTCTTTCTTTCTTCTGCCTCGATTGGATTAAATTTGTTGGGAATATGGCGATGCAGGCCCAAACGACAACAGGCCCGCATTGCGATTCCAATATAAGCATAACAGGTGGGTAGCTTGGCAGAGGACTGGAGAAAAAGGATCATGAAGAGGACAGCTTGTAATGACATTAAATCGCGACAATCGGTTATGTCGAGCATTTGTTTGGCAGTGTTGAAGAATTGATATCTAGCGGACACGATTAATGCATGATTGAGAGGAGTGGGAATGGATTGGTTATGCATACCCCTGCTCCATGGCTTCTTTATAACCCTTTATATCGAGCATGGTCTGGGCATTCTCAGTCTTGGAGAACATGCAACCTACAGCCATGACGACGTATAAGAGAGGTAAGAACTGGACATGGGTGTTGTTGAAATGTTCGGGTTCTGTATCATAGACTGCGTGTAGGCGCTTGAAGAATGTGGGTCGATGAATTGGACGCATCAATGCACAGCAGTCGTCGATGGTGTTGCGACACAATTCGACAGCCACCTCACGGGGTGGCAGATCAACTGGTGCAGGGAGGCCGAACTCGTAGGGCGAAGAATGAGCGGATCGAGGAGACTCGAGGACGTGGGAGATGGCACGATTCTTGGCCGTCGCGGCTTTGTCGGTGTCGGGCAAATATTCGTCTCCGAACTGAGCTCTGAACTTGCGCATAAAGACATAGCCAGATGAGTGGCCGCGATAATCCCAATTGCCTGAGTCGTCGAGGTTTAGAGCACCAGTGCGATCGATCATAGACTGGATCTGAGCATCATCTTCGGGCTTGGCGGGTTCGGGCAGTTTTGCGGGTGGAGCTGCGGCCTTGGAGGCCTCGACGAGTTGATCGACTGAATGGGCATCAAATTTGGGATCGTCAAGGTCAACGCCAGGGAGGACAGATCGCAAAACAGCCTCAGCCTTGTGCAATCGCTGCTCCAGTGCTTCAATGTACTGGGGCGCGGGATTTCTTCGGCGATTTGAAGGTTGATCGTAGGTGCACTCTGCGCATCAAGATTAGCAAAGAGTGGGAACGAAGGTCCAAGGGGTTTGACGAGCTTACCGTAGCTATAGACGGTGCAATGAGTACATGGCTGCTTGCCGTCGCATTTGATCTTCTTCCTACGACATTCGTCACAAGCTCTGGTGACTCTACGACGCTTCTGCAAGGGAGCGTTTGGTTTAACGTTGGCCTCGTCTTGAGAGTCTGGCGAAGGCGAGTCTGGGTCTTGTTGGTCGTTCGTGGTGGAATCGTCTGGCGGCAATGAGGTGGAAGAGTGATTGACCGGGTCCAAGGACTTCGTGGGAGTGATGTCGTGGCCCTCCATGGCTGCCGCCCACTGGGGGTTTCAAGCTAGCTTGAACTGTTGGGAGCAAATGGCGCTATTGCGCCCATGAGTTCGACGTGATGGTGAAATCACAGGTCTCATCCAAAGTCCCCTTGGGGGGTGGAAAGTACGACGATGAAGGGGACGAAGGTCGAGAAAGGGTTGGTAGGACAGTGTGTTAGTAGTAGTCGTGGAGGTCAAGAAGCCCGATTTAGAACCAAGAGAATCGACCCCGCACTCTAGCTGGAGGCACAGCGCAGTAGTAGGAAGCGGGAATTTGTAATAATCTGATGCCCAGAGGAGGTCACGGGCAGAAGTTGAGGGAGGCAATCGAGATGAATGAATTGAATAGGGGTGGGAATGGGAGTGGAAACAAATGGAGGGACCGTGGTTGATACTAGGAACTAGGCAGAGATGTGGGATTTGAGCCAGTGCAGAGGGAATTGCAGCGAGCGACTGATCGATGACTCTTTCGTCGAAACGGACAAAAGGGCGGAAGCAGACAATTGGGGAGATTGAAGATGGGCGTAGACGCGGGATTTCCTTACTTGGGAAGCGGAATGCGTCATGGGCATGCCAAAGGGGGGGAGGGCGGTCACTAGGGTCGTTTGCTAAAGGATTAGGGAATAAGCTGCCCTAAAGGAAACAGACTTGCATTCTGGGTAAGGGACACGAGTTGAGTCTAGGGAAGCTCCAGGTGGGGAGGATGCAATCCGACCACTGAGGGAAACCCTAAAAATCACCAGGAGCAGGGGCGATAGGCGCCGGTAAATTAGAGCGTAGTACGGAGATAGTGCAATAATAGTACAGTCAGGGCTCTAGAGGCTAGTTGTACTCCGGAGGTAGTATCTATCGTAGTATCAACACACAGGGCTGGGGCGCCGCACCGGCGACGGAACTTGCTTGTACGAAAAGCCAAACTACTCCTGTCACTGATGGCGGTTGGGGCGCTAAAAAAAGCGGCTGCCACCAATACTACTGGTGCCACCTCGATGGTCAATGGTCAACTGGAGCGTGTCCTAATATAAAGTGGATTTAATCGGTCATGCGCAATGTCTGTTGATGACTGGTGGACAGTTGCCGATAAATAGCGATTGACTTTTGACGTGCTGTAAATGTCATGGGCCTTGGGGGAGGCCCTACAACTCCCTGGGCATCTAGGATACTAAAACTACCTAAGGGCCTTCACGCTATGCTCAACGTGAACGATGTGTACGCATACAGTATCTCGCATCTCGCAGTGCTTCCCTCCCGTCGATGTCGACTAGATAATCCTCGCGGCTGAATGTACGAGCTCAGCCCAGAGTTCAAGACCAAGACTAACCAGCTGAGAGATCCCCAAAGAACAATAGGTGAGTGCAAATGTCAATTCTGTCCATCTGTTGTATACTGTATTTTTAATCAAATCGAGAAGATGTCGATGGATCTCCGACAGGTCGTATTCGGCATTATGTCTGCAAGACCATGGATAGGACACATGCAAGAATAGGCCAAATGCAATAGCATACGTAGGTGGCGAGTTTGGGCCTTTCATGTGTCGCTGACATGGCCTGAGTACATGGGTGTGAGTGCCCTCGCATTAGGTAGGCCCATGCTCGTACATCAGGGACCTAGCCTACTTTCCCTAGGTAGGTAGACGCCCATGTACGCCCCTCCTGTTTGCGCATATCCGTACATTCTACACCCCCGATGTCGCTTAGGTTGCTTAAGTCCGGCGCCGAAGCCCCGCCGAAGCAGCTATCCAGTCCAACCTCAGCCAGACTATGGCTCAGTCCTTTGGGTGACCTCCTCGGCCGAGGGGGGCCTACAGACAATAATAATGCCGACCTAGGGAGGTACTCTTAACACTCACATTCATGCAGCTGTTGAGTGGAGCCTTGAAGTTGGTACCTATCTTGCTTCTGTAGACTGAACCTCTATACATAAGTTGCAATACCTACTCCGTAGGTAGTGATGTTGAGTCCCCTGCTGGTATGGGCATGAGTTTCACCAGATATTACAATCTTGGCACTCTCACCACTTGCAAGAAACCCACCATTGTCACTCTGGTCGTCTTTTGCATGGACATGGACGCTACTTGACAAGTCTGTCCTTCATCTGCAAGCCAGATAGATGTTGACCAGATATATGTCTGCCTTTACAATATCTTCACTGTGCGTGAAGATGCCGATTCCATCAGTCTTTGCACATCTGCTGTTGTATTCCAAAAAGGCCTCGTTGAAAGGCGAGCTAGTAATTGCTTTTGATAGAGGCCACAAGCTGATGCGGGCCATGATGCTTCGCCTTCTCAACTGACGACTCACTAGCTTACAGTGATTGGTTGCGTCTCTGCCTCGCGCTGGAGAGAGAGCCTAGGAGCATGTCGATTGTGGTGTGGACAAGAGCAATGACCATTTGTGATAATAGGAGGGGGCCACGAGAGCATTTGTTATAGTGCCTATGGGATGAGATGCATACTAAACTCCCATAAGACTCGCTGTCCCTGGGCCACAATTGCCCGTGCCTATAACTTCCAAGTGGCGCCTGGGCGCGTAATGTGTGGTGCCATACCAAAATGATAACAATCACGTGTTGGTGCGACTACAATGAAACTGCCACAGTGCGAGCAGTTGTGGTTGCCTCCTGACGTCGCACCATTCAAGATTCACGTCTCGGCAGAAGAACGAGCAGCTCCTATGAGAGTCGACGAGGGCACGACGACGAGACAAGTGAGTAGTGTTGAGTGGTTGATTCTTCATAAAATCACCACACGACGCGGCTGGCGAGGGCCTGTCGTTGGCACAAAGCAGCATCACCTAAATCCCAAGAAGGTCAAGAGAGAAGAAGCGAAGCGATTGGGGTCGAGTCAAGTCGTGTCAAGTCGAGTTGAGTTGAGTTGAGTTCAGGTTGATTCGGGAATGGTTTGAACCTAATCAACCCAATCTTGGCATCCTCAGTCCCTCTCATCCCATCCCATCATCTTATCCCATCCCAGCCCATCAACTCCGGCTTCTGGCGTGACTTGACCACTCCTCCTCCATCGACCACATCTTGCAGTTCGACTTGCTGCACCGCATCACTCGTTCGTCCACATTTGGTTGCCCTGCGGGTAGTCATCCTAATCATCAACAACCACAACCCCCTTTGGCAGTTTGAACGCGCCCACTTGCTGGACAAGATCTCGGTCCGCGTTCTTGATCCCTAAATACCTTCCCCTGCCTTGAGCTGCGACCCAGCATCCTGTTCCCAGGCATCGACCCATCCTTGCTTCCGTGGCTCTCGTCTGAGCTTTCCTCCCTGTCGTTTGTCGCGACTTGATCTTATCAACTCTTGCCCTTTACCCACCACACACATCCTGCCATGGCGCAGGGAACTCAGTCGATCAAATGCGTGGTGACGGGCGACGGTGCCGTGGGCAAGACGTGTCTACTCATCTCATACACCACGAATGCTTTCCCGGGCGAGTACATCCCGACCGTCTTTGATAACTACTCGGCTAGCGTCATGGTGGATGGAAAACCCGTGTCACTGGGTTTGTGGGATACGGCTGGTCAAGAGGACTACGACCGACTCCGGCCGCTGTCATATCCCCAGACTGACGTATTCCTGATATGTTTCTCTATCGTCTCTCCTCCTAGTTTCGACAATGTCAAAGCAAAGGCAAGTCTTGATGGACTCCATCCCCGGCACAAGATTCTGACGCACAGCCGCAGTGGTACCCCGAAATCGAGCACCATGCGCCAAATGTTCCTATCATTCTAGTTGGTACCAAGTTGGATTTACGAGAAGACAAAGGCACGGCAGATAATCTGAGGGCGAAAAAGATGGAGCCCGTATCATACGAACAGGCCCTGTCGGTGGCCAAGGAGATTAGAGCGGTCAAGTATCTCGAATGCTCCGCTTTGACCCAGCGAAATCTCAAAAGCGTCTTTGATGAAGCTATTAGGTTTGTGGCAATCCGTCGATACCAAACTTGGATAGAAAGTACAGCTAACCCTCGCATCACAGAGCGGTCCTGAACCCCCGGCCCACAGCCACCAAGAAAAAGTCTCGGTGCACCATCTTGTGAATGTTTTCAAGCGAGCCACTATTCATCTTTTTGGCGAGGATGCACGTAGAAAAAGACGGATAGGGATTTGGCTGCTTCGATGCACTCCACATGCTGGCTCTTGACCGGTCGGGGGCATGGGAAAAGCCGCACTCAGCAGTCTTGGACGGACATCCACGTCTCCTCTTTTTAACACATTTCCCACATAAATCGGTCCAGCAACATACTTTTGGCCAAGGAACAGACGGCGTCGAGTTAGGAAGGTGTGGCATCTGAGGATTTGTTAAAGTCGAATCTGATTGAGTTTATCCCCGGCAACAGCGAGACGTCTTCTGTGCAGTGGTGAAACCGGGCGCAACCAGACCGCATCAATATCTCATCTGCGCCAGACGACTGGGATGGATGTCACCGTTATCTGGTTGGGCTGTGTTCGCGCCGGTCGAGACAACCTCCTTCTTTTGCGGAACCCCTTCCCCCCTTTCCTTCATCTCTTTGATCCTGCGCCGCTCTCGTTGCTCGCTAAGCTTCTTATTCTTGCTTTCAATCCGATCCCTTCTCCCTTTGCTCTTCTTACCACCTCCTCCGGCCGTCAGCTCCACGTTGATGCGGCGGCCCCGTAGCTTCTCGCCATTGACCTGGACCCCGGTTTTGCTAGTCTCTGGTGTCGTTTTCCCTTTGCTCTCTGGATCAAAGATGGAATGATGATACAGTGATAAACAGGTCTTCATCTTATCGTAGCCGTCAAACTCGACAAATGCAAAGCCCTTGGATCGACCAGTTTGCTTGTCGGTGGAGAGACGTACCGATACTGGGGCAAGCTTGACAAAGTGTTGTGTGACTTGTTCGGCAGTGGCGTCAAACGGTAGATTTCCAACAAAGACAATGAATCTTGCCGGAGACTTCCCAGATCGAGGTTCCGGATCCTCTGTCTGTTCGTCGGCTAGAGGTGCATGCGTTTTCTTGCTCTTTTTAGTGACCTCGAGATCAGGCTGTTGGTCACTGGTGGATTTTCGCTTCTTGGAAGTAACAAGAGTTTCTTCGGTTTTGGAGGATTCCTCGACTAAATCTGTGCTTGTAGACTTCGAGTTCTTCTTCGGACGGCCAGTTGATTTGGCATCGTCTGCTTGTTCACCATTTTGTTCAGGGGACGTCTTGTTTGAGTCTTTTCTCTTCTTGGCTCTTCTCTCTGATCTCTCCTGCTTCGCTCGACCCTTGGACTTTTTGGAGGACGAGCCGACAATGGGTGGAGGGGAGGATGTATCGACGTCGGCTTTCGCGGGAACGGCGTCTGGTTCTGGTTGATCGCGCTTTCTCTTCTTGGTGATTTTGGACATGTTGTGGTTTGCTTGTCACTGTGTGTTTTCTTGGGATTATGAACCGTTGTTGTGAATGAATTGAGAAGTCCGCGGCCAGATCTATGGCTGGGTGTAAACACGCAAAGTTACGGTTGTGGGGGAAGAAGTCTAGACGCTGTGAAGTTGTTTGATGAAACTTTTGGTCCAAATTTTTTGGGACGAGACCCCAACCAAAAACGTCATTTCTGCTACGAACTTATTACCTTAACTTAGGTACCTAATATCCAGTGCTCTGGGGCTCCTCACCCCCGAAGTTCCAGGTCTGGGCTGTACCACGCCGAGCAACGGAGGCACTTTGGATATACTCGCAGCCCTCAAGTGTCACTCCGCCGCTAATTACAGGATAACGACATCCCCAGTGAGTGTGACTCTTCTTTGATTCTGCTTCTTCCAGGAAATGCATAACGAGGCCAAAGGCTGAGTTTCCGGGACTGGGCAATGGGGCTAACTTAGGGTCTGGGCGTAGGCGCAGGCAACACAAATTCAATCCTCGTATGTCTGCTGTTGGTTGTCGACGCTGGCGGCCTGAGGCTGCAAATGGCTTGGCCCGTGACATGACAACATGGCAAAAAGGAACACAGGACACAGGGTCACCTGCAACCACTAAGGACTGGCGTACACCACCTACCTTAGGTACCTAGGCACCTAGGTAACCTAGGCACTACTTATAGGTACCGTCCATTCAAACTTAGGCGCCACACTCACTGGTCCTGGCTTCCTTCAACTGACCAGGGCAGGTCGACTTCCTGGCTTCTGTATCCTCGTAACCTCTACCTCGCATGCAGCAAGCCAACATGTCATTTCCCACTTCTTGAATACTACATCTTTGACCTGTTGTTGCCTCTGTCCACCCTGAATGTAATTCCCACCTATTTCGATCTGGGTCTTTGCACACCTTTCGACACCGACATCTCCCACCAGCACTACCACCACCACCTTGCCTTTACGAGAGGATACAGCTATGATAGACAGATGATCCGGGAAGCCCGCTTTACTCCCTCGACAGCCTGCCCCAATCCTCCTCCTCTGTCTTCGTCCAGCTGACCTTCCACACACTCGCGACAATGGCCGTCTATGCCTCACAGCTCGGTGCCAAAGGGCCCTTTGCCAATGCAGCCCCTCCCTCGGTCGCGACTCACGCCGCCCCGGCAGGCACCTTCCTCCCAGGAACCAAAGTCCAGGTTGGCGACCATAGAGTCATCATTGATCGCTACCTCTCTGAAGGCGGCTTCGCTCACGTTTATGTGGTCACCATGCCTCGGCCCGTCGATGGCAATCAGAAAGCTGTCCTGAAACGCGTTGCAGTCCCGGACAAGGAAAACCTGGCCAACATGCGCACCGAAGTCGAAACCATGAAGCGATTACGAGGGCAAAAGTACATTGTCAAATACATCGACTCACATGCTTCCCAGTTAAAAGGTGGTGGTTATGAGGTCTTCTTACTCATGGAATTTTGCCAGGGTGGTGGTTTGATTGACTTCATGAATACCCGTCTGCAGAACCGTTTGACTGAGCCTGAAATCCTAAAGATCTTCACCGATGTGGCTGAAGGTGTCGCCTGCATGCACTACCTGAAGCCCCCCCTGATGCATCGCGATTTGAAAATCGAAAATGTCCTTATTTCCGTGACAGGCTCCTCGAGAATCTTCAAGCTATGTGATTTTGGCTCCGCCGCTGTTGCTAGGCCCGCTGCCACTTCGGCCGCAGAAGGTCGAATCATCGAGGACGACATCAATCGCCATACCACCTTGCAATACCGCAGCCCTGAAATGATCGATGTCTATCGGAAACAGCCGATCGACGAAAAGGCAGATATTTGGGCGTTGGGGGTCTTTCTGTATAAACTCTGCTATTACACCACTCCATTTGAAGACGTTGGCCAGATGGCCATCCTACATGCTCGTTTCAAGTTTCCAGCATACCCTCGCTTTTCAGACCAGCTGAAGCTCTTGATTGCTTCCATGCTTCGCGAAAATCCTGCCGATCGCCCCAACATCTACCAGGTTCTCCAAAAGGCTTCCTCCATGGACGGACGAGAACTCAGCATTGGCGACATCTATACCCGCCGCGCACAGTCGGAGAGTCGAAAGGACCAGTCCAAACCTTTGCCTCTACCACCCAGTTCCCAACCTCGATCTGGTGCCACTTTATCACCCCCCAAGCAAGAAGCCCCGGCCAGCTTGCCTCAGGTCGAGCCGATGCGTAGGGGCAGACCGACCAAGCCTGTTTCGCACCACGGTTCGGCAAAGCCGAGCCCATCCCCTCTCCGTATGGTGGAAGCAGGTCCAGATCCGTTTGCTGCTCTTGACGGATCCAAGTTCAAAGCAGAGGATGAGCTCTCACACAAATTCCCTACATTGGACCAATTCGCTCTCCTGACAGACAAGGGCAAGAAGTATTCCTTTGAGCCAACCTCGGACAATCGAAGCTCGAATTTGGACCCTCAGCTCGCTCAACGTGTCACAAATGCTTTAGCCGACGAGGCTTTTGCAAGACCTGCCACCCCGGCACTGGCGACATCAGCCGGGGAGAAGCCAGCAGTCGCGACCAAATCCCATGCTTTGCTAGAGAGGAAACGATCTCAAGAGAGCAAGGAGATCTCGGGACGGGCGAGCGCACCTGCTGTCCCAGCCAAATCTACCATGGTCTCAACCGGTACCATGACATCCGCTTCACCTCCCTCCCACACCCTCCCGCCGGTCTCTGATCGCCCCATTCATCGATTTCCTGCACAAAACCACCCTCCAAGGTCTTCAAGTCTCCAGCAGCCCTCGACGCAGTCTAAAGCCGCTGAACCGAGCCGGGGCTTCTCCCGTCTTTCGACTTTACTTCAAGAAGATGCCCGACGGTCACAAGCGGCATCTGAAGTGGAGCCGCGATCTCCGACTTCGTCGCGGCCGTCTCTGGAGGGTGGTCGGCCGACAGTCCGAGATGTGTCGTCTGCCGTACACCGATCCAGATCTCTCAACATGCGGAATCGTCCGGCCAGCGTCAACATTGGGAAAGGTCTGACACATATCAAGGACCGGGATGTCCGAGGTATCGACTATGAGGAAGCATACGCCAGTGGAGAGCCGGAACTCCCGGCTTTGACCCATTCAGAGTCGGCCACCAACATCTCATCCGACGTCGAATTCCTAAGGGCTCGCGAAGAGGAGGAAAAGGAAAAGAGGCAGCACCACAAGCGGCTGAGCAGTGGTTCAAAGCAGGCGAAGCGTTCGAGTCTGCCCTCGATTGGATTGTCGGGGACGACCAAGCTACTGGCAGGCAAATTTGGCGACGCCTTTAAAAAGTTTGAAGGTGGTGACACCAGCAACCATGCACACCACCACCATCTGATCCACCATCATCACCATGAAAGAAGCGAGTCTCTGCCGCGAGATCCTGGCAACGTGCTCACGCCAATCGCCGGGTCGGAAGCGACGGATTTGAGTGACGATCGACAGAATTGGGACGAGACGGAGGATCTGTCGCCCGAGATGAGACGGGAACTAGAAAAGAGGAAGCTCGAGGCGGAAGAACGCAGGGTGGCAAATGCCGCAGCTGAGTACCGACAGAGGCTGGCTGCCAAAGAAGGCAGCGGTGGCACTGTAGCATCTACCAGCGGTGGAGGGGGACCAATGCCAGGCAGAGGGTCGACGATTCAGAATCGGGTGCAGTCGTTACTCAGTGAAAATGAACGACCTGCGGTCAAGACAGCGAGTGGATACGGGAGATACACCGCCACTCCTGAACCGATCCAGCAACATCACGAACGAGCGCAGACATTCCAACCCAGTCGGCCCGTCCACACTGGATCGGGGAGTGTTGGGCATCCCGCGACCAAAGTTGTATCAGCGCCAGCATCTGCCATTGATTTAACGATGCGACCAGAGCCCCGTTCGCAGCGACCAGTCGCGCCACCGAAGCCCAAAGTGCTCCGAAGCGCGGCCGGAGATGCTGGCAATAACAGTGATCAGGGCAACGATGGATTGGATGAAGATTGGGAATCGAACTTTAGCAAGAGATATCCTGATCTGTCGGGGCTCGAGATGGTCGAGACATCTATCGATGAGCCCAAGACACAAGCAGTGGTACGGACCAAAGAGATCTAGAGCAGCTGCTATGTTATACTCTGAATGAGTCAAGGGCTGATTGTAGCCATGATGTGTCCTGCGTTATTGTTTGTCGCTGGGAGATGATAACACCTATTGATGATTGCAATTTGTAAACCACTGAGCCCAAGGGGGGCCGAGAGACTCTGGCTGGGCAGTTCAACCCAGGCGTGTCACATGTGATATGCCGACGGTCGACAAGTGAATTTGTAGCCACAAAACAGAATGAAAGATGCGAGAGTCAACATCAGACAATATTGAAGATCAATTCAGTCACAAACCAAAAGGGAAGGAATCGAGTCAAAAGCAGAGCAAAGCACTTGCCTCATCTTCCACACTTTGCGCAGCCTGGTCGTTCTTGCCAGTTTCAGATCCAGAGGAAAGAACCTCGACTGCAACTGCAACTTCAACTTCAACCTCAACCTCAATCTCTACCTCTTCCAGTTCAACTCAAGCTCACTGTCCCTACTAGATTGATTCATCACTTTGCATCAATACTTGACACTCACCATACCGCCACTCAACTCCCTCTCAATAATGCCACCCAAAAGCGGAACTCGACGCCGAGGTGGCGGCCGTGGGGCAACCCCAGTCGCAGCCCAGGCCGCCCATGACTCCGCCCAGCTTCCCCCATCAAATTACCTATTTGCGTCCACAGTCAGTTGGCAGACGCCCATGCCTGCAGAGCCTCCAAAGCCAAAGCCACCACCCCGTGGCTCCACTGCCGACACCAGAGGTCGAGGTCGCGGCCGTGGCCGTGGCCGTGGCCAACCAAGGTCAAGGGCCAGAGCCAATCATGACACTCAACAAGGTTCCGCAAGCCCTGCGGGCACTCCTTCTAGGCCTCAACCCGAATCACAAGCTACGGACGATCGTCCTTCATCTCATTTTATCTCTCTCAAGATTCGACCTGCAAATCTGCGCGCTTTTCCCAGCTTCACCTCTATAACCAATTCCAAAACACCTGAGAATCCCTCTGGCAATAGCGAGCCATTCTCAACTTTGGTCTACAAGGCGTTGCCCGCATCTGCTGCTGGGTCGCTCGATCAGGCTGCCCCTTCGCCATTGCCATCGTTGATTTCTTGCGACACAGACATATCATATACAGGAAGTGAGACTTGCGCTGCCACCCCAGGTTCTCCAAAGGATCTTAGCCTTCACTCGTTAGAATCCGCTGTCACAGCTTTCCGGGGAGAAAAAGAGCCAACCAAGTCACTCTTTGTCACACCAAGAAGGGCGACCAAGAAGACCAGCAATACTTCTCAAAAACCCAACAAATCCCAGAACAAACAAGCTCGGTCGCATCAATCTCCCACAGTGCGCCACTCTAACGCTCTCATGGCTCCTGTAAAAGATAACATGGGTGTCCATGTAGCCCTGAAGGACACCATTCAACATCTATACGATGTACAAGCCACTACCCACGCTTATGTACCTGATTCCAACGACTTGCTCGTGGACAAACTCACCAACCTCACTAATTCCCTCGCCCACCTTCAGACTCTAACTTCTAAGAATGCATCGCCTCACAACCCTATTCACCAGGTGAGCATCGCCCCGGAGATTATCGACTACGTAGACGACGGAAGGAACCCCGACATCTTCACCCGTGAATTTGTGGAAAATGTGCAGAGGGGCAATGCGGTTGTCAACGGCAAGCGAAGGGCCTTCAAGGATTTCAGTCAAGTCCTGGCTGGAGTGATCAAGAAAAGGTTCCCTGGATTGGAAGAGGATGTCAATGAGATTATGGACGATGCCGGCTTTGTTACCGAACATTCGGTGAAAAGGGAGATTGATGGGCAGAATGGTAGTTGAGCGCAAAGCCTGGTGAGAACCGTCATTAATTGTTTTTGCATCCCATAACGACAGCAGTGCTTGCTACGAGCACCAGATGTGGGACTTGAGCCATGGAGGGATCGCTCTCTCATCGTATTGACCAATGCAGTCTTGCTCGTTGCGTCTCTCGGTCTCAGTACATGTCATTATCACATGGCGGGCACATGGCTTCACTTTCAGACTTGTTATGGTGTGGGCCCTCGATATCGGCAGACCATTTGGATATTGCACTCAGTCGACGAGGCTGCGCCGAGGCCAGAGGAGCTGAGATAAACCACACCAAGCAAAGAGAACTCAAGCACGATCAAGAGTCTAGTTTTGGCCCGAGGTCACTGACCTCTGGCTGAGAGCTGCTTGAGCATATTGGCCGAGTAAGTTTGGCCAACTTACTCGGCCGATGAATGTCTGAAAGTGATGATACAGATTATGTAGACCCTCAGACGGTGGGAGTTGAAACCAACTCCACCTACTAGGTACATGTATACTATAATACAAATGCATACATTTTGACTCTGTGGTCGCTCAATTCTCGATGATCTTGTTGGTAGAGTCACAACCGCTTCAAGGACGGCCACACCATCTCCCAATAAAGGAATATCAAGGTGTCACTCACAAGCTCATCGAGGGGGTTTGTGTCGGCAGTAGTTAGACGACCTGTGTCGCCACGGTCCCAACTGGCCGTTCCACAAACTCGACACACCCATCAACTACGCTCTTCCTGGCCTCCTCGCTCGACACATTCTTGCCCGCCAGGTAGCCCAACCACAACAATCTGCTGACCCGCTCATCCGCCACGTGTCCCATATTGACCCTGCCACCTTCTTTGTCCTCGCTGTACACCGATAGACGGCCTGTGGCGTCGCGACTCAGGTACAGCTGCTCGCCACGCGGGAGTTTCCTTCGCGCCGTGCCTCCAAACACGGCCTTGAAGTCGTTGAGCGCCAAGCCAAAGGATTCATCTTGGAAATTCGACGACGCATCCGACGATACCAGGGCAGGGTTCGACGAGAAACTCGCACTTCGGGCAGTAATCCCACGCACAAACCCGTCGCGCAGGTGCATAAAGTCTGTGTTCCGTGTAGGTGTGATTCGGAACGCGGTGCGAATACCGCCATCCTTGATAATGCTATTCCATATCTCCTCTCCACGATTGGCGTCAAGCAGAAGCTCGCGCAGCTTGGTTTTCTCGCCCGGCACCAGAGTGGTGGCCACGGGGTCGGCGACACTGTGGACCAGACGTTCCTGTAGCTTGGCAATGTCGGCCACCGCAATGTATAGACCAACCACATAAACTTGAATGCTCAGGATCGATACAGTGCGGATCCCCAGCCCAACCAGTTGATACTCGACCTGTGATTCTGTTCCGCCGGGTTCGTTTGCAGACGCAGGACTGGAGGGCGCAGGGGTCGAGGGAAGGTAGATCAGGCGTGGAATAGTAGGAATAGTGCTCGTCCCCGTTGGGACTTGATCGACCTCATTGACCGTGAGCTTGTCGGAGATGGAGCCGCCTATTGACGGCGGAGCATCCAGACGGACCACCTTGCTCTTAGGAGTTGTCTTTTCTTCAACGAGCAGTTTGTCAGCAACGGCTGCAGCCTCTTGAGCATTGAGAGCGGCTCGGCGCTCCTGCTTTTGCGGATCTGGGTACAAGACGATGGCGCCGAACATGGCGACAGCACAGAGAGCAATGCCAAAGGCCGAGTATTTCATGCTTCGCAGGGTCTTTGCACGCTCGGCTTTGGCTACTTCGGCCGGAGTCATGTACTCCTTACCAGCCTTGTGGCGGCGTCGAAGTAGCTCCGATGAGCCGAAAGCTGCCACGGGAGCGCCATTGCGGATCGAAGCTGTGGTGGAGAGGAACCGTCGATTCGTCGTCGCCGACTGTTGGCGAAGGTGCAGGCATAGGCAAGTCCGTCGTACGACAAGGGATTGCAAGGGGGAGAGGTTCGAAGGTGGCATCGTGTAAGTTGTCGGTTGGGAGACCTATTCTGTTCGAACCACAGGCACTGGCAGGAAAAGTAGTGGGAAGAATGTGCCTTGTAGACTCTGAAATTCATCACCAGGTTTCCTCCGCTGATGGGGTTCGGGTTCAAGAATGACGATGACCCCAAATCCCTCTCAGGCCACTAGTAGACTTGGCGTATATGCTAATGAATTTAGTGAGCATGGAGTCGTCGCCGCCCTATCAGCCATTCACTTCCTAAGAAACAACCACTTGTCTGATATGAAATATCGTTTACAAGAATCAACATCAACCTGCTGCTGATAATCACGAGCGCATCACTGCAGCGTGTAATCTTGGTCATCTTGGAAATGGTCACCGCCGACCAGTGTCTGGAAGCTCTGTCTCATCATGAGCTACCTGGTTTGTTGTTCAAATATGGGTTACATAGATAGTTCGAGCAGGCGATATTGGACCTAAGAGAAGAAAGGTGATGATGGAAGAGTCCAATAGTGTTGATAAGAGGATGTTGTTTACAAAAAAATATGACTGTATCTATTTGATCTCTCTAGACCCTCTCTCTTCCTGTCACAAGCCAAGGTTTTAGATGCGATGATTCTAATCCGAGGACTTTTGGATGCAGTATATCTCTTCTAGGTGACATCAACAACTCTCTCGTATTATTTGGCCTGGTCTGTCTATGCCTCGATGGCACCCGCACTTTTCAAAAGGTTGTCCAATTGAGATTTTTTGGCTTGGAGGTCGGAATTCCCGCCAATGTGTTGCTGGGAAATAAAGATGTTGGGGACGGATCGCTGTCCAGTGATTTCCTCGAGGGCGTCTTGGAGAGCGGCGCCGTCATCTATTGGGTATGCGTCAGTTTCTGTCCTTGTTCCAGAGAGTGTTTATGCATTTCTGAAGAATATTGTGACTTACCGACTTGATCCAGCTCCATCAAAAAGTATTTTGCGTGCTTTTCATTCAAAAGGCTCTTGGTGGCACGGCAGTAGGGACAGTAGGATTTGGAGAAGACGACGACGGCATTCTCGTCGATGATTTGTTGCGCCTTAACCTTGGCTGCGGACATGATTGCTGGTGAAAGGTTGGGTCGCGACGTGAAAAAGCTCCGAGTTACGGCGCGGAAAGGTGATATTATTGACTTGAGAATGGTGGCGGTTGGTTGGGGGATGCTGTGAAAAGGATAGCGTGTGAAATCGAGGTTGGAGGATGTGAAGGAAGTGATGTCGTGTTTATGTAGTAGTGAGGAACAGACGAGTGGGCGGTGCGGCCTCCCGAGGGTAGTGTATGAACGAAAAGAGGTAGAACGGGCGTTGAAGCGAGGTATTATCTTTTGGAATTGAATGGAACGAAATGGGTAGGCTAGTGATTGGTCCAGGGTTGGATATTGGGGGAATTGGTATCGCCAATTCCTGTTTGCTTGTATGGCTCTAAGAGGATGAGAATTAGGGAGGGGAGATGAGAGAAATATGGGAAGAGACCGGGGTTAGTAAGATGACGACACCAGCTTCCCTCTTTCCTGATTGGGAATCAATGGTAGGCCGATGATGTGATCGGTGATGAGAGCGGTCACGTGCTAGTTGCTGCTTTTACTTATATGGTCGTGATTAGCAAAACTGATGAAACCTCGATTACATAACCAACTCCAAATCAAATACATGCCAAATACAGTCCAAATACATTCCAAATACATCTCATGTCGTTGCTCAAGACACAGCCACGCCAGGACAGTTGAAGAAACAACCACGAACTCTGCTTCATGCGCTTTAAAGCACCCACTATGTGCCATGTCGAGGTTGACATCACTGATTGAGGCATGAATGGCTCTGTATCATGATTCAAGCCCCGGTTATCAGACTCGTCTGGCATGGGCTCCGTGTGGCACCCTTATATTGGCCGCCATCCACCTCTGACTTTTGGCCCTCTGTCTCCTCAATACCATCAATGCCTTCACAAAAGTACTTTATCTCCAACCTTCTTTTCTCACCAGGCGCGTTCGTGGCAAAGTCCTGACTCCTCAGTCAACTAAAATGTGTTGATGGGCCGTCGTGACCACACGCCCGTGACCTACACCCGCCTCTCTAAACCGCTGGATAATTTCCCCAATCAAACAATCAATTGACGTGACCCGACTCGTAGAAAACCACATCCGCTTCCCGCTAAAGCGCTAGAACAAGACAAAGGCAAGCAAAAGCGAGACTGTTTGAACAAAGGAGAACCCTGATATGACATGCCATGGACAAGAAAAAAGAGTAGCAATCCGCCTCCACACCATGTCGCGGTGCAGAGGCGATGAATTCGATGGAGACATGACGCGACGGCACTCGGTCGCTTCCTGTTTCACATGACAACGCAGCAACCACAGCTCTTATCCTTGGTCTTTTCGTCCTCCATTCTCTGTGGCATCCGCTGGACCTGGATCCTGTTGGAACTGGTCTGATGGCCTGGGCCGGAAGAAATACTGCCCATCCTCGGACTCGTCATCACCGCCGGACTCGTGACTCGAGGCATGGTGCTGTAGCCCGCGTTCCCACTTCCACCTGTCCCCGGTCGGTGGTTGGCATTGGCAAGGTTCTTGACTCCTGGCACAGGCCTAAGAGGCCATGCATCCCCCTCAAAATCCCTCTCAGGATCTGGGGACGATTCAAGCCTCGGTGAGGCATCCTTGACCAGGCCGTTGCCTGTATGGATGGCCAGCGGGGAAAAGTTACGGTCGTATGTGGTGGGTATGGCACCTTCTTCGTCCCATTGAGCCTGTTGCTGTCTCCGCGCATGGGTCGGAATGATTTGTTCTTCTGGAGGTAACCGCGGGTCCGGCTTGTACATGGTCGCCAACCACGGAGGATCTCCTTCGGGTCTGTTGATGGCTGTCCGCGGCCGATCCAAGTCGCCGGAACGGGTGCCGGGTCGCTGATTGGGTGATGGTGCTAGAGCGCCTTTGGCGTTGGTCGAGGGCTTCCTGCTATTACCCGATGTCTTGCGGCCTGTCGATGCGTCGAGCAGAGAATTCTGAGCGGACTTTGGTTTTGTCTTTGTTGGAGATGATGGTGGTTTGGACGCCGAGGCTTTGATCACGTTGATCGGCGTGGGTGTGATGGTGATGGGGTCAAAGTCCTCCGGTCCGAGTCGCTGACTGCTTGTGCTTCCTCTTCTCATCTTGATCGTGGGCGTGATGGTCGCATCATCCATGCCCATGCTATTGCTAATCGTGCGTTTCCTGACCAGCGGGGTGTCACGTTCGATATGATCCTGAGAGATGGGCAGGGGACTCGAAGTCAAGACCGGGATCTTGGACCCCGACTTTCTCAGCACAGGGTTGGAGTAAAAGGCAGACGAATTGTCGGCGGCAATCTCTTCAGGGGTTCGAATGTCCCAGTTGGCGGGATCATCATCATCATCTTCCTCTGTCACGGGGTCTGCCAGACGAGACTTTACATGGTCGGAATCGGCGATTCGAGCGTCGGGAGGTGTTTTGTCTTCGCTCTTGCGTCCTCGACTTGTTTCTCTTCGCGGGGTTTTGCCGATATTTCGTCGTGCATTGGCTAGATTGATGCCTGCGGCCTGTAGTTCTTCGCTTTCAATTTTGGCCAGCTTGTCGCGGTGAATCCACCCTTCAGGATCGTCGTTCTGAGGCCGGTACATGTTCTCGGGGATGTCATTGTCAATGGCTTGCTGACTGACATTTCCGCTACTGGGATCTCTTCGGTATAGGTCTAGGAGACTATCGGATTCGCTGCCGCTGCGTGTCAAAGAGCCTGGCTGTTGGCCCAGCTCTTCGACACGAAGGTGGGTGGCTCGGCCATTTGTTCCATTACCACCGTCTTTGCGATTAGATGTCAGGGTAGATAGAGGCATGCGCGAGGAGCCGGTAGAATTTTGACGGTGACCCGTAGGTCGAGTTTTGGGAACGGTAGAATTCTGTTTACAGCCATATCGACGTCAGTCGGTGTATCAGGCACGTCGGCGAACCAGAGCAGCCGTGGGGCCGTGCGCAGAACGGGGGCATGGGGTTGGGTGACGTGTGTTGTCAACCGTGCACAGACACGGTTGGAAATGGGGGGTTTGTCCATCAACTCACCTCTTGGAAGGACCCTACAGGATCGTGTGAGGATTTGACCCCATTCAACACAACATTTGACGTCGCCGAGGTCGAAACACCAGCCATTCCTTGGGAGGCTGGCTGTTCAAAGCGAGCGGGCGTGCCCTTTGTTCAAGGTGTCTGCGCCATGGACCCTGGTCAAGATCACCATATAGGAAAGGCTCGAGACAGGTAGGATGGGAGATGCGTGGCAGTGAGTCAGTGCGGTGGAGGGTGTCGGGGGTCGAGTGTCGGGTGGAGGCAGGGGAGGTGTCTCGTCTCGTGGGGAGGGCCTAGTGTTCCTAACAGTGGGAAAACGCGCGAGAGAGGACAGACGGTGGTGAATATGAGATTCGCATCAACGAGCTCGTCGATGGTGTGGACGAATTGTCTTGTCTTGCGCAGTTGCAGTTCAGTGCTGTTTGCGGTGACGGGTCTTTGGTCTGGAGCGCTGGTTTGGAGTACGGTCTGCAGGGGGTAAAGTTGGTCTCAGAGTGAGTGTGGAGTCTCGTGGTGAGTCGGCCGACCACTGGTGGATTCTGGATCAGGTTGGGGTTCGAGCAGAAGCAGCAGAGACTCAAGGTTCTGTGCCCTGGGGACGGATTATGAGATGTAACAGGCCTGGGGATTTGGAGCATGGATGGTGCAAGGGAAGAGGCACGTTGTAGATAGGTAAGGTATGTATGGATGGTGAGGATACAGCAATAACGTGCCCGCGTCGGGAATAGCGTTCGAGGCAATGGACGATGGTGGTGGCCTCGCTTAAGACGTCCATATTTAATCTCGACTGAATCTTGTCAACAAACCTCCAGGCGTATGCTTGGCAGAGGAGTTGGACCTGCCTTGCCTGCCTTGCCTCTGTGCCTGGCACCTTCTTTACAAAGTCGTTTACACCGTGCTTACCTCAGTATACTTGAAAGTTATTTGTCATTCGGTAGACGTGGTAGGTACGAAGTAGGTAGATGCCATGATGGCAGTCGCACCTTCCTTACCATATATGCTGAGGTTTTGCTGCAAAGAACGCGCGCCTTGTAAAATGTAAAATAGCAGCCTGCTCCCAACCATCTTGTCTCATCTCTCATCTGTCATCTCTCTCAGCACGCAACATATCACACTCTCATTCATCAGATGTTTTGGAACCGTTATTCATTTCAACTCATACCTCATCATGGCGTCAATTCCTCTTGGGAACACGGCGAATATAGTAGTAATGGTGCTCCCGGCGGCATTCCATCCTTGCATCTTGCCAACTCCGCAAAAAAAAAGACATACATATCCATTGCCATTCAATTTCTGACTGCCACCCTGCCGCCACCGCCGCCATCTGCCGTGTGCCATATGCTTCATCCACATATGTCGCATCTAGTCTGTCCTGTCGGCCTGAGTTTGTCCATGTTCACCGCCATCAGATCCATTGCTATTCCACAGACCACAAGTCCTTCTGCCAAGATCCCCAAATCCCCCATGCTTTCAGAACAGAACCCCCGATCCCCGCCGCGCCTCTCGCACCACGTGACCATAACCATATCAGGAATTGGACGCCTCCGTCATACAGGCATATACTTCAAAATGGATGCAGAAAAGGAGTGACAATATGCAAGCTTGCTAAAGGAGTGCTGGATTACAAATTAACAAAAGTAAATGAGTGTTCGCCTGACTCTGGCCTAGAAGATAGAGGGGCGTCTTGCCCGGAGAGGTTCGCGAAAACGTGATGCGTACTCGGGATCTCGTTGCTCGGGCGATTCGCGGTACGTGGCATATTTGGCCGTCGTCGCATCTCGTCGTGGTGCCATGTGAATCTTGTCCGGAGCAGGTCGACTATACCGCGAGTCCCGCTCTCGATCGTCGGGAGACATCTCCATGAAGAGCTTGTCTCGCCCGCTGTTGTGGCGTGAGATTGGCGGAGTATCGTGGGGTGATCGCGGTGATGCTCGATCCTCAAATCGTCCTGACTCACTTCGCCTGATGGGTGAGGGGGGTTGTCCCGTGACATCTGGCATCATCGATCCCCCGCGGGACGATTTCGACCGCATTGTTTCCACCCTCGGCCGCTCAGGACGGTCTCGACTGCGTCGGTCGGGCTCTCTCGCCAAAGGTTCTGGACTGTGGAACCGTTGATGGTAGCGGTCGTCATCGTCGAGCCGTTTGCCCACACGAGGCGCACGTGGAGCATCTTCCTCAGCTTCCTTTTCCGGGTCAACAATTTGGTACTTGGTCGACGTCATGGACGGGTGTCGGGCCTTGGACGCTCGAGGTGGGCTGTGCTCACGCATTTCGGGAGTGTGAGGGCTGGAGCTGCTGCCGTAGCCCGAGTCGTGCATTTGCGTTTCACTCCGGAGATTAGAGCCCTTCAGAGGAGCACTGTCTTTTTTAGAGCTTGACTTTGGAGATGGCATCGTATGGGAACGCGTCATGCTTGGAATGCCTTTTCGATGCTCCCGTTCTCGGTCCCTCTCGCGGTCATGGTCCCTGTCCCTATCACGATCTCGTTCCCGATCTCGTTCCCGGTCTCGATCTCGATCTCGCTCTCTCTCACGGTCACGGTCACGGTCACGGTCTCGGTCACGGTCTCGGTCACGGTCTCGGTCACGAGGACTCCCCACATTAGACCTTGGTGACCTCTCTTCAATGTGAGCACGGAGGTTGCTTGGAGAAGACGAGGATTTGGCAAAAGACGGTGTGTTGAAATAGTCCTCGGCTGGCACACGACGGCCCTTTGACGAAGTGGGTCTCTTTTCGTTATCACTTCCACTTCTACGGCCTTTGCTGTCTCCAGACTCCCAGTAGTGGTACGCTGCAGAGCCGGATCGGTCTAAAACGGGCCTGTTGGAGGCTTTACTGATGTAGGCCTTGCCCTCATTGTATAGACTTTCCCATTTCCCATCGGTGCTCTCCTCCTCGACGATTTCAGCTGGTTCGGCTCTTGATGAAGTTCTGCGAGTTGGCATTTCTGCCGAATGTTTGGGGCGTGAGGGAAGTTTGGTCGAAGGCCAAATCTTGGTAGTGTCGGAATCATCGCTGGAATGATAGTCGTCGTCCACATAGGCATGCTTCCTCGAGGAGACTTTTTCCGACCTCTCTCGCCTCTTTTCTCGGTCCGATCTCTTCTCATCAGCCCTGCTCGTTTTGGACTTTTCTGCCGCCTGTGATCTCAATTTGGTGGCAAAAGAGGCAGCGAGTCCAGCAGTGACAAACGGATTTGCCATTTTCGATTTCTTTTCTGTGGATTTGGGTGCCGAGGCGCGCTTTTCGTACTCGGGATGTTTTCGAGAGGTGGTTCGAGGGAGGGGATCGTGATAGGCATAGCGGTCCTCGTACAAAGGTGCTGTCTTTGGTTGTCTGATCTCTTCGAAGAAATTGCCGTCCTCGCGGTACTCGCGATGGGGATGAGGAGAGGGTTGAGATGGATAGGTGGATGACGGGGTCGGCCACGGATGATGGGTAGCAGTTGCGGGTCTGGGGGGACCATCTCTGTTCATGGCATCTTTCTGGAGTTCTGCCAAACGGACACGGTTGTCGTAGCGTGATCTTCTGGCGGGATCGCTGAGCAATTCATATGCCTGTTGTACCTTCTGAAACTCGTCCTTGCCCTTCTCTCGTAAAGCTTCATCCTTGATCCGGTCCGGATGGTGCTTGAGAACGAGCTTGCGATGGGCGGAACGGATGGCAGATATGTCGGCATCCTGAGCAACACCCAGAGCGGCGTAGGGATCAGGCGGTATCGGTGAGGACATGTCGTAGAAGGTCGGTATAAGAGGTGGACAAGTCAGAAACGGGGCGAAAAGGTAGAATTAAAGGCTCATATACAAAGCGGTCAACAGCAGGTCGTGCCGGACATGGTTGTGGACTGGTTGGTTGAAGTTGGAGGTGGTGGATCAATTGCTGGTCGGGCAAGTGGTCTGGTGAGGTGGCAAGTGCGGGCGTTGGTGATGGTGGTTGGGTTTGGAGCAACTAGTTGGGATGGAAATGAACAAACACAATGAGAGGGAGAAAGTTGGACTTTGAAATTAAGACAATAGAGAGGCAAAGTAGTAGGATGACAAGACTGAAGACGAAGAAATAAAGAGTAGTTGATGTTGAGGCGAAGGCGGAGGCGGTAAATTGACAGTAGCTCAAGGAAGCCGCTGACGTTGGGTGAAGAGAGAGTGGAAAGACAAAGGTGAAGGAAGTGAGGAAGGAATTGGAGCGAAGTGTAGGTGTAGTCGTAAGGAGGAGAGGAGGATGGGGGAGGGAGGTGCAGGGTGGCCAGGTGCTTTGACCGTGATCGTGACCGTGACCGTGAAGGTGAACTTGACTGGGGATGGTTGGTGGTCGTGCGTACCTAAAGTACCTAGGTACCTAAGGTAGATACATACCTACTAAGTTAAATAGGCATCTTGGATACCTACTCCGTAAAGGCACGGAGGCTATTTAGTGTAAGTAGTAAGTGTTGAGGCTGAGCGAACGGACCCTCGGAGTGGGTGAAGGAGTGGGTGCCTGACTGCCTGGAAAGTTGTCGCTAAGTCTAAGTACCTTAGGTACAAAGCCAGGTAGTACGTCGTAAGTCGTATGTATTCTGGCCTAACTACCTAGTAGTAAACTCTGGGCTTCGTTATGGAGTAATGTACGAACAGAGAGTGGCACATTGGAGGGTAATTCGGGTCCTGGGGTCTGGTGGCAGGCGAAATGCATAGTTACGACAATCACGACAGTTGCAAACTTGGAAGACCACTCGAAGCAGTACTACGCGTAGTAGTGAGGCCTGAAGTTGCTTCCCCAGTGGTCTCCCACTCCTCGTCCCACAGCCTATGGGCCCTTGAAGATGGCCCGATGGGCACTTGAAACTGGCGTGACAGGGAAAATGAGTGGCGTTGAAGTCTTCTCGCTCACTCACCACAGGATCGAGGTTATCATGACTGGGCAATGCTCACCCTATGATTTTGGTTTGAAACATGCTCCCAGCCTCCACAATAGAAACATACAATTGTAGACTTGATCCAGGCATTGTCAGTTGTCAGTTGTCGTTGTAAATTGGACTTTGCCCACTGTTTCTTTGAGATAAGCATTACAGGGAAGTGATTCCCCCCAGTGATTTAGAGATTATGTAATGAAGCTTGAGGCAATTTCTGGTCATGATGGAATCAATCATTCTCCAGTCTTTCTTTGCTTTTTTCAGGTCTTGGATCATGAAGCCATAGCAGGCAGAGTGGAAAAGCCCCGAATTAGCAACTTGAAGTTCAGACAATGCACCCCTTTGTGAGAAACACGTCCTTTGGGAGAACAGCTGTTGGCTAGTTTGTACGGAATAAAGACGACTTTGAGGGAAAAGGATATACATTATTACCTAGGTAGTAATCACAGTAATAACTGGGTTGCAGTGCACTGTTGTCAGGTCAAGGCAGGGCCGGAGTGGCCCGGGGTTCGCGGGTGTCCCGTGCTCCCTGGGGCGCCATCCGTCCCGGTGCGCGGTGGCGCGAGGCGGGCGGGGGTTGCGTTGTCCTAGACTCCCTGTAGCCCCCACCACCAAAGCCCCTCGGTCCTCGGCCCCCTCTACTTATAGGCCCCATGGGTTTGATGCCTGTACTCGGGTGAAGTTATATTAATGACTGTATTCAGGTAGGTACTATAAAAGATAAATAGACAGTGATGACTTTTATTTCTTCTCAATTGCATACTGCTACTGTCATATACGCACACAATAAGTAAGAACAACCTAGGGAGCCCGTGTTGCGGTGCGAACCGTCGGCTTGGACAGAAGCGCCCATCAGTCATTCAGGTTTAAGAGGAGCTATCAATGCATCCTAAGGTCGGGCGGGGTGAATTAGTTTCTTCTTTTCAATCTTTCAGAGTGCTTGCTTCTCTGACACGACATGGGGCCACGGGGCCTGGTGAATGACAATCGTCGAGTTGATATCTCTGGCATCAAGGACAAGAGGATGTTGGCCCAGGTTGCTGTGATAGTGACATGAGAATTCTTATTCACCATGCCTGGCCACAAGCCAAGAAATCTTGACCAGAAGAAAGCCCGAGAATGTTGGACAAGCTTGCAAGCTACAAGGGCAGGCTACGCAGAGTTGACCACTTATGGTGAAGGGGAATTGCGCCCTGCAACACCGTGTCCATTTGGCTGCATTCTAGCCTCGAGGCGCAGCCAATATCTACCTAAATAACTAGGTACTAATCCCGACATGTCGTTGAATCATCTGCCTCGTGATGCTCGGTGAAGCTGTCACTGGCACGACTGGCTAGGCCAACTTATCGCCCAGATCGAGTTGGATGCATGATGGTGACAGGCTGTGGGTGGGTGCCTCGGTCAAACCTTGCCTATGATTCTCCTCCTCTCATCTGATTCTATCCCATCACGGCAGAATTGTGATAGTGCATACTCCGTAGGTATCGTCGGAGAGTGGCCAGTGGCCAGGGCGCCTAAAGAGAAAGCCCGCCAATCCGTTGTACCAAGCCCAGGGAATCTTGGAGCCAGCATCTCCTTCGCTAAAGTCGATCAATATCAAGATTCTCCCCGCGCCGTTGTGCTTTGGTGTCATGGCAGCAGTTCCACTGGCGACCGAGGTGCCTGAAACTACCCCACTTGTATGCTGCACCCAAGACCAGATTTAGGCATCGGACACACAAACAGTTTCACGTCACCTGCAGCCAAACCAAGGTGTGTGGGTGTCTATGATGTTGATGGAAGTATGCATGTAGGTATCGTCCTCAACTGTAGTCTTACCGGATGACAAAGATAGGCTTCAAATGATCCTACTGAGCGAAGGGAAATAAAGCAATATGATTGGCTGAGAACAAATCCATGTCTAGATATCTTGGCAAAATTATTGGATATGCGTGAGTTGCGATCCCGTGACTGAGTATTCGGAATGTTCTCCTCGAGGTTTTCCGAGTGATCTTGGAGTGCTACGTGAGTGTCCTGGGGAGAGTGCCCTGGGGAGAGTGCCCTGGGGAGAGTGCCCTGGGGAGAATGTATGGGAGTGATTTCGAGAGCAGTGTAGGCGACCACGGCGACCTAGCGTTAGTCGCAGCTGCTACTCGCTACGTACCTATATTTACCTATTCTTATCCAGTTGGGGACATGGGCTGATCGGGCAGCTGTACATAATGATGATGCGATGGGGGATGATGATGATGTGGGTGAAGTAATCCACATGTTAAGAACCTTTGAACCTTGACTCCTTGGCCTGTCCTTTGACTAGAGTTGGACAAATCGACAACTCAACTACAAGACAGGTACTCACCTTTAGGAGGTGGTAGATCTCAGAGTCCGCCATTATCATTACTACAAAAGATATTATGGACATTTGACCATCCAGTGGTGACAGTGAGACAAACAAAGGGACAGATCCACATCTCGCCAGGGGGAAGAATACAGCACGATCTTGATTGCCCCAAGGGTTCGGGGCATGAATGCAACTCGACACGAATCATAACTCTCTTCATAGCCACTTTGGTTTGAAGAGACCTGCCAGGCAACGGTGCATATGCAGGAGTTTCCCGTGTGTGAGAGGAGTAAGTGAGGGGCGGGGCTTCCTCGCATCAATGGACCAGACCTCATGTGCTTCCAAAAGACTCGTGATGGTGTAGCGCATCATAAGACCATGCCATGATACAGGCGGGCGATACAGGAATGGTAGCCTCCCCTTGTTGCTTGCCTCGTGCCTCTTGCCAACATATGCATCTTCCTGTTGGAGTACTGAACTTGAGGTGCTCAAGCTACTGGTTTGCAAATACAGGGATTATCTTCATCGTGAAACCATGCATCTACGCATAATGGCATACCACCATATCACCTTAGGAGATGATAAGATCCACCCTCTCATCTGATATTTGCCACGCGGTTTCTTCCGTCGACAAAGGACAGAACATCTTATGTCCGAGCGGTGCCACGTCTAGAGAGGTAAACTGGAGAGATTTCCAAATCCCAACCAGTGACTACGATACATACCGAGTAGATCCTTCCCTTTTAAGACTGTTCGTGTTCAAGTGGCGTAGATGTTTGGAGGCAAGAACAACTGACCTCTTGTGGCTCTTTCCTACAGGCACCAGCGACAATCACGTGTATCAAGTGGCAACTTCAGGAATATTGCACACATCGTTCAGCTCACTACCACTCACTGCCACGCTACCTCAGTTCATCCTCCTACTGAACTCTCACGCCTCTGTACCACACTCTCATCACCTGCAGCCCGGTCTTTTTCCAATTTCGCCACTCTCAGCTGCAAGACTCTGATGCATGTTGCCTGCCCAAGCACGAACAGAGATTTCGCCGCTCCCATCGTCTCTGTAACCACCTATCCCTCATTCAGGGACAGTAGATGAATTGGTACACAGCTTGGGCCTTAGACGAGTCGACCCTAATTCCCAACACAACAGGGACACCCGCAACATTGAACCCATCAGGGCTGTCGTCTCTAATCGTCAGTCGGGCATCAATCTGCCTCTCATCGTCTGCCTGCAACTGTGCTTCTGCATCTGCATCTGCAGCTTCTTGGCCCTGTTCCTGCTTCTGCTCCACTACCTCTCGCTTCAATGCAGCTGATCCACCATCAGATGCATATGACAAGATGAATTTTGTGTCTCGATCGCCTTGATGCTCGATCGGAACCCCCGGGCATGTGATCATCAAATCCACATCCACCCGCCCTCGTTGTTGCGCAAGATATGCTCGGATCGAGTCACAAGCCGGCGATGTTTCATGATTGGGCGAGGCCGCCGCTTTGATGTTGACATTTACAGCATATGATGCTGTGCAATCCGGATCTGTACATGAATGTGAATCAGTCATCTTGATATCTTAGCCAACATTCCAAGCTCTTGTCTTGACCAACAGCTTACTGATAATGTCAGGATCAATGTTGAACTTGAGGAAACCAGATGTGCTCAAGGATACATTGTTGGTGGTGGAAGCCGGTGTCGGAATCCCACTGACTTGATTCAGATAATTTTGCAGCAATATCACGGCACCGAGGAGAAACCCGAACCGTCGAGCCATCGTTTCCTCTCGTTGATTCCTAATCGACTTTGGCCCAATTGTCGGGTGTATCAAGGATCAAGGACGGATGTTCTCGGGCAATGATCAACATATACCCATGGAACCGGTCAAGAATGCATTCCGGTCCCTTTGATCCAGGCACGCATAAAATTCAAACCACAGACAATGGAGATCAAAGGAGGAGTAAGTGAAGGAGCCTCTTTCTACTTAGGTTGAGAGGTAGATAAGTCACTATTGGCTTCGTTACGTAGATAGACCACATATGTGAACTAGCTCTACCGCCCTCTTGGTCCTCCTTCCCGTGCGGTGTTGCGTTACACTCGACGCGCACGTTGCAACACGTTCTCATTCTGGGTAACTGCAGTGGAAGGCTCGGCACGGTAACGACGACGAGGACGATGCCACAAATGACAAACACAAACAAATACAGTCAACGTCCATGCCAGCGCAATCATTCGGTCGTATGACCACATTGATGCATGTCTATATGCTGTGGGGAGAGGGAACCAAGGAAAGGAAGAAACAGATAGAGACAAGACTCCAACCTCCAACGATCTGGAGAACTGGCACCATTGTGTTCCCCGCTAGGCTTTGTATTGCACGAAAAGGACTTGTTACGAGTAACGGACTGGCTCAGGATCGGACCAGTCTGCAGTCTCCAAGTCTTTGTGACCCGGGTGACAGTCTACTGCAACAAAGTTGAGGAGTAACGAGGCCTCAGGAACGATGCTTGCCCAGTCCTTGGTTGCACAGCTAGATTCGTATTTCTCAGCGCCGAGCCCGAGAGGCTGGCTCTAGCCATTCTGTGTCTATGATTACCTACCTAGGTAGGTACCTACGGATCGAACGAGATTCGTCGTTGTTGTCCTAGACAGGGAATCTAGCCAACAATTTGTCGTGAAACACCTCGATCTCTCCGAATGGCCTCGAAACTTGCAGCTCAAACACAAGAGATGTACTCATACTTTGCTGTCTTCTTCTTAGCATTCACCTTGGCTCCAATCAGTATTTTGACGTGTCTCACTGCTGGTATGGATTGCGGGCCCTGAGTGATTGTCAGGTGCGCAGGAATCTCCTGTGTTCCTGACACCGTCATGTTGAGGACTTGGTCGTATCCAGTGACCTGGAAGCCTTTGGCGTAGGAAATGGCTAACTTGAAGTCTTGAGTACCATCATCACGAGGCCCATTGCCGCAGATGAAGATGACATCCACTTTGGGAGATCCCCCGTTGTTGGAAATCAGGTCACTAATGATACGGCATGCTGCATGCCAGACAACTCTGTTCTTCGGGTATGACTTGATGGAGAGTTTAGTAGTTTCTGCGCCAATGCAGTCCGGGTTCTTGATCGAAGGTTTGAGTTTGAAGATGAAGGGTTCCATCGCCGGGCTTCGAAGGCCGAGGCCTTTTGTTGGAATTGTCATAGAGAGGAGCAAGACAACCAAAGTCGAGATGAAAGAGAAGGGATTCATTTTGGTTAGTAAAGAAGGGAGTTTGTCGCAGACGGCGAAAGGACGAGATGGGCGATATTTATATCAAGTCGATTGGAAGCAATGTTCAAGCTCACAGGGTGAATTAGCCCTCGAGAACAACCGCCTGAACATGATGACTGCTTATAAGAGGTGGTCTTCCGTTTTTCCGTTGGTATGCGATCATGACAAGGCAAGCCAGTCAAGAAGATGCACTGTTTGGCTGGGAGCTCGTTTGTACGGTGAACGAAGGACAATCAATCATGGAGACTTCTGTTCTCTCCTGGCTCGCAATGGGTTAGCTGTGAATATCTCAGAAAGAGAACAAGAGAACAAGAGAACAAGAGAACAAGAGAACATGTGTCTTCGCAGTATCAATGCAACCTCTGCAGGTGCAGGACTCTTCGCGAACTGTCGGTTACCCACGGGAAAAGCAGTTTTTGCCTGGCAAGGACCAACTCACGACGCTCCTCAAGGGACAGCTTGATAGACAGTGACGCTTCAACATGTTCTTCGTTCACCCACCGAGGGTCGTATGTCATTTTGTTTACAAGCCAAAAGATCAAACAGCCCGACAATACTCCCGTGCATGAGACTCGTCTCTCCTTGCTCAGGGTCTGAAGTCATGCTGGGTTTGTGTGGTCCTTTAGAGGTAGACCAAACCTCCATTTGTAGTGTTGTGGTTCGCGATCGACATCTGCATTGTGTGGTGACGCACCTCGGCGACACGAGCGGCAATAAGAAATGTCTTGGAAGCCGTGGCTGCTGGTTGTGCCTCGGCTTTGTCGGTGGGCCACGTCCATTTGCGGGGAGATGATGTCCACGTTGCATACTCGTCGAAGACTCACGTTGATAACAACAATATTTCCGGCCCCAGAAGAGACTGCAAGGGTGCGTACTTGAACCTCATTCTTTGTCGTAACAGCTTAGATTGTGTCGTCTAAGCGACCAGACTTCTTCGGTATGGCTTCGACTCTCCACCTCGACTTCCATTATGACATATCATGTCCTTTTGCCTACATTGCCTCCTTGCGCATTGCTGCTCTCAAGCGAAGGCATCCAACTTTGACGGTCACTTACCGCCCTGTCCTACTGGGCGCGTTGTATCGGGCGACTGCGGCACCTCAAGGCGCCGCTGGCTCTGCCTCGGACGTCTTCAATTCGACCAAGCGTGATGTCACATCAACTGCGTTTGCACGCACTTTGCATCGATTGGGAGTTGAACACAAACAACCCCCCAAACACCCTGTCAAAACCACCGGGGCGTTACGCCTGCTTTATTGCGTGGATGGAGACGAGAGGACAGCGTTGACTGGACCGTTGTACCGAGCGTACTGGGTTGAAGGGCGAGACTTGAGCCAATTACAGGAGCTGCTGAGGGTGGTCAAGGCCTGCTCAGGCCTAAGGCCCGAGACAAGAGAAAGACTAATCGAGCTGCTAGAGAGTGGGAGATTTGAAGGCCCGGAACAGAGGCGGCAACTAGAGGAGACCACCGCTTTGGCTCTGAAGAGAGGAGCATTTGGGGTTCCAGCGTTCTGGGTAACTGGAGATGAGAGGTTATACTGGGGACAGGATCGCTTGCAATTTGTGGATAAGGTATTGTACGCGATGGAGAAGCAACAGGGAAAAGAGCCTGTTCTGGAGAGTCTCATGCCTCGGAGCGTTTCGGTGAACCGGCGACTAATTCCAGACGGACAAGAGGTAAAACTGGAATTCTGGTACGATTTCAGCAGTCCTTGGGCTTTCTTGGGATGGACGCAACTCGCAAGGCTGCAACGAACCTTTGGCCCGCGGTTGAAGATTGAAATGAAGCCATTTCTGCTTGGGATCTTGTTCAGAGAGTATGCATATTATATCTTTGCCAGTGTGAGGCGTCGTGCTGATTCTCAAACCAGGATTGGAGCCCCGAATCTTCCCATGGCAGCCGTTTCCGAGGCCAAACGGGCATACTCCAAACTCGATCACCAGGACTGGTGCCGGTGGTGGAATGATGTCAATCAGCAAAATGGGCGACCGGACAAGAATATTGACTTTTACTGGGCCGATATCTTTCCCATTCGCACACCGACGGTGTTGAGGGCGGTGCTTGTCGAGCCAAGGCTAGTTGACATTCTATGTGAGTGACAGGAGATTCTTTTGCATGACCGCTGTCTGACCATGAACACAGTCCGAGCTTGTTGGGAACTTAATAAAGATATGTCGTCTGATTCGGTTCTGCATTCTGTCATCGCTGCGGCAGGTTACGACGCGAACAGTATCATTTCCAAAGCCAACAGCCCAGAAATCAAGCAGTTGTTGAGGGCGGGGACGAAGGAGGCCAAGGAGACGGGGATTTGCGGTGTGCCGAGCTACAGAGTCTTCAGACGGCGGATTGGACAAGGAGATGAGGACTGGGAGCTGGCCAGTGATGTAGTGTGGGGCCAGGATGAAGTCGCAGTGGTGGAAGATTGGATCGCTGGTTGGGATGGGAAGAGCAGAGCCTCTGAGCCCGAGGGAGAGATGCGACCTCGAATAGGCAGCGCGAGACTGTAGATGGAGGTGAGAAGTTGTTGTCAACTGTCATGCCATGAGGTTCGTCGTCTGTTCTGTGTTCTGTGTTCTGTGTTCTGCGCCTGCCTTGGATCAATGGGCCAGAACTCGATTGCTCCTGCCAAAGAAGAGATGCCAAGAACACTGGCCATGATTTCAGGAAGGAGACTTGAAAAGTCCTGCTGTGTTCCTTCCCTTTGTAACATTTTGTGTGGCTGCCTAACCTGACAGACCTGGCCACTTGATTCAACTTTCTTCACCACCAGAATTGAGTCTGGATCTGAAACGATGAAGGTCCAGCTGGATTTGCAATAGAGCTTTGCTCCGTCTCCTGGACAGGGAGGCAAAATGTCGCCCTTGAGTTACACAACTGGAATCTGCATCACTGTTTCTCGAAAGGATGCGTTTCCATGTGTCACGATGAAGCCTGGAATGTTACACAGACACCACACACAGAAGATTCGAGAACAGACTACTTGCTATGACGATCATCCGCAAGTTGGTGATGGACCAGGCGGTGATACATGCGGTGCCCAGCTCTCCCAGCCCTAGAGTGATACTCTGCGTGATGCTATCTAGAACTGGTGACATTTTGATCCGTTCACTCCCAACAGGCCTCTCAGAAACCTTTGCTGATCTGCAGCTTCCCGCTGGATTGTCAAACATTCAACCGACTGAAACGATTTCTTTCGAGGGCCTATAATTTGGACTCGAGAACAATTCCTCAATAGCAGACTCGGAAGTCGTTGGCCTCAACTATCTAACACCATCTTGACTGACAATGGCTGCGAGTTTCGTCGGTTTCCATTGAAAAAGAATAGCGAACAAAAGTTGGATTTGGACATCTCAGCCCATGGTAAAGTCAATACCTCAGTGATGATGCCAAATCCAATAGGTCTTTGTCAATCTCGACATCAAGTGATGCAAGGACAAATCACCTATGAGCAGGATATATAAACAGAATCATGTCGACATCAATCACCGCTAGAAGCGTGCAGCCTCGCATGACTGGCTCCACGAGCGAGAGTCAGAGTTCGGCAAACGAGTCGAAGGACTATATAAGCCTCCAGTTCTTTGATTCAACTCGCAGGTCTACTTTCGATACAGACATGAGATATCCTGGAACAATTACAGATTTTGAAACCATGACCAAGAAAACTTGCAACCAAGCGGAAACTAGAGTCGGTCAACAAGTACTCACCACATCGATGCGGCCGATCAATCTAGGCAAGAAATGTATCTACTGTGGCAACTTCTTTGAAGAATACGACTGTGGTTGTCCTGAACCCGATACTTCCATCAACCAGAAACCGAAATGAATGATCCGCTGGCGTTGGAGAGGACTCGAACGGATAAATACACGCGAAGGGCGAGGGACTCGTCTACTCTATGGACAAGGCACTAATGGACAGTAGCGAGAAACCAGTAGGCCAAAGCTGAATGAAACGATTGAGATCTCTTGTGCCTAAGGTGCAATTCATGACAAGTCTAAAGTGACACAGGACTGTTGCACGCTTCTGTGGCTGTGTTTGACGGGAGTATGGAGATAGAGATCATTTACCATTAGTCCCAGGGACATAATCCAACCAAGTTTTGATCTAGCGAGATTCCCAATGACCGTTTTCCCTGACGTACACCGCACTCTGTGCATTCTTGACCTTGAGTATATTCTGTTCCAGATGGCATAACTTGGGTGAGGTGTTGGTCAGCCTATCAAGATCCTCCAACTGCAGCAGTTTGATGCTTTGCTGCCAGTCGTTGTCGGCATCCTTGGCTTCGACGGGGACGCCTACGATTTCAAGACTCTCGAGTGCGGCAGCCACACGACCATGCTCAAGGGCGCGGACGAGGCTGTCCAGCCAACCATCTTCGAGCAAGAGACTGACGGTCAAATGGGCCAAAGTGGGGTCAGGACGACCGCCAGCACAAGCATTCAGAATGCGGCCAACCTCACTGGCCCGCAGAGTCCACATGCTCAGATCAAGAACGCGGAGGCCGGTCAGATCGCCGGCAGCACCGGCAGCCTCAAACCTCTTCCTCAGTGCAGCTGGGGCGCGGCCATCGGTGGCAAAGGGTAAAATGCCCAAGGCTGGCGCGGTGACGGTATTGGTCGGGTCATCAGAGCTCAAGTCGTCTTTGACGGCGGGAACAAATGTAAAGCTGGCGCCGACGAGGCCTTTGAGTAGCAATCCAGTCAACTCGTCGCCTTGAATGCGAGCAAGAAAGTCACTGTCCTCGTGGCCGCGGAAGGTATAGCTAACATCGACAAGTTGAAAGCCTTTGGCGCTTGCGGCAACCTGGGCGAAGAAACCTGGGCGAGCAAAAGAATCTATGAAGTGTACCTCGACCAGCTTGGGTGCTGCGGTGGCAAAGAACCCCACGGCATCCTGGCGTGAGCTGTCGTCCAACCCATCAAGTAGACAGCTAAAGAATGTTACGCTGGTTAAATTGGGGAGGGAGCGTGCCAGCCCGGTCAGAAAACCAAGCTTTCCTGGGAAGCCAAGATTGAAAAGCTCGAGGGTGAGGTGGGTAATCGATGTCGGGAGAGTCGAGGGAGGTTTGTGTTGGCTTGAGGTTTGGTCGGTGGTCTGCAGCAGAGTTTGGTAGTCATCGAGTTTGATGTCGGCGGTCAGGGTGAGTTCACGGAGGGAGGAGGCTTCTGGTGGGAAGGTGGGGAGGTGGAAATCTTGCAGAGGAATTTGGGCGGCCAATGGTTTGGAATCAGCAGAGGGTGGTTCTGGATGTTTTGATGAGGATGGCTGGATGCTGCCACCGTTGGGCTGGTTGGAGGTGGATACAGCCATAGTGAGCTGAAGAGAGTGGAAGCGGAAACAGACGTCGTCGAGGGCAAAGTGCTGGCTGGATACGATACGAACAATTTGTAAGACGGTTGAATGAAGATGTAGAAGAAGAGAATCTTTCTTTCTCAGTCACATCTCACACCACCACATTTTGTGCATGATCAACAGTGCCGATTCTCAACGTGCCTGGACAATGGATGAACTTCTTCGAGGTTCCAATGACATCTCTGCACGACCAGGATTGCCATGACACGCGGCGAAGCAGGCGTGGTAAGGATGCGTCTTGGGTGAGGAGGCAAGTGAGGGGAGAGGAGAGCTTGGAGAGTTGGAAACCCACACCTGGTATGCTATTTGAGTACTGTGTGTGGTGTGGTGCTCCTGCGGATGTAAGCTGTTGGCGGTGATGAGGAGAGGTCGGCCGGCCGGGGATGGGTCCAGTTTTACCCCTCAAGGAGGATGGATGTAGTAAGGAGGCCATTGTAGGGGTGATGGAACATTGATATAAGCTCATAGGCTCATAGGCTGGCTGTATGTCTGTGGTCATCTTGGACGTTTGAGGAGACGGAAGTGTGTGCATGGTGGCCGTTGGCCGTTGGATGTGTGGATTCGTTGCGCAGGAGGGGAATGCAGCGAAGTGGGTAAATGGCAATCACCGGGAATGGGTTTCCAGGGCTGCTCCTGCTCTTTTTGCAAGCTGAGAAAAGAAAGGTCATCATCATAGGAAGGAGTCACCGCTTGCAACGCGCGGTTGCCTCATCTTCATGGCAACTACCACTTTGTGTGTGGGGACGCACTTGCCCCCAGTGGCCTCCAAACTCCAACCTCCAACCTCCACCCCCACCCCTCTTCTTCTGTTGCGGGGGTGGGCCAGGCACGTCAGGTCACATGCAGATCTCGCCCACGATTACTGTATACGTACAAGAATCTATTTGAGTAGGTCAAAACCCCGATATTTCTGATGCTTTTCTGCCCTGATATTCGGGTGTTTACAGTAGCCAGCTTGCTAAACCACACAGTGTCAGAAATTCGACTATCTCGTCATGCTTTATGACTGGGTGCAGCCCCCTTCTCAATGTTCATTTGGATCAACCATATAATAGCCAAGCACAGCACAGCATCACCTCCCACATTCCAACGGACAAGACGAGACGAGTCTCAATGTCAGGAAATACCAAGCTTGACAACAGCAGATTGGTGAGAATAGCCCGATTCTGGCGACTCAGCTGGCTTGCCAGTCTTTTCGGTCCAAGTAATCAACATCGACCACCCACCAGTGCTGATGTCGTCGTTGCCAAAGTATCCAGCGTGAAATCCTCCCGCATAGATGAAACCCTCAGCAGGCTTGTCCACCTTGACCAGCACCTTTTCTTCTGACCACGTCCCCGTCACAATGTGCTCGCCATAACCATCTGCTTGGGTCGCATTGAGGTCCAGAGGTAAATGACGATAGTAGAATGTGTTATCCCCGTAGCTGTTGAGGTAAACCATGATGAAGGTACCCAGAGCTGGCACGAAAAAGACATCCAGATCTTGAACGGGGAAATCCAGCATGTGCCCTTGCGAGTCAGGTTGCGCCATGGTCTTGGTCCAGGACTTCCCATTCCAATAGGAATATGTCGACAAGTCTGTGAAGCCTTGAGGGGTCGTCTTTGCAACTCGCACTCCACCGCCACTGCCATCTCCGTTCTCTCCTCTCTTCTGTCCAAAGAGATAGATGTCTCCATCGTTGCCACCGATTCCCTCTGAGCCCCAGGCACGAAAACCTCCCAGAGTTCCGAATGTCATCTCGTCTTGTCGGTACAATTGTTTGACCACTCGATCTGCCGTCGGGCCAAAAGTAGGATCCACCGAAATCAAGGCCACCGAGTTTCCAATCTCGTGAAAGACTGGATCCTGGCGTGGCAAATGGACATCGTAGATTAATGCAGGGTATAGCAACGCGTGTGTGGTGTTCAATGGAATGAGCGACGACTCGGGCCAAACCGTATACCGATACCCACTTCCCGAGAGGTGTTTATTGTAAGCCTCCTCTCCAGAGGTCATGGGTATAAATCCTCGCATTCTGCCCACATCATCCTGCCACTCGCCAACATTGTCCACAAGCACCAGTCGCTCGCCGTGCAATGCTTTCATGCCCTGGTCCGTGGCTACCGAACTCGATACAAAACTGTTCATTTGGTCGGATCCTGTCGCGAAACTCTGGGTATCCGTAAACACAAAGACGTGGGTGCCATGAATGGTTCCACCTCGACCGCCGTCCCGGCATAAGTGTGGTACCACTTTCATCGACGAAAGAACAAACGTGGCAGGCTTGGTTTCTTCAGTCCAAGTTCCTGTGCCCTCGGCAATGGGATATGTGCTGACAATCTTTTCGTTGACCTCGTGGATAGGACCCTCACCGTATTCTTGCGGTTCAGAGTATGGTTTATGACTGACATACTGAGTTGTGGGCTCATTTCGTGAAGATCCCAGCATGTGTACGCTCTTGACTCGTAGAGTGATGGGCAAGATGTGGTTTCCAGCTTTGGAGGTTTGAGCGACAACACTGGCCGCCGGGGAGGGACCAAGGATAGCTCCGATCAAACGAATTGCTGCTTTCATTGGAACGGTCAGGGATGATTTTAGGTAACAGTTGTCGGCGCCGGTCATTCTATCCAGTGCAAAAACAAAGCCAATACACTTGGTTCCAACAGTTTTCTTGTTCAAGTCAATACACATGGACAAGCATTGTTCAAATGAGGTGGCCCGAAGAAAGGGATAGATATCTTGACCAGGAAAATCGATGTCGCAAATAAGCGTGTATGTGTGTGGATCTTGTCCCCGGGAGAATGCCGTACCATTATCGGCATCGCAAACAAAGTCCTCCTCTTTTGCAGTAAACGAAGTTATACATCGACCCTGGTTGCATGTTGTTCCTGACGTGGCTGGGTTGGAGTGAAAAAAACGGGCCCAGCCCTCTGAAAGGATAGGATATTTGACAGTGAGAGAGGGAAGGGTTCGAACATCGGTGGATGCCCGACCTTGAAATGGAGGATGGGGATAGGCAGTCAGGAGGGTGAAGATCGAAAGCAATACTAGTAGAGTCAGCGTCCTGCTGAGACCAAGGTAACAAGAACGAGACATATTGAGGGGCTGGATGAATCAAGTGCAGATATCTCCGAACCAGTCGGTGATGGCGAACGGCAGATGTACAGAGACAATATTTCAGTTGTCAATGACCCGTAGGAAGTGTGTGCTTTATATCCATGCGAGATTGAGGATGTAGGAAAGAAGGAGTGAAGGACCAAGTGCAGGCGAAAAGAGAGGTGAGAGATCAAAGAGATCAACCAGGGCAGCGAACAAAAGAGGAGTCTGCATCAACCATGGCAAATATCTTGCAATTTGATCAATCGCACGACCAATCGGTGTCGCCAGCATTATTCGAGGTCTGGTCGAAAAGTCATTCAACTCCAGAAGCCAATGGATGCCAAGCCGAGGCGCAATGGATGAACATGAACATGAACATAAACATAAACATGTGGAATCACTTCTGGAATTCAAACTGTCAATCACAGGTCAAGAACGTCACATCTTACCAAGGGACAGATCGATATAGAACATGGATGCTTATCTAGTTTGAGTTCTTGTTAACCCACTTGTTCTCGCGCCCATAGTAAGCCCTGTGATACCCCTTCCATCGTCATCATTACTGCACATTTGCCACGAGGTAGTACAAAGCAGGTCTTGATCCTCGAACCATACCATCGGTGATGTGGGTGTGGGTGTGAGTGTGGGTATACTCTTCTCTTTTCTCCTTTCAACCACTCTGCTCACATTGCCTTCTTCGACGCATCTCGCACATCCTGCGGCGGACTTGCATTCCTTTCTAGATCAGCCGCCCAAAGCGCCGCACCAACCGTGTTGGTAAACGCAAATACCAGATTGGCAAAGGGAATCATTTCCAGCAGAAACGAGGCCACTCCAAATGAGGTGTAGCCGCCTCGGTGTTCTTCAATGTGGATTTGTCGTTGCCGCTGAGACCATTCTTTGAGTTGGAAATACCGGGTATGCGCAGTTGGGCCAGCTCGCTTGCCTTGGAGTATAATGAATACCACTGTACCCACCACTGGAATAAAGTTGAGTGGCAGATATAACAGATAGCGAATGATAGCGTTGGGTGCAAACTTGGCAAACGGTTTCTTGATCAACTTGCCCAGACGTGCAATGTTATCCCCCCCAGCTTTGATCTGTCTGCCCTCTGAGACTAGGTTGGTACATTCTCTTGAAAGCAGGGTTCCATCAAAGGTGTCAATCAGTGCATCGTCGATTAAAAACGTTCGGGACAGCAAGTTGATGATGGTCGAGCTCTCGCTCAGGGTCAATAAAGCGGCCGTGATGGCCGCAATCGGCCCCGAAGTGAATGCCATAATGGCTGCTTGAGGGACATAGGCTACGAGGAACATGAAGGTGGTGACGCCGAGGCTGAGGGTTAGGGTCGGTGCTAGCTTGGAAGTCAAGGGCTTCCACAGGTCTTTGTGGGAAATGAAATAGAAAATTCCCTGTCAAAGTTAGGCCCCAGTTCTAAGTACACCACACACAGTGCATTTTGAGCAGAGGAATACCTTCAGTGGATAAAGATAGGCACGAGACTTGATGGCATCGGTAGTCATCTCCTTGACCTTCTTGGACTCTTCGGCCGCCACTTGCTTGACACGATCTGCCATTGTGAGAGAGGTGGAGGGTAGGACCGAGTTTGTCTGGTGATGGACCTGTGGACAGAGCCCGGAGAAGTAGATCAATACTGGGAATGAGGGAAGAGGTTTGTGTCACCCGCTGGTTGTCAACATATTCTGCGAGAGTGTCAAGGACAATTTGTATTCTGATCACTTTGACGTTTGAGAAAGAGAAAGTCAATTGGAAGTGACGTCACGGGCATTCAGCCAAAAGAGTTGACACGTGCACCGTACCAATTGTACTGTAGGTGATCATCCATTAGTGGAGCACATGATGTCTAGACTCCGAGGCAACTGAGGCCAAGTGTAATGCGTCGGACGGATTCATCATCTTCCATCAAACAGGCAGAGCTCTGGTCAGGATGAATGAATGAATCATCAGACTGTATGTGACCTCTAGTGTTGAAGAAGATGGACGCGAAGAACCCCTCTCTGGTCACGTGCTAACGCGTCACGCGTCGTCCGAGTCTCAGACGTGTCACGTGTGGACGCGACTTTTTACATTTTGCAGGTTGAAGGAGAAGCAGACATTCTTTAAAGACTGACTCACAATGGCTGCAAAAACTGTGCCGACATATATCCTCGTGTTTCGTTCCAGTTAGATGCGCCAAGGTCATTATCAAAACATCCTGGTTGTCATCATTATCATTATCTGTTTCAATATCTACAATTGCGGCATCACATCTTCATCTACCATGTACCGCCTTTGTCCGTCTACGCCCTCCATGAGCCCAAAAACATATCTCCGCTCCCCCATCACGCCTTCGTAGCGTAGTCGTTGATTCTGCTCATCCTGTACCGACGATCCTGTCGTCGTCCTTACCCCTACATCGCGATCCGTTTGATCGTCGCGGCGACTATTCTTGTCTTCAACAAAGCGACTTGCACACAGCGTCATCAAGCCAGAAGCCATTGTTTCAGGCCGAGTCTCATGCGCTCGACTGCTGCGTTTCCAGTCTTTGTACGTCATGCGAACCTGTGCAATGAAGATGAGCACTAGTATCACAATGCAGAACCAAGTGCTGACGTGGTACACTTCGGCAGTCTGCGCATAAGAGAATGGCACTCCAGGGATCAGAATAAGTAGTAAATCGCTGAGTATGGCCGCCGTTGACATGAAAGCCAGAGATATGTCGCGATTTTTGATGGATTTGTACAGCGACTCAAACTGTGAACCCTTGGTCCCAGCGGTAATAGTCTGTGCTGCTGGTTTTGAGGGATCCTTGGCCATGAGCATGTATGGCTCAGATAGCCGAAGCAGCTGTTCTTTGCTTTTGACCAAGTAAGAAACAAGAATGGCCATAACAGTCAAAAGAAGGGTTGGCCCAAATCTGCTATTCATCCAATCGTTGAATGGCCCTGTATGAACGCAATAGTATGCGAGGATGAGAGAAAAAAGGCTGATAGACAGAGCCAGGCTGCAGAGGTCTGGGAGGATGGGCATGGTCTCCACGACATGCCCGACAATCTCAGCAATGCGTCTCGACATAGTTTGTAGTGCGTCATAGCTTTGTTTATACATTGTTGGCATGACGAATGACGGTGGGCCAGACTTATTAGGCGTGTCCAGTCTAATGATACCGTAATGGCGACACCCATTGGACTCAAAGGTTCCGAGCATATATCGACTATTCGAAAGCTCCTCCTCGACCTGAGTTTTAGTAGCTTCCAGAGGCAGATCTCGCAGTTGTCGGATCAGGGGTCGATGGACCAAGAGATCAGCCATGGTGGCGATCCTGGAAGGATCCGAAAAAACTCCACTCACCCGAGAGCGATTCAAGATGCCAATTCCAAGCACCATGACAAAGCAGATGATCAGAAAGACTTCCACGGCCCGGACAATGCCGATGTTGACAACCCATACCGGCTCACATGGCTGATTCTCCGCAATCTCGGTTCTGCAGAACGCTGTCGCCTCGACGTCCATGGATTCGCTGACTAGAGTGACGATCACACTCAAGCCAAACTGAACTTGACCCGCCAAAAATAACACCCACTGACCATCGAGGGCCACGCTGACGAAGCTCAACGAAAGACCATACGACAGGTGAGTTGAGGTTAAACTCATACCGGCCGGTGCACCGCCTGGCCTCGCTAGTTGATAAAAGGGTTCCATCAGCTTGAACGTGCTGTACACAATGAGCCAGGCGGATTGCATCACCACCCCCAGCAAAACAGGTAGATACTTGGCAAGGAAATAGTCGAACCGTGTAAAGGTTCGATAGTTGGTTGATCCCGAATCGTCGTCGTCGGCGTCGTCGGCGTTTTGCTGGTCACTTGAGGTAATTCCAGTTGCCTTCGCGTTGCTAGTACTGGATGAGCGTGTGGACGGTACGCTCGATGTCCCTGTCGACCCCTTTGGAACAACAGTGCCGACATAAACAGGCACTGTGGTAGCCTGTCCGTTGGCATCTGTACTCGTACTCAATTCAATCAGTGTGCTGACGGTCTCGAAGTTGTCAGTGGCCTCGATCTCGGAAGACGTGTCTGCCAAGTCGCTGGGGATCTCCGAGGAGACAGGTGTTTCGGTGACTTGACTGCTCTCTGCTGACGTCTCGCTCGTAGGTGGCGGCGCTTCCGTCGAGGGGGCAGGGGCAGATGTCGGTGTCGGACTGGGCTCACTGGTAACCTGCTGTTGAGACTCTGTCACTTGGTTTTGCTGAGACGTGATTGTTGTAGTGATGGTCAACTGTTCGGAAGACGGAGGCTGACTGGGAGACACCGTAGTGGTCTGGGAGGTGCCAGGTGTTGGGGTTGCTGCTAAACACCGGTTAGTAGGACATGGTGGTTGGACAGATTCTCACAAGTATTTACTATCAGATGTGATTGACCCGGATTCCTGTCGGACTTGAAGCACATGACGCGGTCCAAACTGTTCATCACGTTTCCGCACCCCGTGGACTTGGGAGCTGCTAGGATGCGCCGCAACGGCAAGCTCGAGGAGAACTATGGCGAGAATTATTCCCAGCAAAAATACCGCCAAAACCCAGTTGCGAATCGCCCGAGGCTTGTAGAACTGGTGACGCTCATAATTGCATTCGGAGATTGACTGATATGAGGTCTGGTCGTCGTGGGAATGGTCGCACCGTGATGACCGATGGGAGCGAGTGCTATGTTTTTCGTCAGAGTCGCCGTAGTCTGACACTGAGTAGATGGTACTCCGAGAGATGGCGGCCTTGGGTTTTTGGCACGATGAGCATGACGGCGACATCTTGTTTAACGCGTTGTGCAATTCAGCACGACCGACAATGGGTCAGCATATCGAGAAAACAAGGATGCAAAGGTCAGAGAAGTCCAGTGTGAGTACGATGCTCGATATGACAGGGGGAAGACTCATTGCCGCCATGGTCAATCCGATACGTGCACTGGGCTCTTGTCTTGACAGGGCCTGAGCGGCTCGATGCATCCCAGATTGCCAGGCAAGCAGGAATTTGAGTAACCAAGTGAGGTGGTGGTGGTTGTGGTGGTGGCTTCAAGTTGGATCGTAGAGCGCATCGGTTAGATTGTTGTATGTCCATAAACGTTATAGTGCGACACTAAGAGCATTAATCGGATTATACAACCGGTTTGATTGGCTAAAGTCATAAAGAAGCCCTTTAGACGCAAGCCATTCCAAGTTTAATGTTTGACAGCTTCAACGTCATGTTGATCCAAGACGCCCGTTTTAAGATTGCGTCTCGGCGGGCGCTCTTTTCGAATCCCTTTGCCCTGCAATTCGCGCCTATGCGAGTCTGACCGAGGGTCTGGTGGTGTTTGTATGAGGACTTGGTCCATACTCTGACAGGGATTGAATTAGCTGCTGGACGGTAGGTCACCGCATTGTTCAACAATTGGACCAGTTGTCATCCCTACGGAGTAGATGGAAAAACAGCTTTTCTGAATGCTGGTTCGGGAAGGAAAGACAGGTCTACTGGGGCGTTTCACCCTGAAGCTGCTCCATCAGCACCCTGGGTGTTGTCTCACCCTGCAGTGTGTCAGACGCTGTTTCTCAGCCTCACCTCGGCAACAGGCACCAACACTACACCCGTCTTAAGATCTATTTGGGGGAATTCCAAGGCTCTCATACGCTACCGACGCTCCGAGACGCAGAAAATCCACCGCCTACCATTCCTATCACGCGTTCGGTTATCAACTGTTACTTGGAAGCGACATCACTCTCCGAAGCCTACCCATGGGCTAATCACGTGACGTCTATATCAACCCGTTAGTGACTTCACTCTTCTGTTTTCGAGCAGTGCCTACTGCCCTGCGCCAGAATGATATACTGTGTAGACCTACACCATTAGTACGTCCCCATGCCTTCACTATCTGCGGGACATTTTGCCAAATCTCACATATTTGAACGCAGTTACTTTATGGTCTGCCTTGCGAAAGCCTAGCATTCCTCCTCAGCACGGACCTTGTGACTGGCCCATCAATGATTCATTGTCGCTGAGACACTCCACATAACAAGTTGTCGGCTACCATTTTGTCGTCGAAAGCTTTCATGTTCCAACTTCGTTATTGCGCCACAGGCAGTGCCTGCTAGAAGCAACAAGTCAATCTATACATCCAGCCCCAGATCTAAGGTTGCCGCTCTACGATAGGTTCGTAAGGCAGTACATGAAGTTTGTTCCCCTTGGACTCAAACGATGTTCGAGGCCACCTCATCTCATTACACCGAAAAGCGCCTCGTGCTGCCTCCTCGACGCCTGCCTTCACCTCTGTTATATAATGAACCCTCTTTGGCCTCAAAGGGCCCTCAGGTAGGTTGCCTGCTCTAAGCCCTGGTAGGTGCTCTGGATGTGGCCAGATGGAAAACTCTAGCTTCCTATCACCAGCCTCTGTTGATGGTAATCTACATATGATAGCATCAGACACAGGTGCTCTTCGACACCAATGACTCTATGCTGCAAGCCAGAACAGTGAGCCTCAAAGGGAACAGGGGATGGTTCTACCTCATTTTGATCTTGATAACTGCATCCTTCTGGGGGCGCCTGTCAATGACCAACTGAAGGCTCCCGTCACCTTTGTCGTCCCACTTGAACTTCCCTACGCCCTTGTATGCCGGGAACATCTGCTCTCCAACCCACATGTTTGCCCCGGCCACCCAATCGAGAACCACTTCGGTAACCCAGGCTTTGGTCTTAATTTCGATGAAACCCCCAGTGCCCTCAATTTCCAACAAAAATTGAACCATTACCTTGCCCATAACCTCTATGGGCCCCCATCCTGGTAGATCTCTACTGGTAGATCTGGTCGTGGGCCAGTTGAGAACGGCAATGTTTCTGCAGTTGGCGCGATCGACCTCATGCAGGAATTCGCGTGTGATGAAAACTCCGTTTCCGGCGCCAATCATGATTTCAAAGGCATGATGGGGCTTGCCATATGGCCTCTCCGAAGGGACCAAGTACCCATGAATATTTGCCTGTTCGGGTAGTGTGGCTGGCCCACAAGCAGCAAGGTACTGATATCCCTCCGTTTCAAACCATTCGTCATCTTTGCCTTCCTCTAAATGAAATATTTCTAACAGGTCTCCCGAGCCTTCCACAGCAACGCCTTCGGGAAGATCAGTCACAGACAATGAGACCGTTTCATCTTGGGTCTCATGCTCGCTGGAATCTAGTTGGCTCGAGCCATCCTTGTTCTCACCGCTCTTAGTAGGGGTTCCAGATCTGGTTGCAGAGCTAGAAGACGGAGAAGGAGAAGATTTCGACCTGCGAAGTCGATCCCAATTAAACTTTTGCATATTTCATGGAAGATACGATGATTCTTTTCCTAACGAGGGAGGATGAATCGAGAAAAGAGGAGGGAAACTCCAATCCAATGAGTTTTTATAGCATTATAATTGGTAGGTATCTCGTCATATCTAGAATTCATGTTCAGATTTAAATGGAGAGTCATCAAAACATGAGCCACAGATAATGACACTACGTTCACAAAATGCTGACTTGAGATGTGTTGAATCTAATATTCGTGTGACTGTAATCACTGTAGTGGTGAAACCATGGACGGCATTCCTCCATTCCCCGCCCATTTGCCGTTTAGTATGGGTGCTACCCTAGAGTAAGTGTTTTTGCGTGTCCTAGAGATGGTGAGTGACCTGAACTTGCCTCCAGCAAGAGCGTTAAGAGCAACCAGCAAGCATCTTCTACAGACCCATGTCGAAAGAAATACCTCAACAAGCTCGGTCTCAAGAGCTGCGTGCGCTACTCTGAAGAAAGGTCGCTGGCCTATGTGCCTCTTTGATAGCTGGCGGTTTCCGGCCTTTGGTATTTACCTCTCAATTGCTTCCCGAATCAAGAGAAGTCCACCAGGGTCCGGCCCAGTAATTCCCCATAATAACGAGTTCCCTCTTATCATCTGGTCCGGGTACCCATATAAAGTAGGGTGCTCCCTTTGCAAGGGGGAAAAGATTTTCCCCTAGCCACAGGTCGACCCTCGACTCGGGATCAAGGCCGTCGGGCGTGACCCATGCGTGACAGCAGACCAGGACCCAGCCGTCATTGTACTTCTGCTTCAACAAGAACTCTAGTTTCACCAGGCTGGTGATGTTTATTGGCTTGCCGGAAACTAGAAAACTGGATCTCGTGGGTCTATCGAGAGGGCAGGGGGCTGTCACATTATTGCATCCCATGTCGCGGATTGAACTCACAAAATCTGCAGTGATGAAAGCACCTCTGCCAGGTGAGATTGAAAGCATGAAGCTATGCTGGGGCTTGCCATATGGAAGGTTTGGAGGAATTAGGAATCCCTGAGTATTTGGATATACTTGCTGATCCGTGGGCCCTGAGTTCACTAAATGCTGGTGTCCATGTGTCGATCTCATTCGGAGGTCTTGTGGCATTGCTCTGAACATTTCGAGTCTGAAATTTGACGCATCAAATTGACGTCGGCCAATGCTTTCTTCGTCCCTGGCAGAGTCGGTGCAAGCACTATCGCTTTGAGTTTGTTTCATGGCTTGGTAAATCACTGGAGTTAGTCGTGACCTTGAGACTTCAATTGCTTACTGCCTTCTAAGTAGGCTTTTAAACAAGCCATCTAGTCAGATGGATACAAACACTGGACATCGTCACAATGATCGGTTTGACAAAGCCCATATAGTCGTAAACGCCCCGTGTTCACCCTTCAGTCATCGAATTTACCCACGACATTCAGAGCTCGTTGGATCTCGTTGGACCCACACACCAAGTCCTATTCTGATAGTCAAAAGCATTGACTCTGCCTTTGATGATGATTCTACTATTTGAGATTATACAACGTACTCATTTTTTCTAGCAGAACTCTAATGCCTATGTTGGTATAGGTTGTCACCACACGCTGTGTAGGGTTGAAAAGCATCTGCGCTTGCTACCTTCTCCCGATTTGGTGGTTATTTCTCAGGCTCTATCTTGGGACTGAATCTATGTAATATAGGTACTGGTACACCACTGTATATCACTAAACAGAATCATAATCAGGGACACTAACATGCCGAGCTCTACACCCGGTGGTAACTGGCACAGGACTGAAGTGTGCGGAAGGATTCACGAGAGGCAAGTAGGTTTTGACCACCACACGCGCACGGCTATCTTCGTTGGTCAGGCAAACTAGACAAGGACGAAATTCGTATTCTTTTGACCCAAAACTTTCTTCGCTGCCCAAGTAGTCGTACCTCATATGCCTACATACGGAGTACATCCATACATCAGGGTGACAGGGTCCTTGAGAGAACAGGGGTCATCAGCCTTGCGGATCTTGGCGCCTGACACCCTATCGGACGCCAACACCATTGCATAAGGGTTTTTAACATCTCCCAGCCTCCTTTTCACTATATAGCCATACCGTTAGGTATAGATAGATAGGCTTCCCTCATAGAAACGAGGAAGCCTAAGCAAATCATTCACCTCAATCTTTGACACACCCAAGTATTCGTACTCCGTAGGTATCCAGCCATCAGCTCTTGGCCCGCCCAAAGAGCGTAAAACTAGCCCTGTCCTCATTGACCTCACGTGCAACTCACCCGGACCTGGCTGCTTTTATACGAATTACTCAAGATAGTGCCAAACTTGCAAACCATGCTTTTCAGGAAGTAGCTCTTCTGAAGCTGCCATGGCGCCGCAGTGCCGCACGGGGTTCGAGCCACTCAGGCATTACAATCGTCATGTAGTTGTACTTCACACCCATTAGAGGAGCTTCCTCGATTGGACCGCCGTTGGTATCCATGAGGTGCACGACTAACTGTGCGCCTGTGTTTCTCGAGCTGCCTCATGATACAAGTGACCAATTGCGTGGCGACATCCGAAGCAAGACTTAGGGAGCATTCGTATATCCCATGTAGAAGAATAGATTAGGGACACCTTCTGGCGGACAGATACTTAGGTAGCCTCGCCACAAGAACCACCGTTCTAGGCTTACCTGTCAGCAGTGCTTACGCCAAACAGTTGCAACTGCAGGTAGGCCTGTTGGAGTGAATCTGATGACGACATCCGCTTCGCAGGGGTTCTTATGAGGATTAGTTCTGGTCAGGAAATTTCCGAAAGTTCCGGGCCACCAGGGTGAACTTGGTCAGCCTAAAGCGATCTCTAGTACCTATTTACATGCAAGTTTGAACTACCCAGCCCCTGCCTGAAGTGACCGTGCGTCCACCAAGGTCGGTCCAGGCCTTGGTACTCCGTAGACTGAAGTTAGATCAATGACAATGCTGGGGCCCCCGCAGCCAGCTCCAGGTCCAAGCAGTTCCTCCGGAGTACCTGGGGTATTACCGAGAGGTAAACGGAGAACATCGCTGGAGCCTCTCAGCCTTTGGGCCCTGCGACGGCAGAAGTAAAGCTTGATTTTTTGAACTTGGAAGTCCTTAGTTAGTCTCCCCCCCTCCCCCACCAACCGAGGCACGAGGTGCAATGTTGGCCCGGGCACCAATCTCAATGGCCAATACCTCAGGAACAGTTCAGGCATCCTAACTATGAGCTGAATCCACCCTCATTGACTCTTGAAGAACGAGAATCTGAGGCTTCCACGCCGGTGATGGTTGCCGAACGTCGAATTCCAACCTACATCGTTTCCAGAACTCTCAAAACAAGTCTGACAACTACTTGCGTCGAATCGTCTGACCATGGCCGATGTCAGACAAGATGAAGCCAACCATTCGGGCAGCATTAACTCGCCAATGAGGTCACCAACTCCGCGTGGCAAGCGCAAGAGATACACAACTGTGGCCTGGTGCGGACATGACTCAGTTTCCTCCATCGTCTGCTAACCTCCACCGCAGCGATGAGTGTAAGAAGCGCAAAGGAAAATGTGACAGCCAAATTCCGTGCCAGCGCTGCCGAGACAGGGCTGTTAAATGCACTTACAGCTCGAGATTAGCCATCGCGTCGTTGCAAAACGACAGGTATGTCTTTTCACCAGCCTCCTGCTTGGTCTAAGCTGCAGATGTGATTCTGACGTCCATTAGAGACTTCGAATCGTTGAACGAAAAAATCGAGAAAATGCAAGCCCAGATTGATCGACACATTGCAAACGGGCTCCTGACCAGTTCAGTAACCAAAGTGCCAGGCACCAGTTCAACACCAACTCCTATTACACCCTCGCCGAATGTAACTGACTACGATTCAACCCACCAGTCCGAGAACAGTAGATCCATGCTTGTCTCATCTGTCACATCACGTCCGAGACCGCCCGAATTTCAGGGTCCGACAAGTTCATCTTTTCTCTTTCGAATGGCGACGGATTCCCTGGCCATCGCTGGAATCCATCCCCCAACGCATGCCGGACTCGAAGTGGACAGTCACTCAGCTTCGACTAAATTCGGATGCCAGGACACGATTTCTGCAAATCGTGGAGTCGAAAACCCCCTGCGCACCATCTCTCGAAATGAAGCCCTGCGTCTGCTAGATTACTACCATGACGAGTATGGGGAAATCTATCCGTTCATCGACAAAACAGTTCTGGATCACGCGGCTCATTACTTCTATGACTGTTCCGACATGGCTTCTCCTTCGTCAACCAGAACATACCCCAAGGACGAAAACACCCTTTCCGATGGCATCTGGGACATACTGAAGCTAGCTATAGCCATTTCTGCTGCCATAGAGAATCATGGGCCCAATTCCTTGAGCACGAGGCTTCTCGAGAGCGTCGAATCCGGCTTCCCCACTCGCTTCCTGGGCAAAATGGTTGAGCTTCTGGAGATACAAGCCTGGACTGCCATAGTATGTCTGCTTCTGTTCCACTCATGCTTGCATAGCCTTCCTAACCTCTCCAAGAGCATCCTACAGTTCCATTTGGATGATCCGGTCCTCGCTTGGAGAACCATCGGTCTTGCTGGCAGGGCCGTGATTGACTTGGGCCTACACCGACGTGAGACTTACTCGATGCGCTTCTCTGACAACAAGCAACGCCTACGAGCCAGTCAGCTCTTCTGGTCTATATATGCACTTGATAGACGTTGGAGCTTTAGCACTGGTCGCTCGTTCGCCATCCCCGAGTGCGATATTGATCTCGACCTTCCCAAACCGGTAATTACAATACCCTCACTATCAGTTCAATAGCTGGCATAGGCAATGTGGCTAATTCTTATGCCCAGAGTAGCTCGGAATCATACCTTCTGTCGACCATGGTCGCGTATGCGCAATTGGAATCGAGAGTATGGAAGTTGGCTTCCAAACCCACAGCCAAATGCACACCAGAGAAACTATCCTTCCTCTACTTCCGCGTGCAACAATGGTATCGGAATATCAAGCCCCAATATCAGCTGCGCCCGGCAAAGGAGCACATCTTACCTGGAACCAATCGAAGTGAAAACAAGATCCGTCTACTTTTGTACTTCAGCGTCAATCAATTACAGCTCTTCATCTTCCGCCAGGAACTCTTGATCGCGCGCATGACGGACGAAGACTTGCCAAATGCTAGGCTCGCTGTGGAAGCGGCAAAGGACAATATTCGACTGTTACGAAGAGTGAGCCAAATCGCAGACTTTTATTCCGCACAGCAAGCTCCTTTCAACCACTTCCTTATTTCTGCGCTTGCGGTCCTTTTTCTCGCCGTGTGCCACGCTCCAAATCAATTCAGCAACACCTGTCGTGAAGAATTCGTAATGGCACTTGAGCTCATTCAGGAATTCTCTTCCGAGTCTCATATCGGGAAAAGGCTCTGGAAACGGGTCCAACACCTCAAGCAAATTGGCCTGAGTCTAGGTCTGCTGGGCAACTGCGCCCACACAGGTGGGTTGGGGAATGAGGATGGCACTCTGAATAGCACAGATTCCAATCCCGCACCTTTGCGTTTCTCGTCGATGGAGAATGGTCAGCAACCAGAAACACAACATCCGCCTGTCTGCTCTCAGATAGTGACGCCTTTTACGGACGAGACGATTGATCCGTACCAGCTCACCAGTGACTTGACGACCATGTTCGATACAATCCAACCATCTCACAGATGGCCTGCAGCGGGAGATGGTGGGCTGATTCAGGTGGACAGATACCATCTTGCCATGAACTGCGATCTGTCAAGAGACTTTTTGGATTCATTTTAATCCTACAAACGCACAAGCGCTAGCCCGCCGAATTGAAAAGCAAGTGGTCCTTTAGTAGAAACATTTCTTAATCTTCTTGTCACCAATTGCGTTTCGAGCCTGGCATCCGCCCAATAGCGGCCGTGGAGATCTTGTAATTCATGAAGAAGTGGCATTGTGTTCAGACTACGACGCCTGTCTCGTAGCCTAGATTACAGCATCCCGACTTTCGACTTATACTGTCGCGGAGTTCCATACAATCATAAAACTCGGAGCTTTAGATCGATCTCCGAACGGAACACATACAACTGGCAGAAGAAAACGCCGCAACACTTCTCATCAGACTCGAAAGATTAGGCTCTTTAATAGATACTCTCCTCCCAACAGAGTGTTGGAAAACAAAAAGTCAAAGCACTGGAACTACCAAGTCCTTGACACCCTGTCCGTAGACGAAAGATTCATCATTCATTTCATCTGAGATCAAGCAAAGGAGGCATGACAGATCTTCAGAAAACGTACACAATATATTTTCTTGCCAAATAACTCACCCTGACCGTGAGCATGGCTGGATAGCATGCCTAGACACTAATCTGGAAGGTCATGGGGCGAACTGATTGAGTTTCGGAAGAGGGATGTACCAAATTGTTCATGAAGTAGATGACAGCAAGTTGTCTGAGATTTCGGAAATTTCCGCACAATCGCCTGTCACAATTCCCAGTTCCCCCGGCTTTTTGGGGCCAGGGTACTCAGACTGTGGCAGAGCCTCTGTGGGGGGGTACCCCGACAGCTACCTATTCAAATGCTGTTGTTGGAGGTCTTCCGGGGTTGACAGCATTCAGCCAGTCGCCAACCTGATCAACGATCAATCACGGTATCTTATCGCAAATCGAAATGGCCCAAATAACAGAAACCAATGGCAACACCAACGGACAGGGACCTGGAGAACCTATCGACAATGCCACCAGCGCCGACATCATTATTGTGGGAGCAGGCCCTGTTGGTCTGCTGATGGCGTTGAAGCTGGGTCTTCAGGGCATCTCCACCATCGTGGTCGAGAAGCACAAGGGAATTCTGAAGGCACCTCGAGCAATTGCATACATGCCGGTGGTGAACGCACAATTGAAGAAGATGGGTTTATTGGAGCCCGTTGCCAAACGAGCGTTTCATTGCTTCCTGGGCCCATGTTGGCGTCCGGTGCAAGGCGAGGCCCACGTGCTATGCGATCCTGGAGAAAAGATTGAACAGCTGCGGAAAGCGGGGGTCAATTTACCACCTCTTACGCCTCAAGACGAGAACTGTGTCTACATGATTGGGCAGGACGAGCTATCCGAGATCATTCTCGAGCAACTCCGGCAACGGTGCCCTGAAAACATCAGCGTACGCTTCCAGATGTCTTGTACCGCCGTCAATAATGTCCCCGGAGGCGCCACGGTCACGGCCACGGACAGGAGCACAGATAACAAGGAAACCCAAGACATCGTCCTGACCGCAAAGTATGTCATTGGTGCTGACGGGGCCCAGAGTGCTGTTCGACAATGCGCGTGCATCCCATTCGAGGGCTTCACCTGGACCAACTTCAGATTTACTGCCGCGGACATCGAATACGACTTCCAGGAGGAGATGAACTATTACCCAGGGAATTTCATGGTCGACCCTTACAACTGGGCTGTGATCGCACGGTGCGGCCCCGAAAATGTCTTCAGAATAGCGTACGGAGAACTTCCAGAAACACCTGATGATGACGAAAGTCTGCTAGAGCGATCAAAAGAACGAATCCCAGCATGGCTATCCCCCACAAACAAGAATTACAAGCTGCGCCGACTGAAGCCTTATTGGGCACAGCAGAGGTGTGCAGAGACTTTCCAGAAGGGACGGGTTCTTCTCATTGGAGATGCCGCTCATGTACGTCAACTCTTATACCTAATATGCGACTACCACACTCTCATGCCGCTACTTCCTTCATGATTGTACAATGCTGACCAATCGAACAGTCAAACAATCCCATCGGAGGTCTTGGGCTGACCGGCGGGATCCTCGATTCCGTCGTGGTTGGAAATGCTATCGGTAGGCATCTCAAGGGCGGCGAGCCAGAAGAAATAATCACTCGCGCTCTGGAGAGTAGGCGCAAGACGTGGCTTGAGGTCACCAACCCAACCTCGTCTGCAAATTATCTTCGCTTGTGCTCCGTTGACGAGAAAGTCGCCTCGGAGCGGGAAGAGTTCTTCCACAAGATGAACAGTGACCCTGCCTTTGCCATGGGCATCCTCGCCGATCAATATAGATTACTGCCGGATGCGTTTGAGGCGTAGGGTGAGTTGTCTGGGCAGGAGTCGGTGCTACTGTTCCAGGTTTCTACCTGTTGGCATTAGCCTCTATACTATGTTGCGTGATGCACGAGAGTACGGGTTGAGCTTGGGTTCTACTCTTATCCACTATCAATAGAATTCCTTAGCGAAATTGAGGTCGGAGTAGGTGGACTATTCTCGTTGCAGGAGTGTTCTCTGTTGCGAAATAATTATGCTGAGCCTGGACGAGAAGTCACATTTTCCTCCTAAAAATTCTATAGTCCTGCTTCTCGTTGCCGGGTCCTCTTACTGGTCCTCTCAATATACGAAGTGATCCAGGTCCGCATAGCCTCTGTATTTCCCACTTGCTTCAGGGTATCTGAAAGGACCTCGATGGGCTCACGGTAGAACAACCCCTCGACACAACCCTCCACGGTAGCACCATTATGCTTGAGCTCGTCATCCATGAGCTCATCAAACGCCTGCAAGATGGTCGACATTGGCGTCATGCTTTTCTCGGAGAATAATGTCGCCAGGTTCGGGTCGATGTTGGTGGCCACAAACGCTGGAGCGATGGCGTTGATGGTGATATTGTGCGGCGCCGCCACGGGGGCCAGCGATCGCACTAGACCGATCACGCCATGCTTTGCGGCTGCATACTGCGGCAGCCCTGGGTTGGGGTAGAAGCCGGCCACGCTGGACGTGACGACGATTTTTCCGCCAGGCGTCGGGTTTCGCGAGGCATAGTGCGCAAAAAGCTTGATGCCGTAGTATACTCCGTGCAGATCGACGTCGATCGTGCTCATGTCGGGCTTCTGTGGCGGTTTCGACAGATCGATCGAGGCAAAGATGTCATCTTTCTCATCAATACCCGCGTTGAGGGCGGCGAAGTCCAGATGGCCGCGCCATTCGAACGCCTGTTGGAATGTCTTTGCCTGGTCTTCGAAAGATGAGACATCCGTTCGGATGACAAGGGTGTGTTCTGCATTCAGACCCGCGTCTGGGGGAGGTTGTTGAACGTCGGCGATGACTACATCCCAGTCTTTCGCCAACAGGTGTTTGGTCAGGGCGAGCCCGATGCCTGAGGCACCACCAGTGATTAGAGCGACTTTGGGCATGTTGTTTGACCTTTTTACCCTGATATTCCCTTCTCAACCCTAAAATTCGGTATTTCCCTTCAATATCTCCCTAATTCTCATCTATAATTTTAACTCACTGGACCCCGCACTGTTGTGCACGGAGGTGTAGCAACCTGCAAACTGTCTTCAGGCCGAGGCAGGCCTCGGATAGTGGTGATTGTTTATCATCTCTGTTCTGTGAAGCTTTAGCCTTATGTCTGCCGAAACTCGGTGCCGTGGTTGGACATCTGGCCGTTCTCCTCTAGGCCGTGGGGGGGATTTCCGAGTTTGATTGCTGCTCGGAAACTTCCATCAATTCCACCATCTCGGGCGCTGCTGATCACGCACTCAATCCACTTTTTGGTTGGTCACGCAGAGGAGCATGACAAAGTGGTGATGCTCTCGAGGGCTTGTTGCTTGGGAAGCCTCAGATCGTGGACACAATGATACAGGCAACCCAATATCCAAGACTATTGGCGTGTTCAACGGACACGCAGTACTGAGGAGGCTTTGCTGCAGAAATTTTAAAGCATCAGGGTGCGCCGCCACCCCTAAGGCACCATCTTTTGAACCCCTAGTACCCATAGCTAAGTGCATATAGTGGTAGATTGTCGGTCGTAGGCTCGACGAGCACCCCCCTAGGCATTCCGTTCATTCATACCCTGCCTCTGCCTCGAGTATCCTTTGCGCCAATTAGTTACTGGTGTACTAGACGACTAATCCTGATGTAGACGCGAAGCATTCAAGCTATGATAGTTAGATGCTGCAGCATTCCTGGATATTTAGCCATGACCTTCCTTCATAGACGTCAGACATATCCTGACTTTGCTTTTCTAACCTAAAGAGAAAATTGATATAACTACAGAAATAGTAAAACCTTGACAGTAGTACCCCTACTACCGTCTTTTGCGAGTCTCGGTCAAGACGGCATGAATTGAATGATGTTTTTAGCCACAGAGGCACCTACAGTCTCTTGAAGCCAGACGGGGCACCCGCGGAGAGCTGACATGAACCACATTGACGAAGGCACTACCAGTTGACTACCTTCATCTCGATATAACTGCCGAACCACTGCGTTGGCGACATCTTCTGGTTCGACCACATGCTCTCTGAATTTGGGGTTCGAGGTCAATGCAGAGACCATGGGCGTCCGGATCCAGGATGGATGAACAACTCTGCCAGAACGTCTTAGTCTTCCCCGGTTTTAATTGATAGAATGGTTACTGAGAGCTCACTTACGTGGTGCGTACCCTGGGGGCCTTGTAGAGGTATTTCAATTCGGCCCTTAGGCCCTCGTGCAATGCCATTGCTCCCGCCTTGGTAGCAGCATAGTCAACGTTCGAAGCTTGGGACACGAATGACGCCATGCTGGCAATGGTAACGATGTGGCCGTGGTTGGCCCGGATCATTGAGGGTAAGAATTCTTTCAGGAGGACAAAATGCGATATGATATTGACGTCGAAAACCTTGCGTAATCCTGTCTCAGGCAGCTCAATTATAGGTCTCGCGTTGCCCACGCCAGCATTATTGATCAAGACGGTGGGGTCTCCGTGCTCTTTGCGTAGTTGCGTCGCAAACTTCCCGATTGCCTCTGAAGACGTTATATCGACCTGATAATAGTACTGATTGGGAGCTGTGCAGTGGGTCAGTATGGCGAACAAACATGTTCCCGGCGTCAACCAATCTCAAACATACGCAAGGGTGATTTCGGTGGATGAACATCAATCAAAATCACTTTGACCTTTCTCTCCGCCAGTTTGTGGGCCATGGCCGAACCAATGCCGCCTGAACCGCCGGTCAAGAGGACAATCTCCTTGTCCCAATCCCAGGTTTGGTCGCTGACGCCGTTTCTCAACGTTCGCCGAGAGAGAAGGGCATTCAACCATCGACAGCCTAAGAGCGCACCCAGCAGGCCTGCACCGAGTCGAGCATAGTAGCTCTTCCAAACGACGAGAAGAACATCACGTGTCCGGTCGAGGTCGAGTTGTCGACCCATCTCCCAGCCTCTCATGTGTTGCAAATGAAATCTCAAGAAGTGCCGAACCTCGGTGGTTTGAAGGGCTGTATACCATGGTTACATCAATATGTACTATCCTCTAGCTGGGGTAATGTATGCTCTTCCGGGGAGGGTTTTACTTCGGGCAGACTGGAGCTGTCCGTCAGAGGCAAGTTCATTCGGAAATTGCCGATGAGGGCCTATGACCCCAGAGTCCGTCTTGAATGATGTGCGGAAATGAGTGGAGCATCAGGAGGGTTCAGATTGGCGCCCAACCCAATACTTTGTAACGCGCAGCCCTTCGCAGCTGCCGTCAGTTTCTATTCCTCTTCCATCTTTCCAGCTACTTTCCCTCAAGCATCTCACAATCATCATGGCTTTTGAAACACTGGGACCCAAGGCTGAAGGCCACGTGCCCGGAACCGTCTACCTTTACGAGGGCGGCACAGGGCGGCGTCACGTGCGCCCCGAACGAGGGTGAGGCTGGGGCAAACATTACATCTCTTGGCATAACGAAGTCACGAATCCATGCACAAGCACAGGGATCTCTGCTGGAGGTACATCTCAGAGACATTTGTCTGCTAACCGTGTCCGCGATCAAGCAATTCCATCAGGGACCGATTGATCCTATACGCTGTGTGATAGAACACTCAGGCATACGCGCACAACTATAAGAGATTCGCGCAGTATGTTGACCCGAACAACGTGGTGCACTCGGCTACTGGGTAATGATATGTCTCGTTCAAATCGTATCTGGAGTACTTGTAGACGCCGATCCAAGCTTTGACGTCCATGTGACAGACGCGACAAGAACCTAGTGTGAAAGAGTGTCGTCATTGACCAAAAAAGATGTGGATGAAACGGCATTTGGCCGGCTCACCACGACGTGCCACTGTTTTTTTCCTTGTCCCAGGGTCAATTCATGGGTCATTAATGCGCCGAGATAATTCGGGTCGGGTTCGGAGTCGGTGAAGATGTTTCCGCCGCGCCATGAGCCGTGGTCTTCATTGAGCTATGCTTTTCCTAGAAAGTTTCGGGTTCTTCACCTCCATTTGCCTCCACATCAGGGATCTCGAAACCGTCTTCTGTACTGTAGAGTATTGTTTGAATATTCTTGACCAATCCACCATCATCTTCTTCGATCTTGGGGTTGAGCTCAATGGCGTTCTGGATCAGCAGCTCGATGTCTCGCAGTTTGCTAAAGTAGAAATCCCGTTCCTTTTCCAGGCCCGCAATCGCCTCCTTCAATTGATCGTTTTCTTGTTTCAATGCCGAGCCACCTGCAGCTGAGCCGAGGGCTCGTGGGCCTGCTCTGTTGACCGGAGTTGCGCCAGGCTTCCTCGTCGTGCTTGTTCCGGTACTCGATCTGGCCGAGGTAGGACCGCCCCCACCAGTCATAGGCGGACCGGTGGCCTTGCGACGAGCGACGGCATCGTATTCTCCTCCCGGGAAGTATTGATCCCAGAACCGCTTGGACCACTGGAGGAACTCGAGGTTGTCTTGCATCTTGCATTTGATTAGTGATTCGACGGGGACTGTTCGGTCAATGCCATGTTTTGTAAAGCAATCTAGGGAAACGTTAGTCTAGGGACTGATCTGTTAGGTCGGGGCCAGAGCGAGACGTACTTTGTAGGATCTTGAAATTTTGTATGTACGCGTATTCGGTATTGACGTTGAATTTCACCCGAGCCATGGGGATATCGACTGTGGTATTGGGTTAGTGACGAGCGTTCATTGCAGACAGGTGTTGTCGTACGGAAAATAGAGTCATATAATTGACACAAGGCGGCACTGTGAGTCGGAAGTTAGTTGCAATGCTCTCCCGCTGATGGCGTCTTGTCTCACCCAGTACCGCACTGTTCAACCTTGGTGACATTGAGTTGAAGGAGGCCGTTCAGCCATTGTAAGAGTTCTTGTCTGTGCAGGACGAGATTAGAGGCTGCATGGCGTTGACATTGATCATTTCCTTCGCGGGGGCGTTTGCATACCGAGATTCCCCCATGGTGGTCAGGAGGCTGTAAAAAGATTGGAGGGGTAACGGGACAGTGGACAAGGGACGAAACGATGGCCCAAGGATTGGGTTCAATGTGAGGGTGAAGTCGTGTGTTATCCACAGCCAACAACAAGACTGAAAACTGTGGCTAGAACGCGAGGATAGAATAAGGCGATGGGTGGGAAAAAGCCTTGAAGGGACCAGGTTGATGACTGGAGATTGGGCGACGACGAGATGCGTAGGTGCATACGGAGCAGGTGCGACTTGTTTACTTGCGGCTGCTCCCTGCGCTCCTTCCCTCCTGGCGGGTGTTGTTGCGACTAGTCGATTGCGGTTAGCGCGGAACAGAGTTTAGCCACAGGTCGTTGTACGCCACAACTGTGGCACTGCATCACGTGATGATTGAACAGGGGATAAACTGTCACGACCGTTTGATCAGAATAGTAAGACTAGATTTATTGGTATACAGGCAGAATACAAGATCTCATGTCTTCTCATGAACTTGAAATTCGACTTTTCAATCTCTCGCCAACACAAAAGATTCATCTCGAACATTTCACGGCATGCCCCATCTGTCACACGTCTATTTCGTAGCCTCGCTGGCGTCGCTTGCCGGTTTGGCCTTGCCATCTTCTGCGTGCTTGACAGATCCTCCAGCATTGGCTTCGGCCGGTTGATTGCGGCCCTTTTCTTCTGGAAGGCCTCTGGTGTCAGGGTTTTGACCTTGCACGTCGGGGTGCTCTGGTGCGACCCCAGAGGATTGCACCTCATTGCCATACTCATCCACCAGTCTCGTCCGTGTCTCGTATTTGGTCTGGAAACTTGCCTCACCCGCCTCAAAGAGTGACTTGACTTGTGCCTCGTCGAGCAAGTTTCCGTCTTGGTCTCGATACTCGACATGCTCCTCTTCGCCTAAAATCTGTTGTCCACTTGGAACTCCGATCGGATCGCTCGAGATGACAGGCTTGTCCTTTCGATCTGACTGAATCTGAGCGGCGGGGACTGTCTGTGTAGCCTCTGACACCGAGGAAGTGGAATATTTGGAGTACTATGATTGTTAGTTCTCGGTCTGGCAGACAAAAGAGAATGTGCCATGGGGGAAACTCACGTCAGTGTGGAAAGTATTACAGTCAAAGTCCCAGGTATCGAACAACTTGACAGCACGGCATTGGTCTTGAGTCCACGCGTTTCCATATGCCAACGGAGCATATAGCGCAAAAACTCCAACAGCAAATGCCAAGAAGGCAATTCCGACGCCACGCCCGACTTCTGGGTGGCTACTCAGTCGGAGTGCTGGGATACGGAAAAAGACAAAGTCGAATATTTGCATGAGACCGATGATGGCAAAATAGAGAGCTGGGAAATAGTGATGCAAGAACAACTGGCGAGCCATCAGATAGAAGGGAAAATAGTGGAATGCCCAGCCCAGCACGGTCTGACCGATCTCATAGTCGAACCGTTTGAAGTTGACATTGGAGTAGTCGTTGAAGCTGCGCTGCCAGCGAAGAACCGCGATGGCCTTGAACGCGACATAGGTCAGGATGGCCAAGGACGACGGCCACCAGATGGCGGGGTTTCCCAGCAGATAGATCTGGCGATGATCCTTGCCCCAAAAGTTGATGCCACGACGCAGCAGTGGCCATGAGCCAGGCCGCGAGTCCCAGGCGTGCGATTCGACAAGGCCGGCATTGGTCTTCCACATGACCTTTTGGAGTTCCCAGAACTTGCCCAAGAAGCCCGGGTTGCGGTAGTTGACTCGCTCGGCAGTTTCATTAAACTGCGGGTGGTAGTTTTGTTCAATGTACCAGACACTGTTGGGTAGAGTACCTCCTTTGGCACAGGTGACCTCTTGTTGCTCAAAGCCCCAATCCGGCAATTTGACCTTGTGAGAGAACAAGACACAGCCCGTCATGACGTGGACCAACTTGAATTTACTTTGGATGGTTCGCAGCCGCGTCTTGGCCTCCTCACCGTCGGAGAGATTGGGGACAATTTCTACTCTGAACAAGTCGTTGGCGTCGCCATCAAAACCTTCGTAGCCATAGGCCGTGACTTCCTGCTGCCACTCAGCCTCGGTGACTGGGGGCCGCACGTCGTGTGAGTGGATGCGGCGGTGTGTCATGACATGATACAATTTGATGACATCGCCATTTTTGATGAACTCTGTTGTCAGGTTGCTCCAGGCACGTGGCCCGGGGATGGTCACGTTGTCATGGGTGACTGGCTGGGTTTGATTTTCAATGAGGAAGACATTGTTCTCATCCTTGTGAGGATAGAGTGTCACCTGTTGCTGCTTGCTGCCCGTGGGGTACATGTGAGAGTGTGAATGGAGGTAGCCACCTTGGGTATTATGATGGCGTATGCTGACCTCGCTGCCAAAGGCAACATCCGCTGGGGTATCCGCCATCCCTTTGTTGTTCAACGTCGCTTGGAATTCGGACGACATGAAGCCATCACCATCGCCCGGATTGACCAGGCACAAAAAGTGGATGCCAAACATGCCGATGTAGAAGCTCAGCGGGATGACGATCAGGCAGAAGACACGGGCAAAGATATGCTTGAACAATTTTCTCGGGGTCACATTGACATTGTCTCCCAGCAGGAGCCAGAGTTGAAGAGCGGTTAAGCTGCCCACCCAGGCGATGGTCAAAAGACCGACCCACTTGACACTGAGTGTCGCACCGAGGCCGAACCCAGTGGCTGCTAACCAGAACCACCAACTAGCATCGAAGGCTCTTTCTGGGCCGAGTTCGTGTTGATTGGTGAATGCTGTCCACGCCAGGGCGGTAAAAGCTGTGCAAATGACCAAAGGCGAGTCCAGCAAGATCAGACGTGACTGAGTGATGAGGCCATTTTCAAAGATCAACAATGCAGCACCCAGACTGGCAGTAAAGGTCTTGCAACCGGCGGCCTTGAGGGTCAAGAATATGGTTGGGATGGTGAACACACCGAGGATGGCGGGCAAGAGTCTCATGTAGACATAAGGAACCTTGGGTTCTAAGTAATCCTTGCCTATATCTTTGAAGTCGAAGTCGCCTTTGAAACCAGCAAGCCACCCAGCGAGCGTAATCAAGAGTTTGGCCAGCGGAGGGTGGACGTCCATGAAGAACTTGCCCTTGATGTATTTGGTTGCGAACCCCCCAAAGTGGACTTCATCAAAGACGACACTGGTCGGTTGATGGATGCGGAACAATCTGACGACGACAGCCACAAGGGTCAGGAGACCCATGATCTGGTAGTCGGAGACAGGTAAGAGGAAAATATCATTGTCTTTAACCCCTTCAGATGCATAACTCTTTTTCTTCTTTTTGCTTTTGTTTTGGCTTGTGGATGGAGGGACGGTGACTTGTGAATAGACTGCGTTCCGGGGTGGAGGTGCAGGTGAGTGGCCTTTTTGCCTTCGTGGAGTTGTGCCGGCTGCCATGTCAGGCAAAGTGTTGAGGAGGCTAGGTGGAGGAGCACAAGGAATGGACGGGCAATTAAAGAGCAATCAATGCTCTTGCAAGCCGTATGGCCGTCGGAGGAGGCCAAGAAATAAAGGTGGCAGAATGAAAGACGAGAAGTAAGGAAGGAAGAAGTGGGATGAAGGTTTAGGTTGATGCCACCATGACACAAGGTAGGCAGCAGAGGAGGAAAGGAGGGTAGGGAACAGAGACGAAGAAGTAGAGGGAGGATGGGTAGAATGGAGAGAAGGAAGAAGTGAAGCTGAGGACAGGATGAAGACAGCAGATGAAGATGTAGTCCGTTAGGTAGATGAAGGGGCAGGGCTGCGCAGGAAAAGGGTTCATGAGGTTCAACGATGTGGCACGTGTGGATACGTGGATACAGGGGATCAGGGAGGATGAGGAGACGCGTGTGAGGTGCCGACAGAGACACGCATACCTCCCTACCTTACCTAAGGAGGTCCCTTAGCACGCTTATAGGTACTCATACTACTGGCGTGACTGGCGGGCTACTCCCGACATAGTCAAGGCAAAGGGACCTGACAGCAGGTTGATGCCACTTGACAGGCCTTGTGCCATTATTAACACCTACTGGCATAAGGACACTTTTCATTTTCAGCAACAATACCCAGGAACATAGGTACCTATCTAATAATAATGATACTACTGTACTATAATGTAATGTAGGTAGTAATTTGATGTTGGTCGACCTTACTTCCCAACTCTTATCATAGTCTTCTAGATAATCTACTCGACATTTGGAGCAGTCTGTTCTTGGACGATGGAGGTCTAAGAGTGTCTGTGGACAGACAGGGCTTTACTTGGAGGAACTATGTTTAGGTACCTCATAGATTTGAACACATGTGATTCTGTCGAGCACGACGCTCACTAGGTTCATGCTCCAACCTAGCATTACAACGGCGGATCATCACCGTTGACTGTGCATTATCAGCCACCCACCCGCCACACCTTCGTCAACTCACTAGCCACATTTCCAAAAGACTTCGATTCAAACAAGAACAACTTTGTCGAAAGAAATCAAACCATACAACCGGCACAACCCATTCCTTTACAAATCTGCCCAACTTTTCGACAAGTCAAAGGGAGAACTTTCGTGGCAAACTCTAGTTCTACCTTACGCCAATTCACGGCTTCGGTTCCCGCACTCCCATTCCCTGCGCGACCCCTCTCGCTCGAAAATTCCGCCTCACCATAGCGCGGCCAGCCAAAACCACTTCCTTCTGCCTCCCATGGCTCAAAATGGAAGCTCCATTCCAGACCTACCAGAGTCTGCCACAAAGGCTCCCGAAGGTGTGGTACTTCCTCCTAAGGACATACGCGCCATAATCGAAAAGACTGCCGGCTACGTGGCTCGCAATGGCACAGTTTTTGAAGATCGCATCCGAGACAAAGAACACGCAAACCCAAAATTCTCATTCCTATCACCCAACGATGCATACGCTCCTTTCTACTTATGGCGACTTTCCGAAGTGCGAGCAGGACGGGGAACAGCCGTCTCGGCCGGAAGAGCAGGAGAAGATGCGAAACCAGTGACGGAGAAAGCCAAAGGTCCCGAGCCACCTTCAGACTACCAATTCTCTGCTCGAATGCCCAACATTAGCGCTCTCGACCTGGAAGTTGTCAAGTTAACTGCTCTACATGTCGCGCGCAAAGGAAAAGGATGGATGACGGCTCTATCACAGCGGGAAGCCCGTAATTATCAATTCGACTTCCTGCGACCTCAACACTCGCTCTACAATTTCTTCCAACGTCTCGTTGACCAGTACAGCATTCTTTTATTGGCAGGACCCGAAGGGCAGAAAGCCGAACAGGCCCGCATACAGATACTTCAGTCCAACATACAAGACCACTTCCGCGTGCTCGGCCTGGCACGAAAACGAGCAGAGTACGTCAAGTGGCAAGAGTCGCAAAAGCAACAGAAAGAAGAAGCCGAGGAGGCGGAAAAGTTGGCCTATGCGCAGATTGACTGGCACGACTTTGTCGTCGTCGAAACCGTCTTGTTCACCGAGGCAGATGAACAAGCCGACCTTCCACCAACCACCACCCTAAATGAGCTTCAGTCTACCAGTCTCGAACAAAAGGCAATGATGAGCCTCTCGCGTCCAGACATGCGCATTGAAGAGGCCATGCCGACTGATGACATGGAAGGCTATTCCTCATATTCAGAGTACCCCTCAAACGCATATCCTCAACAGACTCCCAGCTCTGTCCCCTTTCCGCACCAGCCACCTTCAGTTCCACAGTATTCGCCATCTTCATCGCTCCCTCAACCTCCCCCCCAAACAGCATACTATCCACATCCCACACCACCGCCGCAAATTCCTTCTCCCGCGCCCCTTCCACCCCCAACAACCGCTTCTCCCGCGCCCGGTGCTGGCCAACCAGCGATGCGAATCAAGTCTGATTACGTCCCTCGAGCCCAGCAGCGCACAGCACGCGCCGCCGCCACAGCATTATGCCCAAATTGTAATCAACAAATTCCTGTTGCCGAGCTTGACGCCCATTTACGCATCGAATTGCTTGATCCGCGGTGGAAGGAACAACAATCCAAAGCAGCCGCCCGCTTTAGCACCACCAATCTCGGAGGTACGGACGTCGCAGCGAACCTGAAGAGGTTGAGGGAGAAGACCGACCGTTCTGCTGGAGGTGGAGGAAGTGGCGATGTGGTCGCCGAGGCTGCGGCACGGGTGCTGGCGGAACAGGACCAGCTGAATGAAGAGGAAAGGAGGAAGCGCATGAAGATGGACCCAGGCAATGGGGTTGGTGTCGGCGTCGGCGTCGGCTATCCTGGTCAGCAGCCATCACAGCCGATGAACGTTCAGGAACAAATCCGCCAGATTCATTCAAAGTATGCCTCTTGAGAGCCAAACGAAGATCCCAAGTTACTGAGAGTCCTTGGTCCTTGGTCCTTGGACCCCGCATCTCTGAAGATCAAGGGATTATTGATATCCATGTACTATAGCAGCAACAGCATTGGCCACAATTGCTTATTCAGGATCAATTCATTGCTCAACATGGCTGAGACCTCATCCTATGGCGGACCTTTGGTACGCCGTCTTCCACCTGAGGACCTAGTCAAGCCAAGTATGAACATGTAATCCCATCACACCATGATTGGTGTGCGTTTCGCTAGCACAATTCCATGGTATCCCTGGAAGTAACAAATAGGCTTATCATACGTACAACAGACAAAATACGAGTCCTCGCAACGCCTACAATCCAAGGTGAGGAGCTGGGCGTTTCTGACCAATCTCCGTATATATGTCTATCTAGATACCATATACAATGGGACGGAGTTTCATCCTCATTATTACTGTTCAAAAGTTCCCCGTTATATAACTCAACGGCTAGCTATTATCTCCAAGTGTTAGGCGCCTATTCTATTAATCTTACATCAATTTAGTATAGATAAGCGTGCAGTTGCCAAGTCAACAAACAACAAGAACATGGCCACGGTCGCTTGCAGGGCGGCGGGATGGAAAAGGGTCCAACTCGCTACATGTCTAGAAATGAATCACTCTCTTCGGACGCCATGTACGAGTGTTCTATTGGATTCAATACGCTGAGCACATCAAACGGAGCGCTACTGATTAAAAGTCAGACCCCATCACTTCGAGATTCCTTTTCAAAGCATCAAACATGACGGGAGGGAACACGAACCTCGATTTGGAAACCGTGGATGTAGCTTCCCCTGGCATAAAATACATGGCCTCATCTTGAGGATCCACGTCGGTCGGGCCCTGGAGCCCATCCTCATCCTCGTACTTGTGGATCATGCGGTCAATCATCGAATTGTCGCTGTAGATCTGAACTTCCATTTCCTGCGAGAACTCATCGAGAGAATGGCGGTCGAACATTGACAGATTGACGCGCGAGTCGACATTGGCCACGACCTTTTGGCCGATCGTTGAGTCTTCATGTGACATGTTGATGCCGTGCTTGGAACTCTGTTCGTGGACAGAGGTGATGACAAAGGATGCCGTGATCGAGATCTGGGAGAGGATGTTCAACACGGTCAATATCACGGACAACATGACTTTGGCGTTGGCCGTGGACAGCTCCTTGGATTGGTGAAGAAGAAAGATGGCGGAGCAGGCGAGCGACAGAGCCTCGACTTGGATTTCTGGGACCGGCTCTAGGAGAAGTCGACTTGGGTAGGAGCCCGGGCTCAGAGAGTGACGATCGGCTTGCAGGCCGAGACTTAGGGCATTTACGATGGCCTTGCACGCATATAAACGGGACAAGACGGGGTTCTTGAGGCATATCGGCGTGGTTGGGGCTTCGTCCATGATGTTGGCCAGAGTCAGAGAACCGAGGTGGTAGTGGGTAATCAGCCACACTGTTATTGCGTCGCTCGCGTCAGGTACATGAAGGAGAATTACAAGGTCGAGAGAGGCACTCACCGTAGTTGAGTTGATCCCGGTATTCCAAGGTCAAGAAGTCTCGGGCACAGATGGCGAGCAGCGGATCGAAGACGCTATGAAAGCGATCCGACTCGGCGATGATCTTTTGGGCCGCTTCCTCGACGGAATCTTCCACGTTGTGATAGTTGACCACGTTGTAAAACCGGTTGATGACGTTCAGAAACATGACTTTGCAGGCGGAGGCGTGTTGCAGAATGATGGTGATGACCTCGTTGGGGAGGGCATGCGGAGAGCCATGGAGGGTTTGAAAAGCGTTGGTAAAGATGACCGTCCGCTGTCGGATGAAATCCCACAACCGCTTGTCTCCGGAGACATGTGGGAGCAAAGTGGGAGAGCCTCGCCGGATGAGGGAGCTGTACGAGTCCTTCATCACCGACAACCAGAAGATGGCATCCTCCATGCGTCGTCGAGTCTGGTTGTCACCCGACCCGTGGTTGTTGTTGACCTCAAGAGAATCGCAGGCGTGGTCAGGAAGGAGAAACGTTGTATACGGCGACAGCCTCGTCGATGGTGGGGAGCCAGCAGACGCTTGAAGTTGAAGGACGTGGGACAGTTGCACCTGGCCACAGAGATCTGCAAAGCCCGGGTCGTCGCAGTTGAGAGGGCGTTCGGCCGCGCCAAAGATCTGCATCGCGTGAATTGCCCGGTAACTGGGCCGTGACATGATGGATTGGATCTTGGACTGCGTCCGCCGCCACAAATAGTCGGACAGTTCTTGTTCCGGGCTAGTTGGTCGACCGCGGTGAGATGGTCCTGGGGGCCGTGGGCGTCCGGTGTGTAAGGGCAGCCAGCGAGAGGCATACGTGTAGACTGCATGGTTGGTGGCATCATTGATTAGTCGATCATTGAGTTGTTGCTGCCTCAGGGTCGAGTTCACGGCGCAGAGCTTGTCCAGCTGAATCGAGAGCCTGGATATGAATGTCTTGGAAGACTGTCATCGACACAAAAAGCGGTCAGAACATGCATTCCGTTGAGGTCGGTCAAGCAGCCACACGGAGACACGATATACATACAACGTTCATTCCAACATAAGGACAGCAACTGTCGCCGAGAAACATGGAGAAGCGGGACTCGTAGATCTGCATGAAGATATCCCACAGCATCTCGTGAAGCACAAACGCTTGCTGGCGGCGGCATGCTCGCTGCTCAAGACCAAACGACGAGCGTGAAGGAGATGGCTCCGACACAGATGCCGCTAATGGGTCGAGCGTGCTGCTGTCGAGCGTGCTGTCACTGCGACTGGCGAAATGGGGCGCTGACGCCGTCTCAGGCCGGGAAACCTGGTCGACCTCACTTTGGGTTCGAGAGACATGTTCGGTGGTGATCTGGTTGTTCTGGGGACGAGGTTGAAGTTAGACATGGTCGCTATAGACCTGGGTGGATGAGGAGTGCCCCAGGGCCCTAGAGCTGATGCCAGGCTGAGGGCCCCCGGATCGACGTGGACAGGCGGTCGTCGCTCACCTGGACATGACAGACCTTGCCCCGGCGGATACAGTTGGAGCATGGGCTCCCCTTCCGCATCGACGCATCACACCCGATTCTGGCTTTCCGACAAGGGTTGCAAGCAAGACGACGTGCACTCATGTTGCGATGATTCAACTCTTGAGTTCCGTCTCCTGCGTTCTGTCGGTCGATGAAAGATCACATCTGATATTTTCGATTGCAGCGCCCGAGAGTGAATGAGCACCTCGGTTGATGGGCCGAGGGGCCAAGCTCTCACCCCCGTAACTGCCGGAAGTGCAGGCGCTCTATCACGGGCATCCATCCCGCTCGACTTTGTCGAAGAGGGTGGGTACCGACGCCTATAACCACGTCCCCAGCTTTTTGCTGCCGTGTGGAGACCATCCAAGCTCCCTCTCGGTTGCTTTGGCCGTGCCAATCTTCTGTCTTCCCGCCCACGTGATCGGGCTCGTCTCCAGAACTCATCTGCACATTGGAACAACAAGGTTCCCCACGGGAGTTCGGCCCAAACGCGGGGAGCACGTGGGGACATGGATCGGTTAATGCAAGTCGAACAGTTAAGGAGATGGGGAGTGAAGTCATGTGATCGGGGCCTTAGACGCTGGGAGGATGGAAGCAACCACTCGAACCCAATGTCTGGCCACCACACACACGATCCAACTGGGCGGATAGAGGATATTACTATGCTTCACATCGCCTTCAGCTGGGACTTGGGCCTGCCGGTCCTCACACACCTTTCCAATGGCGTTCACCATGTTTGTCACGATCCTCGCGGGGGCTGCATGCTTTTTTCTCGCCAGAGCGTTGTTCGTGGCCTTCAGGAGCGGCATCAGAGACATCCCCGGGCCCTGGATCGCTCGGTTTACTCCCTTGTATCGTGTGAGCCTCGTCTTGAAGGGTGATGCTGTACGAGAATATCGCCGGCTGCACGAGCAATATGGACCGTTCGTTCGGACCGGCCCAAATGCCGTGGCGATCGCCGATCCCAAGGCGATACCCATCATATACGGCATCTCCAGCAAGTTCAGAAAGGTATTTCCAGAGCCGACGAGCTACAGTCATGCCCGTTGATTGACCACGTCGCAGTCGGACTTTTACAAGCTCGCCATCCCATATCTGAACGATGAACCTCTGGATGGAATCTTCACCGCCAGGGACCCCGCCCAGCACAAAAAGCTGAGAGCTCCGATCGCGGGGGTGTATTCCATGACCAACATCCGCAACTATGAGAAGCACATCGACGAGTGTACCGAGCTGTTTACAAGGACCATGAAGCAGTTTGAAGGGCAGAAAATCGACCTGGCCGAGTACTTTCACTGGTTCGCGTTTGATGCGATTGGAAACATCACGTTCCAGCGTCGGTTCGGCTTCATCGACCAGACGCAACAGGGATTCGACGCCTTCCGACCGGATGATTTTGTCGGCCAGTACTTTTCAATCATCGGCCAATTGCCGTGGCTGGATCGCTTTCTGTTTGGCAACCGGCCCTTGGTCAATGCCATGATGCGGCGGTACCCCGACGTACCCAATTCCCTCAACACCGTGATGAGTGTAAACGCCCACATCAGACATGCATTCCTCCTCGGCCAGACTGACTCGGCCAGACTGACTCTTTCCCAGGTCATCGATCGAGAAATCCAGAGGTACGACGAGGAGGACAAGGACGCGACGCGGACCGACTTTTTGGCCCAGCTACGGAAGAAGGACAACCCAGAGGCGGTACACTTTAAGAGAGACTTGATGAACCATCTGTCCAATAACATGTAGGTCAAACAGAGGTGTCGGTCGTCAGGCCCGGCCAGACTAACGAGGTGATTTGACAGGCTTGCCGGGGCGGATACGATCTCGGTGGCCTTGGGCGCCATCTTCTACTACATTGTGCGCCACGACATGGTGAAGAACAAGTTGATGAAAGAGCTTGAAGACGCCAGCGAGAGAGGCGAGTTGTCCGATTTGATCACGTATGAAGAGAGCCTAAAACTGCCCTACCTGTAAGTTGGAAACAGTCCATTCTTCTGTCGGCGCCTCCCTGTTTCTGATGCCCGTCTCCAGCCAAGCGGTCATCAAAGAATCTCTTCGCATGCATCCGTCCCTCTGCATGCCTCTGGAGCGAGTGGCCCCTCCCGAGGGAGCGACCGTCTGCGGCGTGGTGTTGCCACCGGGAACCATTGTCGGGGTCATGGCCCCCATTGTCAATCGAGCCAAGGGCGTCTTTGGGGAGGATGCAGACTCATTCCGCCCGGAGAGATGGCTCGAGGCTGACGCCGAGCATTTGAAAGTCATGGACCGTACCTTTTTCTCGGTAAGTCCAAGCGTTTGTGAAATCACGACCGACCATGCCTCAACGTTGATAACCATGTGAGACACTCTTACTGATCACGAGTATCCCGTAGTTTGGGCACGGCACTCGGTCTTGCATTGGCAAAAACATTGCCATGTTGGAAATGGGAAAGTTTGTGCCCCAGATCCTCCGCACATTTGACATTGAGTGGGCCTCGCCGACCCAGGACTGGACGGTGAAGACATATTGGTTCCATCGCCAACGAAACCTGTTTTTCAAGTTCACCTGCCGGAAATGAACCCCCAATTTATAGTTACCATCACCTGCACATGATCTGAATGAATTCACGCGGTCGAAAGTGACAGTCCTGGACTACGTGACTTTCCTTGTGGTAACTGAATAAATATAGAGCCAAATTGAGGTATCCTTGGACGTCCTGAACGGAGCTCCAGGAAGTAGTGCTACAGTTTGCTACGCGAATAGTCTAGACTAATCTTCTTGGCTCCAACGTGTCCCACTAGATACGCAGTGGCTTGGGTGTGATTGCTGTGCGGATCCTGGTCAGCTCATACGTTTGGATAGACGAGGGGTGTCGCCCAGCGACACCCGGGGACGAGTGTTCACTTACTTGGTAATCGTCGGGACGACACTGAGATCCACCACTCGAAGGCCTTGAATGCCCTTGATGCGGAAGTGGCTGTCCACGCAGCTCTTGGGATCGTCACGACGGCCCATCTTGACCGTCCCGACGGGGTGGAGGATGGTCAGGAGATTCTCCTTGATAAAGTCGAGGAGGTCTTCGTAGCTGGAGCTCTTCGGGGCAATCACTGGGCCGAGGATGTGCTTGGACAGCTCTCCCTGTTCCAGGAATCGGAGACTCTCACGGAGACCATCGACCATGGTCTTTTGGTCATACGGATGCGAGAAGTAGTTGGGCGAGATGATGGGGTCGTGCTTTGGGTCGGACGATGCGAGGGTCACTGTTCCCCGGGACTGAGGGTTCATCATCATCAGTGCCGTGGCAAAGCATTCGTGCGAATATCCTTCCAGCGAGTACCCGGTCCAGTAGACTTCATAATGAGGGACGTTGGGATGGTTCAAGAAAGCTTGGACTTCCGGGTCGAGCTTTGCGGCCTCACGCCGGGAGCTGTGGCCGGGGGGCACTTTGAGGAACCCGATCAGGTTGGCGGTTTTTCTTTTGGCGTTGGGTCCGGTGCTATCCTTCATCCATTGCTCATGGGCCGCCGCGACCTGTGCTGGGTTTGCATCGAAGGTCGCCACATCCGACAGGTCAGACTTTGCGTGGTGGGCCATGACCAGATATGTATGGTCAATCATTTCTTTCCCAACCCCCGGCAGGTCGACGTGGCATGGGATCCCCATGGCGGCGAGTTCATCCTTGGGCCCGATGCCGCTGAGCAGGAGCAACTTGGGCGTGTCAATGCTTCCCAGAGACAGAATGGTTTCTTTGGTTGCCGTGACCACTCGCCCGTCCCTGAGGCGGACCCCGAGAACCTTGGGTGTACTCGTGCCATTGTTCACACCCACATTTTCAAGGAGAATGCTGGTGACCTCTGAGTTCGTCCAAATGGTCAAGTTGGAGGGAGCGTTGCTAAGGTATGCGGTGGCGCTCGTGGTCCGACGACCATTGTACGTCGTCGTCGAGACGGTACCCACGCCGATGGACTCGCCCGAGTTTTGGTCAGGGTTAATCGGGTAGCCATAGGTTCGCGCGGCCTCGGCGACGAGTTCCATGCCCACGGGCCACTGTCGTTTGGTGGGCAGCGTGATGTCCAGAGGGCCGCGATACCCGTGAAGCTGCTTGATGGGTCGGACGAACTCGTCGTCTCCCTGGTCGTCGCAATGCAAGTTCTCAATCGCCTTGAAGTCTTCGACAATGGATTTCCACTGGTACGAATCGTCACCCACCATGGCTGCCCAGCGGTCGTAGTCGGCCTTGGAGCCGCGGATGTATGCCAGGAAGTTGGCAATCGACGAGCCCCCGAGGCCGATGCCACGGAGATAGTCGAGCACGCGGCCATTGAGGTGCTCCTGGGGCGTCGTGAGGTAGTTTTTGACGATCTCGGGGTGTTTGTAAGGGCTGGTGAAACGATCCGAGGGGACATACAAGTCGTTGCGGGCGTTGTCCCCCCCGGCTTCGATCAGCAGCGTGGTGGACTTGGGGTGCCAGTCGGCCAGGTTCCTCGCGGTCACAGCACCTGCGTTGCCTATCGTTGCACATCTCCTGTCAGTCGTCCCATTGATGACACTGAAACACGATTTCACTGACCTGCTCCCACGACAATAAAGTCGAACGTGTGATGTGTGCTCTTCATTGTTTGTGGACTGGGGTTTGGGCGTCGTTCCTAAGTCGGTGGCATTCAATGGGTGATGGCTCGAGTCTCGCCTTTCAAAGAGTATCCCCGTCCTTTTTCTGTTTCCATAGTTGCTTCAGTTTCATAAGTTTCATACTTGTCCTGCATCACCTGAGGGTTCGTTCCCGGCTTCTGGGGTGGCATGGTTGAAACTACCTTTGACGCTACTCCGTAGACTGTCGCCGAGGGAGAGTCCAGCCTTTCATGTGACCGGGCTTGGCCATCGGGTCCACCTTGCAGCCGAGGAGGCATGTCAAGTCCGAGGAGCCTCAACGAGTCAACTTGGGCGCTTAAGCGACCCCAATGCCCCGCGGGGACAAGTCTAGGTACCCTGGCACTTATTCAGCACCCCCCCGGATCCCTGTGGGGCAAAGCACTGAGTACAGTAAATAGTGCATCCAACGACCAATACCACCATAACACCCTCTGTACTTGTTGTTGTTAATGTAAATAATATCTGTCGCTAGACTACCAAGTACTCGTAGTTTTATCCGGCCTCTCTGGCACGGACCCTAAGGAGACGCGACAACCTGACCCTGGCAAGTGCCCAGGTTGACAGGGTCACTGCCCGGTCTGGTCGCCTGCGCGCTAAAGGAGACACGGTCTCCATCTTCGAGATAGCACCGTTGCATCTTGCCCCCCGTCGACCCGATTGCACCCATCTCGTAGGGCTGAGTCCCGTGTTGGCTCACTTCCAGGAGGCAGCCGACTTCTTCTCTCGTGGCGCCCGACAGAGTGCCGGTGCCCAAGAGGTCGCCCGGGCGCATCGGGCAGCCCCCCACCGTGTGGTGTGCAACCATCTGAGCAAACGAAAAGGCCACGTTTTTGGTGTTGCATCGAACGGCGTGGTATGTCTCTGAGTTGACTGGAAACACGATCGATCAGCAAACCGTGTCTTTAGACTTCCAGAGTGGTCGGGACTCTGGGCGGGAACCTACCTTGAATTCGAGCATCCACTGGGATGTCATAGACTGTGTCCTCCCGGTCTTGAGTGAGATATGGTAGCCAGGGGCCCTGGTGATGGTCAGCATACCCATTATCAAGATGTGACTCTCTGCCCACCGGGTGCATTGGAGCGGTCCGGAATGGCTCCAGGGCTTCCAGAGGCACGATCCACGGCGAGATGGTGGTGCAAAAGTTCTTGCCGTTAAAAGGCCCCAACGGGGTCGACTCGGCAAACTGGATGTCTCTGGCCGACCAGTCGTTCATGAGCACGACGCCAAAGATGTGGTCCTCAGCCTCGTTGACCCCGATGGACGTTCCGTGCTGGTTCCCGCGTCCGATAAAGGCGGCGAATTCGACTTCAAAGTCCAGTTGCTGGCATTTGCTCAGCGTCTGCGCGCCTTCGAGAGACACTTGTCCATTCGGGCGGTAGACGGGAGTTCCTGACACGACGACCGAAGAGGCGCGACCGTGGTAACCCAGGGGCATGTTCATAAAGTTGGGCGCAAACTTGTCCCCCGTCGACTTGAGAAGTTTCGCACACTAGGAGAGTCCAAAATCAGCGAGAGGGACGGGGCCTGGTGTATCTCATGGTTACTTGCATTGACAGCGTGGTGTGGCCCCACGAAAAAGTCGGTATAGTCGCCAATGTCCATCGGGAGATGCAGAACCACATCCTTTTGCTCAACCAACGCCAGCCCTTTGAGCGGCTGGTTGTCCTTCAAGGTGAGATTCAGAGATGTTTCCGGTTTCAGGAGTTCTTGTAAGAAGCTGCGAAGAGCTCGATGCGCATGCTTCCCCAGGCTGGCGAACTTGTTCAGTGTAGGCTCAAGCAGCGTCGTGGCATCGAATCCCAGCCCATCCAGGACATGCTCCCGTGCGAGAACATGTAGATCCAAGACATGCTGGCCTACCGCAACCCCAACATGACGAGGCGAGTTCCCGACGCTGTAGACGCCGTATGGGAGGTTGTTCAAGGTGAATCCTGAATCCTGGTCGGCCGAAACCCACGAGGACATGATTGAGAGCCTTTGTTTCTGGTCGAATTTTGAGGTGGAACGGTGGTTCATGGTCGGACCCGGTCACACTATATCTGATCTGCAATGTTGGCCATGGTCCCACCAATGGTTTCTTAGACTGGTACGACATGTGTATGCATTACCAACCGGTTTGTCCATTTATGGTTTGAGTGTTCTATAGTCGGGCAATGTCGCCGCGGGCCTCGGAATATGGGGCGACCCCCCGCCCGGTGGAGGAGCATGGGATTGGTGTACGTATATGTAGATACGTCAGGGTGGACCAAGGAGACCTAGACTATAGGCGCACCCTGGCGGTGCGGTGCGGTGCTGTGCTGGTCTATATCGGTGCAGTCTCGACTTCACGGGACTAGTACACTGGGAGTCTTATCTTGGGCATCGCGTCCTCCTGCCTGGAGGCGTCTGGAATCCTTGGATCGAGATCTTTGTAAGCCTCACTTTCTTGTAGCCTACTAAGGAATGCCCAGTCTCTCGCGCCGTGGTTCTGACCAGCAATCATGCAATCTGAAAGAAACGTCTTCCCTGAGCACATCGGTGGGTATACTCATCTAGTGCTATCAACGATGATACTGGGGGCATCCCCTACAAGAAGAGGTCTCCAATTCTACGTCCGCACACGGCGCACGAGATGTCCCATTGCTTTCGTCTTTAGTTGTCGTTTCCACTAGCTGGCAGCTCGCCGGTGCCCGTCCCCAGCTCCTCCTTAAACCGGGCGCCTCCTACCAGCAGCGGCTTGCAGTCTTGCAAGACAAACAAAATTCTCGCCCATTCCGTCTTGCTCGGATTCCTCCAGGCGTGCATAGTGGCCCTTTGGACTGCAAGATCCCCCTTGCGCATCCGGGTCACGCTACCGTCGTCTAGCTCTAGCTCCACTTCCCCCTCGAGAACCACCCCGTAGTCGAGGCTCTGGGTACGGTGCATCATTGGTTCGGCGTCGGGAGCCAGATCGACCCAGCGGCACACAGTGCCATTGGGGTTGACCAGCCCAAGTTTCCCACTCTCGGCGATGGCCTTGTACGTTGCCAGGTCGGCCTCGTCGTTCAAGTCGACGGGAAATCCCGTGGTAGCATACCCAAGACACAATCCAACCGAGTTGTTGCGCATCATGTTCCAGGGATTCTCGTTGGAGCTGTAAATGACGGCTTTTCCGTCGTCCCTATGAGATGTGATATGGGTCACGGGTTTGGGAAACCCTGACAGCAGGGGTGCGGAAGAGGATGCTGAATTCGCCATGGCTGATCAATCTGGAGGGACGTGTTCGCAGGGTCAAGGATTTGGGCAGAGAGCGGATGTTGTCCAACTGCGACGAATGTCTGTCCGTCAATGGGATATTTAAACGCTCGGCAGGCGACACGACTTGATGCGCGCGGGAACTGGCTCTGGTCCTCGTACGACTATCCATCTCCGTGTAACGACGGTGACTGGGGAACTCCGGCCCTGCCCCACCGCCGAACCGGGGAATTATATGTATTTTCCGATTCAGGCCCCGGATGCTCGTGGTGCAATAATCGGTGAACCCCATCCCTCGTGGATGAGAAAGATCCGCCCAATCCGTGCGCGGGACCCACCAGAGAGCTTCAGAGCGAGGTCATCGGAGGGACTAAGTACGGTGTGTGCAAGCTCCTAGTGTTGTGTTGGATGCTCCAACCTTGTATTGGAGAGTGTGGGATGAGGCATAGATGTCACGTGGGGACACCTAACGATCACGTGAACGGGATGTCAGCTTCACCACCTCTCTTCCTCTGATCTCGCCCCATTGCGAGTTGGTTGGCGAGGACATCGGCTCATCGTCATTTAGCTACTCTATCAGCTTGATCCAAGACGAAATCAACTATCAATGGCCATCAAGTATCGTTTAGCTATGCTATAGACTCGGTCGCTGCCCAGAAAGACTGTCCAGCAGCCGATCGTCGCCGTATCCAAACATGGCTCGGGCCGTCTGTCCCGCCGCCTCAAGGTCGGTTTTCTCGATCCGGGCTTGGATGGTCTCTCGCGTTTGGAGAAGTTGTTTGGCCACTTCCATCCAGCTCACCTCCGACGGGAGACCCTCGGCATAATGGTGAGCATCTTGGGTTGCTTGGGTGGGCAACAAGACGCTGTCCCTTTTGCGGATGACTCCGTCCACCATCGTGATCGTGATATCTCTGGGCGTCGAGTGCATCACAATCGCCGTTACAGGGTCGTGCTGTGCTCCGGCAATCATGTGGGGCGCCAAGGAGTCCAAGATGATGATGTCGGCCTTTTTTCCCACCGCCAGACTGCCAATCTCCTGCTCCAGCCCGACGGCTCGGGCGCCACAAATGGTGCCCAAGGCATAGACCTCCTGGACCGACTTGTACATGTGAACCGGATACTTTCCGAGTTTCAAGTATTCATTGTTCACGACACCTCGACCGTAGCTCAGGGCCGTCCGCATCTCGGCGGGCATGCTGGCGAGGGTCACATTGTGGCAGTCCACCCCCAGCGAACACTGTGACGCAATGTCTCGGCGGTGGTCGAAGCATGCAGGATCGCCCATAGCCATCTGAAGCTCGAGCGACGGTGTTGACGAGATGTGTGCGTTTCTTTTCTTGATCAGGGCGATGTCGGTCGGTGACAGATGATTGGCGTGGGAGAGCAGAACCGAGGACGAGAGCAGCCCGCAAGATTCCATGACCTGGACGGAAGAAGGCTGGCCTGAAATGACATGATTTTAAAACCTGGAAAGATTCGTGGATGTGAAAAATCGCCAGATGACTTACCAGGTGGTGGGGGGGTCTGGTGGCTAGTAATGTGTTTGATACCAAAGGCCTTGATTTGATCAAACAGAGGAACCAGAATCTCCTTGGGAAGAAACCACAGATCAAACGCTAGGCCGAGGGTCACTCTCCCATCACCAAAGGGCGCCTTCTGAGACAAATCTCCCAGTGTTTGCAGCACCCATGACTCCAGGAGGTTTGCCTCAAAGGAAAATGGAGACCAGGTTGCCACCCGTCCGGTAAAGCAATACCCATAGATGGACCGGATGCCCGAAGCCACTGTGGCTCTGAGGGCGGCCTTTGCTGTAGACCAAGTTAGTTGGTACGCCGGTCGAGCACCGGCGACGGAAACCTACGGTGTTCTGGAGAGTAGTTGAGATGTGAATGATCCACGACGGTCGTGGTGCCAGCGTCGAGGGCTTCCAGGCACGCGGCCAGCTGGCCCCAGAAAACGTCGTTAGGCTCATAGTTGGAACTCTGGAGGATTCCTAAACGGAAGACCGTGTTCAGTGTTCAGTGGTCTGTCGACGGGTGAGATGGAAAGGAGTCTGACCTTGCACGAGGTAGTCGGTCAGCAGATTGTCTCCATGCCGGCCTCTCAAGGCGGTATTCCACATATGGCGATGGGTGTCGACGAAGCCAGGCGCCACGAGTTTGTCGGTGCAATCAATCACCTCTTCACCATCTTTGGGTGTGAGGTGGTCGGCGATCTCAGTAATCTTGTCCCCTTGGACCCGAACGTCCGCCTTGACCCCTGTTGCCGCATCATGAGAGTCGTGGATGATTACAGTCCCATTCTTGAGCAAGAACATAATGGCCTGACCCGGTGAACAGAGGGAGTGGTTGTGAAGGTGATGGACGACCAGATGGTCACGTGAATCAGATCTGATGGACTTGGTGAGGACGATCAACCGACTTCCTTCTCGTGCGAGGATATTTGATGTTTGATTCTGAGTGTGATATTTTGATACTTTGATAACGAGATTCGGCCTCTCGCAATCTCGAGATGTTCGTGGCTGACCTCCACACGGGTGCGGGTGCGCTCACGTGATCGGCCTCCTAGCGAATTTGAATCAAACGTCTCCATGTCTCTGCTGTCCCTCTGGGGAAACACGACGCTAGGGATGGGGTCGAAACAAATGAAAAAGCTTGAAATCCGCCTCATTGATCGTCCGGAGTTCATGGTGGCGCCACATCGAGACCGTTTCTAGTCTTGGGAACCCAGGCACACATGTATAACTTTCGACCCAAACGGCAAGGCGGGAGGTTGGTGAGTCTAGAATCGGATTCAAAGATTTGACGGGGCCATCATCCGTATTTACACATTTGGAGCTAGATGCTTGACCCCTCGATAGTTGTTGAAGTCCTTTGCAGATATTCGTCCATGTACCCATCGCCCCCCCATTCACTTGACTCCATTGGTGGCTGGCTCCTCCACGACCAGCTCATGCACCTTGCTCCACCCCCCAATGACCCCCCTCCCCGATGGCATGCGGATGTTTTTTGGCCGGCTGTACTCATGCAAGGTTTCCAGACAGTGCTCCCGCCCATAGCCACTGTGTTTGGCCCCGCCAAATGGAGTCCCCATGACCCCCCGATTATAGTTGTTGATCAGGACGACGCCCACGTCCACATCCCGAGCCAGCCTCAACGCCCGGGTCGTGTCCTTGGTAAAGACTCCGCAAAAGAGCCCATATTCGGATTCGTTGGTGATAGACACAGCCTCCTCGTAGCTCTCGAATGGTGTGACCGTCACCACCGGACCAAAGATCTCTTCTCGTGCAATACGCATGGTTCTGGTGACCTTCGTGAATAAGGTAGGTTGGACAAAGTAGCCGTCTTTCAGCGCGGGATCATCGGGGAGAGCTGCCTGGGCCTTCATCTCGGCTCCCTCATCCAGTCCAATTTGGATATACTCGAGCACCCTCTGTTGATGCACCTTCGAGACGAGCGGGCCGACGTGGGTCTCTGGTCGTGCGCCGTCGCCCACCTTTAGACGGGGCACGGCGGCGGCCATTTTGCTGACAAAGGCGTCATGGATCCCCGACTGTACCAGCAGTCTCGACGATGCCGTACAGGCCTCGCCCTGGTTGAAAAAAGCGCCATCGAGTGCACAGCGCACCGCCAGGTCCAGGTCGGCATCGTCAAAGATAATCAGCGCGTTTTTGCCCCCGAGTTCGAGGGAGAGGGGCTTGATTCCGTCGGCGGCTAGCTTGCTCACGGCTGCACCTGCCTTGGTTGAGCCGGTGAATGAAATCTTCTTGACTTGGGGATGCGTGACCAATGCCTGGGGCACATCCAGGCCGACGGAAGGGATCGCTTGGATCACGCCTTTAGGGAGGACCTCCTGTAGGAGCTCGATGATGCGCATCGCTGTGAGCGGCGCCTGGTCTCCAGGCTTAATGATGACGGTGTTGCCGGCCGCCAGAGCCGGGGCGCCTTTGCCTCCCACGTGGATTGGGGGCCAGTTGAACGGTATGATTCCAGCGACCACGCCGTAGGGTTCCCGTACAATGTTGGCGTAGATGGCTCCTTCGTCGTGGAAGTCTAGGGGCAACTTATCGATTAAGGACGCGAAATAACGAAAGATGTGGACCAGGGCGGGGACGTCGATCTCGGCCGCCTGCGAGACTGGCTTTCCGTTTTCGAGAGAGAGCAGTTGGCACAGTTCGCCCATGTGTGCGGCGAGATGGTCGGCCGCTTTGTTCAATAGGAAGGCCCTCTCGCGAGGGGACCGGTGTCTCCAGTCGTTGTCAAAGGCATCTTGGGCGATAGCGACCGCCGCCTCGACTTCGGATAGACCTGCGCCTTGGATCGTCGTGATCTCATGACCCGTCGCCGGATTGTACACCGCAAACCGATCCTTGGGGTCTTTCGAGGACAGCGGGCAGTAGGTAACGGTTGCAAACTTGGACGCCATTCTCGAAGGTGAGCAGCCCAAAGGTACGCGTAAGAATGTTGGGTGATTCAATTACTGTCTCTGGAGGGCTCCAAGTGACTGACCCGGGAGTTCCAGAATTATAAGTCCGCGCCTCCATCGAAACCTCTCGCTCAATCCCAGCCCACCCAGCGTACGACAAGGTCCTGCACATGTGTCGCTCCCGAACTGAGTCTGACTGGCCGGCGCTGTGGGGGATTGACCCAATGCTTCGTGGCGCGATGAGGGATCAGAGGGCGGGTGAGCGAGGACCAGGACCCGGAAGCACGTGATCGGAGCGCGGTGGATGGTGATGACCACCCACTCTACCGTATGTCGACCCCGGATCTATGCATGTACACACCCCCATGACACCTAGGTATGCACAGGGTGCCAGGCCTGCTATATGATGGGGAGTTTCCCAAGCATCGGGTCTCCATGTCGTCCAAAGGCGTCTGGTCAGAGGTCTGTTGGTCAACATGAAGGGCAAAATCATCCTCGAAGAACATGTGTCGATGCCGGACGAGAGTCTGATCCCTCTTCTCAGCTTCGTCTCACGCAATGGCCGCGACCTCTATGACGCTCTCATCGACCTCCATGGCCAGCGGCTGGCCGACATGAACGCCAACGGGGTGGAGTTTGCTATCATCTCCGACAACCCGGGAGGGGCTCAGTCTCTTCGAGACCCGACCGCAGCGGCGGCATATGCGGTCAAGTCCAACAATTACATTGCCCAACTCGTGGACCGGGCCCCCGAGCGGTTTGGTGCGTTTGCGGCGTTGTCGATGCACGACGCAGAGACGGCCGTCAAAGAGCTGCAACGTTGCGTCCAGGATCTGGGCATGTTGGGCGTCATGCTGCACGACGGCCAGGAGTATTTGAACGACCAGGGCGAGATCAGCACTCGATACTACGACGATCCCAGATTTGATGTTTTCTGGGCCGCGGTGCAAGAACTGCAAACGCCCGTCTACATACACCCCAAACCCCCAGTCCCGTCCGAACTTCGACAGCTGTACGGTTCTCGGCCCTGGCTCATCGGACCAACTTTTAGCTTCGCGCGAGATGCAACCTTTCACATCCTGGCGCTCTGTACTGGTGGCGTCTTTGACCGATTCCCCGACGTCAAGGTGATTGTAGGCCATTTGGGTATGTTGTCCCCGACGCTCTGAACCCCCGGTGACACCAGTTGGATTGACAGCCTCGGATTCGTTAGGTGAGAATGTCCTCGGGCAACTGGGCCGCATCGATCACTGGCTGGAGAAAAGAGATCGCGGCAGGATTCTCCCCGCAAAACGCACCGTTAGAGAATACATGGAGACCAACGTCTTCATCACGACGGCGGGATACTTTTCCACTGCTCCTCTGACCTACGCCATCACCGAGATTGGGGCAGATCGAATTCTCTTCTCGGTGGATACGCCGTACGAGAACATCGCCGAAGGGGCCACGTGGCTAGACACGCTCCCTATCTCGCACAGCGACGTGGCCAAAATTGGCCGGCTCAACACTCTGAAACTGTTTCCCAGGCTCCAGAGCCGGCTGCGTTCGTCGGAAACCGAGTGCCTGCAGGAGGATAGACAGCGGGTTTTGTATACTTCGAATGCCGGGTTTTAAACCCGGGTCACGGGGTGGAATGTGGAAAGAGGTTGACCTATTTGAGATACAACCACCAAAATAGAAATATCAACATCTTCCAGTCTGCTTTCAGGAACTCCATGCTGGGTGAAGAGAGGCACTGTTGGCTATCCATCAGGATGACTACCTGTGCTTGCGCAACGATTCTTGACTGTGATCTTAACAAGACTTGGATGCCGTTGAGGCCGTCCAAGGTGACAGTCAAGAGAACAGTCAGTCTCCCATTTCAAAGTCGAACTGTTTCATGGCGCAATTCTGATGCCTTCTCGGCCGTGCCATTTTCTCCTTCTCCCGCCGCGTGGTTTCTCACAACGAGATCTTCAGGACTGTCCCCAACGGTGAGATCCTCCGAGAAAATGACCACTTCATCCTGGTCCCCAAAGATGACGGCAATCTCCTCGAGAGGGATCCCCTTGGTTTCGGGAAGAATGACCGAGATGAAGACGAGACCGACGGCGAGAATGCAGATGAAAACCTAAAGTCGCCGGGTCAGACCGTGCTGGTGCGGGTAAAGGGAGGTGACAAACCAAGTAGTATTTCCAGCCAATGTTGGCAAAAGCAGTCGGCGCAACCTGAAGCCAGACCAAGGATGACAAGCAAAAGGTGGTGACGGTGATGGCCATGCCCTTGGAGCGGACGTGATTCGGGAAGATCTCCCCGTAAAAGACAAAGCCCGAAACATCCACACCCATTCCGTAGATAAAGACGAACAAGTAGCTGGTGTTGTTGTTAGAGCCAGCACGGCTTCAAACTTGGGTCTCACTCACAGGAAGGCGATGGCAGCTTGAATCCCATGATGGTTGGGAGGGTCTGACACGGGGCTTGCAAATGAGGCAACCATCGCAGCCTCCAGGGTCAAGAAGAGCAAGCAGCCACCGATTCCGATCAGCATCAGGGGCTTGCGCCCGATTTTGTCGATAATGAGTGCTCCTGACCAGGGATTGAGGTTAGGTGTCCTGTGCTGCCCGGACCAGGAATGCCAGACATCACTTACCCGTCAGGTTACCTCCAATGCCCATTGTGATCCATCCACATGCGTAGATGAGCTGTTTTTCAGTGTCAAACCCGAGTGTGGCGTACAGGATTGGGCCGTAGTTGTTGATGACTATGGGAGATCAGCAAAAGAGCTCGATCGGAGCATGGGTAGACACTGACCCAGGATGCCGGTGGCCTGAGCGAGGAACGAGTAGGTGCAAGTCATGACCAGGCGCGCCCGGTACGACTTTCGGGTGAACATCTTGATCCAAGACGGCTCCACGGTTCGATCATATTCGATCTGCTTTTGCATCTGGTAGAACTCGGCCATGGCAAAGTGTTGCTCTTCTTCGTTGTCCAGATTGTGGAGTTGTCGCACGGTCTTCTTGGCCTCGTCTACGCGGTTGACCATGAGGAGCCAGCGGGGAGACTCGGGCACGAAGAACATGGCCACCAGAGGAAGGAGGCTGAAGATGAGGGCGATTCCGTAGCTGCCTCGCCATTGAAGCTCCGGGTTGGTGGAGTAGAAGAAGCCGAGGCCGACATAGGTTGCGATTGCGTAGCCCAGGGCAATCCCTATACCGTTCATGCCCACGAATAGTCCTCTTAGAGCGGGTGGTGCAATTTCGGCCGTGTAGACGGGTGCTGCCAAGGGTGAGAACTGGGTCAAGGGCGCTGTGGCTCAAGAAACTCACTGATTGAAAGGAAACCCCAGGCACCCGCACCGGACAGGAATCGGACCGCGATGAACATGGCGACACCTTGGGCGGCACATGTCAGGGCCCCTCCAACGAGACCCAGGGTGGCGCAGAACCACATTCCGGCCTTGCGCCCCCACTTGTCCATGACGATGGTGACTCCCAGAATTCCGAACACGCCTCCAGCCTAAGAGGGTTGATTCAACAGCACGCTCAGGGACCCGAGCCTGGGGGGTGGGGCACATACCTGGAACACCCCGGACATGGCACCGATCAGGGAATTACCTTGGTCCGTGAAGGTTCCCTCGGGGGTCAAAAGGCTCATGTAGACAAGAAAGGACGGTTGGGCAAGCGTGGTCCCGATGATGGACGCCGGGTACGAGAAACCCATGGTTCCCATCGAGACCACGAAGCAGATGATGAACTGTTTCCAGCTCCATTGCGATCTTTTGTTCATCTCCATGGTGAGAAGATCCGAGAGAGAGGGGGGGGGGAGAAAGGTCAGGAGAGGGTTCCGAAAGGATGTGATACTGGTCACTCTGGCGCCTTGGGAGAGAGTTGAGGTCTGGGCCAGGCTGGATCTATATAGCCTTACCTCACTGTGGGAGCCCGCGTTCGAGGACAGTCCATGTCCGCCTCCTTTGCACCGAAAGGGGGACCGGACAACATGACGGCTGAGGTTGTCGATAGACTGGGACTAGGGTGCAATACAAAGACAACAGAACGAATGCACGGGTCCAGCCTTGGGTGCTCCAGCTTCCCCAGGTTCTCCCCGCGTGGAGCATACAGTACATGCCCTGATCGTTCAGGCGACTTGACACGTCAGGTGAGCGGACGGACATGTCTGAAAGGGAGGATAGATGCGAGGGTGGACTCAGTCAAGCTAGCCTGTGGTCCATCTGAGCGCGGAAGCCGGAGGTGGTGATGGTGGCGGGACTAGTCGTTGGTGAGGCACGTGAGCGGGCGCTTGGTGCTGATGCTCACGACTCGCAAAGAACTAGATGGGGAGCATTCTAACCACCAGTAACAGTTCCTTCTCCGCGGGGCAGAACCTACCTGATCCAGAGAGGACGAGGCTAGATGACAGATCCGAAGCTTGCGCGGATCCTGACGAGCCAACCTTGGGATGATGGGTTGATTGAGGGGATAACGAAAGGGAACCAACAACAACACTGAGGCAGAGGGAAACGTGGTGAAGGAGAAGTGGTTGAGGCTGCGCGGGTCGGAGCGTCGTGGCATTGATATCACGTGTCTTGCAGCTGCGGCCTGATCACGTGAATTTCACGTGACATAGATGCCCCTGAGACGACGATTGTTCCCTCATCTATATCACTTCATGCAGCATCCGTGCCAGAAGCTGTCACGGGATTGTCTTCACGCATTCATTGTGGTTGCTAATTAGTTAGTTCGGACGCCACTCTTAGTAATTACGTGACAAGGCCACAGTCAACCTATTTGACTCTTTCAACGCCTCGCCACTATAGATAGTCCTCAATACAGGAATTCATATCATCATCGCACTCAAGCGCTGTATCTCAGTATGTCCAATTCAAATCCCTAGAATTAGACTCGGCCCCTATCAGGCCACGCGCAAGGATTCAGGGTCAGGCCACGCTGTCTGGTGCAGTTTAGCGACCAACCGTGGTATGTTGGTGGACATTTTGGCTAGGAGGGCCACCTATGGTATAACTGGTGGCTTGCTGTGTCTGCTGAGTATTTTGGTTGTGATCGAGTTGATAATTATTGCTAATAGTGTATGACGAGTTGTTCATCGCCGCGCCAAGATAATCAGGGGTTCGTCCACTCTCCACCCTGTCCATCAAAGACGCCATGCGATCGTCTCCAGAGCTTCTTGTTGGACCATCACGCGAATTGACGCGGCTAGAATCCACATTGACGGTGGGACTCACAACAGGACGACTGAGATCTTCATCCGGGTTAAAAGCAGAGGCTTCAAGATCGTCAAAGTCCTGGCCAGGGTTGGCACTCTGGTATTCGCAGCTTTTGATGAACCAGAAGAAACCGGATGCCAGAAGGGCACCAAGTATCGGGCCCAGCCAATAGATCCAGTGTTCGGGTGGAAAAGAGGCGTTGGCGACGCATGGGCCAAAGCTGCGAGCAGGATTGAGAGAGCCGCCAGTGTAGTAAACGCCTGGAACAATGAGTTAGTGGAGTGTTTTGTGAAATAATGCCCCGACCAGTGTTACCACTCAGCTCTGCAATGAAGAGAGACAACCCGATTCCCACAGGAGCCAAGAATGTTCCCTTGTGTTTTTCTGCCTATTCGAGGTCAGTTGAGTCAAAAGAGGTTTCCTAAAAGACATGTGTCTCAGCTTACAGCAAGCATGAATATAGTGAAGACCAGTTGAGTGGTGAGAAACTAGGGGGGCGTTAGCGAGTTTCGACCGGTCATGATAGACAACTTGCCATCTCAATGAATAGACCCTGAGCAAGACTTGTTCCTCCACCGAGTGAGGTTGTGACGGACAGAGGGCCGGGAAAGAGCCCCTTGACTACCGCAGCCGCCACCATGGCTCCGAGCATCTGAGCAATGACGACAAGGCCACCGCGAGCGAAGGGAACAGCACCAATCAGGCACAGCCCTAATGTGACCTTGTGTCCATTAGACCTATTTCCGTCGCAATGTTTGGATGTACGTACCGCAGGATTGAAGAGGCCGCCGGATATTCTGAAGAAGATCCAAGCATTTACGGCGAGAGAAAAGCCAAAGACAAGGCTGATATAGAGGAGCTGGGATGGGTTGGGTCCTGATGACACATCTTCGCTATCATCACCAGCACTTGTGGCAGGAGTATTGGCGACCTGGGTTCCGCTAAAAGCAAAGAAGCTAATGTCATGGGGACAAGTTAGAGAGATGATCAACCTGGGATGGGATGGGATAGGCGAATGGATATGACTGACAGAAAAAGAAAGGTGCCGACAAATTCACCCGCCATGGCAATAAAGTGATTTCGAACGCTGTCGGGGAGTCTCTTGAAGATGGGAGATGGTTTGGGGCTCAGCGTTTTCTCGCTCTGGCTGTTACTGGCACTGGAGTTGCCCCTTGGAGCCTTGCTACGAGAACCGAAGAGGCCAGGCAGAAAGCCAGAGGCCGTCTTGAGATTGTCCATGTTGTATGTGAGTCGCAGTCGCAGTCGCAGTCGCAGTCGCACCTGCCAGTTGTAATCACACACACGACCAAGGATATCGGAAGGCCCGTTCAGGCAACTGTGACCTGACCCACGCAATTGGAAAGAGCTTATGAGTGTCTCTAACCAGGACAGAGGCAACACCAATGGGATCTAGATACAGATGTAGTCTCAAGAATGAGCATTTGCAACAGAGGAGTTGCCCGAGAGTTTAATACGCAGACCTTACAGATCAATAAACCTACCACATGAGGATTGTAGGCTTGCACCCGTGACGACGGAGGAGATGGACGTGGGCCGCGATTGACATGGCCCGTCGTCATAGTTTATCATGAGGGTCAGCCTTGAGCATTTGATAATTTTGCAACGACTCATCAAGACGCGGGAGGCATCAAAGTCAGCGAATGAAAATGGATCAAAACATGGAGATTCGTAGATCCTTGATGTCCAGGGTGGTGATTTGGCGATTGGCATCGCTTCTTAGGCATGGGATTCTCGACGGGATGACGCTGCCAGCGCCCCCAGCAGGCCCGAAATGGTGTAGTGCGAGGTGGTTGCTGCCCTGCTGGGGGGCCGAGGGGCCGCCTCGGGCCACATGAGGGCTTCTGGCACAGACGCCGGGGCGCCTTCCAGAGTCCTTTTGGTCCAAAACGTACCTCCTATAAACTCTTTTCGGCGCCCGCCCAGGCCGCTAGAATGGCCAAGAGCCCCGGCGCTGGGAACGTCCCAACTACGGAGTACGGAGTACACGCATACCCGCAAGAGGTGAGATTGGTGCACATGCAGCACGCCCGTCCAAGACGAGGCAGGACTGACACAAGAGATATCCGATATGGTGCGGCACGATGGGACAATCTCAAGACTAGCGACATGATCTTCTATCTCTCTGAGGATGTGGTCCAATAGACGAACAATATGGAGCTGCAAATGTAGATACCGACGTTTCCTTCGCGAGGTCCTGGCAAACTTCAGCCGAGAATGACTGAGGGAAGGAATTCCTTACTGAGTACTTACCTACGGAGTAGGTACCTTTGCGCATATGTGAAGAGATGCTGGTGGCACTTTACTAGCGCAGATGACGCGCAATCATGTTCCATCACAACGAATTGGTGGGCGCTAGTTTTAAAGAGCTCACGATTGAAAATTCGCGATCGCATTACTGTCCCTCGATTGATGATCTGATGCATATCTGTCGTAGTGGTCCGTGGAATCCATCGAATGGCATCATTTATTCCTATCGTAATACTTGGTACAGTGCTCTATTTTCTCCAGGTCTGTGATCTGGGGCCCATCAATTGGCTCTGAGGTCGGGACCAGCCTGTGCACGTAGAGGCTCCCGTGCATATGCCTATGTAAAGCACCAGCCTCTTATATACACCAGACATAGAACACAGAGCATAATCCTCTCATCATGTTGCGAAGTAGAGGAATTGTGAAAAGTGTCATCGCCCACGTAACCGTAAACCGTCAGGCTGCCAAGATACATAATCACATCACGTGATTGAGTCTAGGTTGTTCCAAGAATGGACTAGCGTCATGTTCAAGCCCCCTCCTAGACTCGCATTCCCAGTCCAGTCCATGACTACCAAAAGATCTATGAATTCATTGAATGTACCAAATCCTGTTTCTCAGCCTAGCATCAATCACCCAAACCAGGCACCTTGAATAGTGCCAGTGATCCCAGTTGTGGCATATAGCCACTGGGCTTTCCTCCCCTCTTACTCACCAGACACATCCAATATCCTCTTCATCCCATCCTTTCGAGCCCGCCATCTCATCCTCATCCCATTTGACCGTCATCTATATGTCTGCCTAACTGCGGTCTCGTCTCCTCTCTGGTTCTCTCATCACCAGCCGGCTCTCCGTCCCAGAACCGTACACGCATGGCGTACCACGCCTCAGACGCTTGAGTAGATCGGCTCCCTGCCTCTACTCACCACGAACCATCCAGCATCGCCTCCCTGTGCCTGGCTTAGCGACCAAATCCCGACATGCGGCCCCTCCGCTTTCTCCTCCTCTTGTTTTTCTTTGTTGCTATACCCATCGCCTTGACCTGCTGGTCTCTTGTCACCGCAGTCGAGAGCGTTGCGGACTCTTTCCACCCAGGCTACAAAACCAGATCGTCCCGACTGAAAGCCCTCTTCTCCTTCTCCACCCCATCCTCTCTTTTCCCGCCCTCTGCCGTCATTAGTCTGACCTACGACAATTCGACCTTCTTCCTGGCCAGGCCTGCCGCTTTCGGGCCCAGTCTTCCTTCCAATGGACTGAGTGGAGAACTCTGGGTCGGCAAAGGTTTTGGTGACGACGCCTTGGCCAAAGAGCAGGACATTCATATTGTAGGCTGGGAGTTGGGCTGTTCAGATGTTCCAGGCTGGAGTGATTTTAGCCAGACCCATCTTCAACCATTAAAATCCGACCAGTCAAAAAATAAAGCCAAAATCCCTCGAGGAGTACACGCCGAAGACAATATAAACTCTGTCTCGTCGCTCGACCCGGATACATCCCTGCAGGATCAGCCCACAGATGATGGCACTGATGATCATCTCCATCGTCCGCTCGAGGATTCAAACCCCGCAACTCCAGCCAAGCCTGGTGAACCCGCCAATGCAAATCAAGCCGATAAAAACAAAAAGTCCACACATGCCGATATCGAGTCTTTACAGGAAAGTGCAGACATTTCTGGGAAGATCGTCATGCTGGCTAGAGGTGGATGCGGTTTTTTGGAAAAGGTAAAATGGGCCCAGCGCCGCGGTGGAATTGCATTGATCGTGGGCGACAACGAAAAGGGTGGTCAGCTCACCATCATGTACGCCAAAGGTGACACGTCAAACGTGACCATTCCCGCCTTGTTTACTTCGTATACCTCTGCTCATCTTCTCGCTTCCCTGGTTCCTCCAGAGAAAAGAAGTGGAAAGGTCGGACTTATGGCCGAAGACAAGACCCTGCAACCTTCCAATAATTTGGGAAAATCATCCCATCAAAAGCCAGAGGACAGTAGACCTGTCTTTACCACCACGCGGTCAGGGCCGAAGAAGCCAACATCCACTCCAACGGATATGTCAGTTGATGGTGGTTGGCTGGATGGGATACTCTCCGCTCTCGGCGTCAACGACGAATCTCGCTTTGCAAACCAGGAAGATAGCCGGCGACCTCCGAGCAGTGGAAACATTGATTGGGTATTACTCGAAGATTGGGACGACGACAAGCCCGCCAAACTTGACGAAACCCTCTTGGTCGCAACAGCCACCAATGCTCAGGCTCAACCCACTCCTCCGTCCAAGGCCAAGGCTACCCCCATTCAAAAGCCCGGAGGCGATGATTTCGTAATCGGCGTCCAGGATTGGAGGGATGCAGATCTCATCGCACCAAAGTCAAATGGTGACGATACTGCGGCTATAGGACAAGTGAAAAATCGGAAAGGCGCGAAGCCGAATAGCCTGGACTCGGCGAAGCCAACCGACACACCCCCATCAGCATTGAAAGGCGGCAGTATCACTCCCGGCAGTGGAGAATATAACCACGATAGCCCGAATCAAGGTGCCCAGAAACCAAGAAAAGGTCCCCACCCGGACACGATCCAGGACCAACAGGACGTCCCCGGCAAAGGCAAGGCAAAGAGCAGCCCCTGGAGGGAGATATTCAGCTCGAGCGAGTCGGTATTGGAAGGCGGTTCAACTGGGGTAGCTGGCCGCAAGCCAGACCATCGTGCTGCTCAGAGGCAATCGTTCCCCGATCAAACTTCGAGTGGAGAAGAGCAAGAAGGTCTCTGGGTCACTTTGACACCTACGAGTGTTTCTACGAGTCCCTTCTTTGACACGCTTCTTGTCCTGGTGGTGAGCCCCTTGATTACGTTGACGGTAGTCTACGCTTTACTCCTCCTTCGATCTCGGATCCGTCGAAGACGATGGAGAGCTCCAAAATCTGTCGTGGAACGGTTGCCCGTGAGGACCTACCACACCATGGCGACCACCTCATCGACGACGTCATCACAAGTGACATCGCCCGTCCGCCCTTCGGTAACATCCCCTCTACTCGTCTCTGCGACGCAAGACGTCTCTCGCCGACCTTCGAGTCTGGCGCGGACACGATCGCAAACCACAACGGGCATCTTCCCGTCCAGCAACGTTGGCCATCCGAGCTCGAGTGCTACGCCGCGTGCATCGCCCATTGAGAAACCATCCAAGTCGAGTAGGCGCAAAAGATACACGGGCCGACAGGTTGAATGCGTTGTCTGTCTTGAAGAATATATCGACGGCGAGTCACAAGTCATGTCATTGCCGTGTGGACATGAATTCCACGTTGACTGCATCACACCGTGGCTGGTCACTCGGCGAAGGACATGTCCGATCTGCAAAGGCGACGTTGTGCGTTCCATGGCAGGCAATGGCAATTCGTCGAGGTCAGAGGACGATCACGAGTCTACCGAAGATGAGCAGACGGGAGACAACTTTCAGAACCAGGTCGCACAAACCGCGAACGACGATCCTAGCGCAGCGATTCCCATCCCCATTCGAAACGATGAGGAAACATTGAATCAGGACGTCGAGCGGGTCGCGGCTGATGACCAAGACGCCTTGTTGGAAATTCGAGCGAGGCAGTCGGAATTGGGCATGGAACAGCAACCTCAAACTCTGTGGGGCCGAATGCTCAGCAGTTCCATGAGGGGACTCAGTGGCGATACTTTATGGCGACAGACCCCCGTGGACCGCAACCGGTGATGAAGAGTCTGTGATTCGATAGAACTTATCTCCGTGCGCATCACAATTGACTCTTACTCATACTCCTATTAAGCCGTCGAAAGTGATTACCGAGATTGATTGAGCGTGGACGGGGCGGCGGAGCATTATTGCCTCGACCAGATTATCCTTGTTGTTTCTTCCTATTATTGATATCCAATTCAGTGCACTGAAGGCGCCGGCGAATATGTAGTTGGACTGGCAACTTTGAGCTAGACAGGAGACAGTGCCAAGTTCATCACACGGATGTCTTTATGCTGACCATAGTGCGCAAAGAAGGTTTTAGATCTACAGTAGACGGACATCCATGACTTTGCTATGCCAGTAATCCTTTCGTCGACTCTGGTATGGATTTCGCATGGAGAAGTGGAAAACTATGTCGTGCACGAGGGTCCAGTAAACAAGAGATCAGAGGAAAGAAGATGACTAAGTAGACCATACAGTCTGATGGCTTCGATAAGCGATAGACTCAAGGAAGCCGGCGCTCGAACTCTTCATGTCCTCGGGAGCTGGTTCGTCGATGCCTGTGGGATACTCTTCGTCGACGAGATAATGCCTCGAGATAGGTACCAGGTGCCCCATATCAGGCACGCCTGGTTGCATGTCCTTTGGCATGACCCAACCTTGTGGGGCAGGAATTTCAGTCTTGGTACCTGTTTGGGGATTGATCAGGAAATGACGTGCAGGGAGGATCTCAGTGACGGCGATGGGCTGTATATACGTGTAGTAATGGTGAATATGAATGTCTCGGGTGATTTCTTCCTGGATGACTTCGACTCGGTGTGAGTGAATGGTCTCGTGCGTGACAGCAGGGTGAAAAGCCTCGTCAATAACAGTATGATGTGTAGTATGAACTGTTCCAGACCCCGGGTATCGAGTCGTCTTTGTATTGGTTCCATGCGTCTTTTCTAAATCTGAAACCATGGTCAGGGATGCGGGGTTGGCCCGGTCCTTCATGTTCTGGGAATTCCTCGGTGTTGGAGTGGTATTGGTTGTGGTCTTGGGGTCGACATTTACGGTATGATAACGTGGGTTCAGTGGCGATGGATCGTTAGGAGCAAGGATCACATGCTTCGGCGGTCTGGATGTGCTGGAGCAACCAGCCGGGTCTGATTCTGTGGTCGGTCGAAGGTTGGTGGAGCTCTCATCGTGAGGCTCGCCTGTCTGGCTCGGAGCTCGTGTTCTGTTCACCAGTTCCAAGTGAGGATTGACAAAATATTTTTCAATATCCGAGGCATCCATTGTTTGACGAGCTAGCAAGTCAGCATTGACCATAGGCCAGATGGTAGTCGAGGCAGTGGATTTGTTGCGCAGAGAGGAAGAACGACGTGGAATATGACTCTGGCTTGTCATCAACGGCGAGACAGAGGGATGTTCACAATCTGAAAGATGAGGTGTGAGCACAAGGCATGGAACAAGACTGTGGTTCCCCTATAGACGTGTAAAGAGACTGACTTGATTTGATCACTACTAAGTACCTCGAGGCATGGTTGCGTTCAAAAGCCGGAAATGTCTTAACACTGTGATTTTGCAACAAGTGGAATGGCCATAGTCATGAAAAAGTAAGAAGAGACGCTGTTAAAAGTGGTCGAGAACATGGAACAAAGAGAGACGGGAGAGGTTCAACAATGGTACTATAATGGGTGAAGTATTACATCTTGGAGATGGTGTTTTGGTGTTGAAGCTCAAGTTGGCCAAATGACGTCGTCATTTCCTGTCGTGAAGCCACCAATGCCGCCAGCGCCACCATGTGGCGGAAGGCCCATCCTTCCTTCCCCAGATCCAAAATGCGCTCCTTCCCCATTTTCTCAGTAAGCAAGTGCCATCACTCCTTCCCTCCTTGATTGTTTACCAGAATTGGCAGGAGCAATACTAGGTAGTTAGAGCAAATCCCTCTTGTATACTTTTTGTATACTTCTTATATAGGCATGTGTCTTTTGATCGCAACACCAACAGAGACACGAAGGATTATGTGTTGACCTGATTCGATTGGACGTAATTTCGCCTCGGGCAGACGAGTATCATAGTTAGACGATGTTATAAAGCAAGAGGTTAGACAAGTAAGTCTATTCATGACTCTACACAAGGTATGTATTTGCTATGATACTGTGCATCCATCCATGCTTTGGGCCAAGTGGTACAAGTTCCCACCCAGGACAAGTGGACTTGTAGATCGATCGCCGTGCCTAGAAAGAGATCTCTTGTCAATAATAATATTCCGTGCCCCCGCTCCACACTCTCGGGTCGCTTGAAAGCTAATGTCCTAGTAGATACATCTACGGTAGGAGATTGATCATGCTAAGTACCAATCTCTGTGTTGTAGTCAAACTTCGAACTAATCACAATTGTCCACCAAGGAGTGACAAGTTCACTGCATAATATCTTCATTCGAACAGGTGCGCGTCAGAGATGACGTCTACTGATCTCAGCGACCTCCGTTCAGATCTAATCTGCAAATTGAACTTCATGACACATACTGTTGATTTCCTCGCTTCTGTTAACCGACAAGCAAAAGTCTCTGGGATCCATGCACCAGGAAGCAGCATACATGGGCTCCCCTCCAGCTGTCACACAATAAGGCCCTATATCCCGCCCAGCTCTATTGGACGGATCCTGAGTAGTCCCAAGAAATATGATCAACATGCCAGTGTGGGGCCAGGCAGTCTAGATGCCGCCCACTTATGCCATCTCCATCACATCGCCGAACCTAGAACTCCTCCTCACCAGCTTCAGTGATTCTCTTTTGGGAACGAGATCCCAAGTCTGGTCCATGATGTCAACTCTTACGCCTTCTGAGTGGCACTCTGTTCCATCCTCCACTAAATCCCCGTCGCTCAAGCTGACTGTTCTTGACAAATGTGGACACTATTTCGATCTTCTCCATGAACATGCCGTCTCCTTGAGGCACACTACGGCACACTTAGCTGAATGTCGAACCTTAACAAATTATAAATCGATAGCCATTCGGTCATAACAGGCGGAAGATACACGGTATGGGATTTCATCCGTGCGAATCAAATCCTTCCTTGGTAGGTATGCTTCACCTGATGTCGGGGTTTGGAGGAATCAAACTAAACCTCTGCATGGTGATATCACTCAAATTCGGCCTTGAAACACAGGGACCAGTTGCCATGCCCAACAATGAATATCAAGGCCGCTGCCCCTCCTGTCGATGGCTATTCTCTCTCAAGCTTCACTTATCACATCTAGAAAAGACCATTCTAAAACAGTAAACCGTCAAAATGGAAGCCGCCAAAGCCGCCATTTCCAAGTTTACCTCTAACAAGGGTCATCACACTACCGTAGACGAAACCGTCCACGGCGGTGTCGTTAAAGAAACTATTCAGCCCCAGCGCCACGAGGAAACTACTCAAGCCGTCGACCGTGAAGTCCATCAAGATCACTATCATACCACAGTGCAACCACTTCAGGATCAGCAGGTTCTTCCGGAGAAGCATACTCACAATCAGTTGCCTACAGAGAATCGCGAGTATCACCACGATGATGGACGTATCAAACAGCAAGTTACCGCTGATCTCGGGCGGTTTCAAGACACTCAACAAGTCGAGCGTACCCAGCATAGTAGTGCCACGGCCCCCTCAGTCACGGGAGAACATGTCCATCACCATGTTCACGAAACTGTGGTTCCTGTTGTTCATAAGTCAACCATCCAACCGGAGGTCGTGCACACCACGGTCCCTATCCATGAGTGAGTCTTCCTAATCGTGGACGGAAACCCGGAGCTGCGCTAACCCTTTGTGAGAACACACCACGCTGCTGCCCAAGAGCACGGCCTTTCGCAGCTTCCCATCAAGTCGCTGAGCGAGTTTCAGAAAGCTGGCGGCAAGCTTACAGGGGGCACCAATACAACGCATGAGGAGTATGATGGGCCTCCCCGACAGTACAATTCAAAGCTTTCTACAACGTTTGACAAGCTTGGTATGGGAGGCAATTCGGCCGGTCAGCAGTCATCCACGGTTGGTGCTGAGACGGGTACCCACGCCGGAGCGGGTGCTGGTGCTGGTGCTGGTGCTGGTGCGGGAATAGCTGCGGGCGGCGTCGGCGCCGCTGCGGCGCATCATCGACGTGGCTCTGCGAGCTCCTCGAGCAGCAGCGATGAGAGCATTGGGGGAACTCGACGCAAGAAGAATCGGCTTGGCCGTGCAGCAGTTGGCACCGGATTGGCCGACAACACCAGCACAGGAACCGGCACCAGTAGTGGTCCACAAACGTCATCCCAGGTTGATGGATCTCACATAGCGTCTCGTGTTGATAACGGTGTCGGTTCCAACTCACAGCCCCTGGGTTCAACTGGTGCACCAACATCCCGTGCTACCGGCGCACAAAAGCCCGGGTTGATGGATCGTTTGGATCCTCGTGTCGATGCTGACAGAGACGGCAAAGCTGGTCTGGGTGATTAGGGGCTAAGTAACACTTTGAGAGTCATATGATCCATGTACATATATTCATTTATTATGCTATCTACAATGACATCTACCATTAGCCGAGGATTCGGTCGTTCCATTATTAATCTGAACCCCTCCAGGTACACAACAAAGAAACTATTAGACCACATCTTTAGTCTCTTCCAGTTCTCCAACACCACAACTCCGTATTTCTTCATGACATGATAGTTGTGTGTGGTTTGAATGGATGTGGGGTTCATCGCAACCCGGGAGTTCCAGGGTTGATGCGGGGAGTCGTTGCCTTCTCCTCCTCCTCCCCATCACGTCCCACTCTTGCGTGACTCACAGGGGGGATTTGAGCGTACTTAAACAGCGCTTTGAGATCGCTGTCTCTTTTGTCTCTGCATCGCATGGCCAACAGGAACATTTGAGCCTCAAGAGACCATCGAAGCATTCAGCACTGTCGTGATAACAATACAGATCATCACTCACGCTGTAGAAGGGTCCCGTATCTATCATGTCTGCCGAGATCGTATTCTTTGATCTGCCATCCCGTGCTGGAAAGGCATGGAGTTTGAATCCTTGGAAAAGTAAGTGGCCATTGCCGTTCAGAAGTGATGATCCAGCCATGACTATGACTGACCCAACAATCGTTTCCTTTTCTAGCCCGACTGGCACTGAACTATAAAGGACTGCCTTACCGGACTGAGTGGATCGAGTACCCAGATCTCAGGCCAACTTTCCAAGGCCTGTAAGTGGATTAACTCATGCCATCTTTATGACCAAGCCGGCCATCACTAACCGGAGGAAACCCAATCGTGCTCCAGTGGCATTCCACCCAACGAGACGGGCTTCGCCTACTCATCCCCAGCCATTGGCTTGCCCGACGGCTCATATGTAATGGAGAGTCGAAAGATTGCCTCTGCACTGGAAGAGAGATATCCAACTCCCTCGCTGCATCTCGACTCCCCCTACCTCCCACGCGTCGAAGCCGTCCTCAGCAAGTTACTTCCAGGACTGCGCCCGATCTTCGTACCATTGGTTCCTAAAGTCTTTCTCAACCCGCGTTCTCAGGAGTATTTTATCCCAGACCGCGAGCGAACTTTTGGCAAGTCCTTGGACGAGGTTTCGCAAGGTGCCGACCAGGCTGCCGAGGATTCGAGGCCTTATGTTGCGCAGCTGGCCGAACTACTGAGAGAAAATCAAGATGGGCCATTCTTTGCCGGCAAGCAAGTTGGGTACGCCGATTTTATGGTGGTGGCCTTTTTGAGAATGTTGACTCTGCTCGGAGCTGCAGATAAGCTTTGGAAGGAAGATGGAGAGAAAGAATTGAAGGGTTTGTACCAAGCCTGCGAAAAGTGGTTGGAACGCGATAGCTATTGATCCATACAATGCATGGGAACGACTCAGGCCACTGCAGATATCATATTGTAGCGGCTATTCTGGTCGAAATAGTTAGTATTTACTGTGCCTGTTAAATATAAACACTACTCCAGGCGTCCACCGACATGGATTACCACCTTTCCAAATTGCTTCTGCTCCTACTGGTACTAATATGCCGCCTTGACTTGGATGCCAAATCGCTTCTCATCGACCATGGGGTTGATCTGAACCGGCGCCACGTGACTGGGGTCAAAAATCACCGCTTACATAAGTGTCACGTTCTTTTCAGAATTAGGGCTTCTTCCATGAAATTCTTGGCAGGCCAACCCAAATTCATCGCCCAGTGATTTTCCTTGCACCCAAGAAACCGTATGTGTGTGTGAAGTGCCACTTACAACCTTCTCCATCGACAATCACCACCTTCGAAAATTCGAGACAATCCGCGATTCTGAAGGAGTTTTGATCGAAGCTCCAGTCGCAATCATGTCTCAACCAGCACTCAACAAGATTGCTGCCAACAGCCCTTCCAGACAAAACCCTTCAGAACTGGAGACCAGCATTGCAACCGCTCTCTACGAACTCGAGACCAACATTCCAGATCTCAAGGTTGCTTTGAGACCACTTCAAATTGTCTCTGCTCGTGAGGTATGAAGCACCCGGATGTCGCCCCCCAATTCGCAGCGAGCGAGAAGTCTCGTTTCTGTCGCACCGATATCGAGTGAAGAGTGCAACCACAAGCAAAACACCATACTAACGATTTTTATCTTCTATAGCTCGAAGTCGGCCACGGCAAGCGCGCCATTGTCATCTTCGTCCCCGTTCCCTTGTTGGCCAACTTCCACAAAGTCCAACAACGCCTGATCCGCGAACTCGAGAAGAAGTTCTCCGACCGCCATGTCCTCATCCTCGCCTCGCGCCGCATCCTCCCTCGCCCCAAGCGCAGCAACCGCTCCCGCACTTCGCAGACCCAGAAGCGTCCTCGTTCTCGAACCCTGACCGCGGTTCACGATGCCATCCTCGCCGACGTCGTCTACCCTGTGGAGATTGTGGGCAAGAGACTCAGAACCAAGGAAGACGGTAGCAAGACTCTCAAGGTCGTCTTGGACGAAAAGGAGCGTGGAGGTGTGGATTACAGACTCGACACTTTCGCCGAGGTCTACCGAAAATTGACTGGCCGTGGTGTCGGTTTCGAGTTTCCTTTGAGCGGTCCCACTGATTTTTAGATGGCTTGGTGCGGGATATGGTGGATGTGAGGTCGGCGAGTGATCGTTCTCGGATGAAGTATGATGCAAAGGGAGTAGACAATGGTGTTACTCATTTCGCCATATGGCAGTGGGGGCACCTAGTTAGGTCTTGACCTGAAATCGTTGCTGCGTGCTTGTGTATGGAAAGCATCTCCAAAACCAACAAAGGGTCAACATAGCAGCATCGTGTGCCTGGAATTGAGCCAAATAGGTTTCAGAGCATACCCAAATACAATCCATTAAATCGTTCACCTGGACATGCTTGCCGACCATTCTGGAACCACCAAACGATGCCAGTATACCCGACAGTGGTCCACCTCAGTGTATGACGGCGGAGGCAGACGAAAAATCAGTGCTCGTTACTTTGATACTTTACACGGCTCAATGCAGGTTATTACATTAGTGGAACTCTCCTCCACCAAGAATGTCCTTGATGTTGACGCTGCCGCTGCCTCTTTCCAAAGGCTGCTGTTGATTTTGGCCCTCTTTCCAACCAATCATGTATATCACCCGGAAGGTAGCCGGGATTCGATCTTTCTCTCCCTCGTTGCAGTGTAACTCTCGATAGATAGCTTCATTCGCCAGTAAAACGTCACGACTGATGGGCCCGCCTTCAGCCTTTAATATCGCGTTTCCCTCGCCCATGGCTTGGATGTCGGTCATGAGGGCAAATGTATCAGGATACTCGACAACAATGTCATCGACATCCACAGTCAATAACTTGAACCCAGCTTTTCCTAGTAGACCACCGATATCTCGAACGTCTGCCAGAGGAGAGATGTGGGGGGACACCCCGCCTCGTCGTTCTAGGTCGGCCAGTTGAAGGGAAGAGCGCAGCTCGAACAGGGTGTCTCCACCAAACATAGCTGCGAGGAACGGTGCGTCGGGTTTGAGGATATTGTTGATGCTGGAGAGGATGGAGGGCAAATCGTTGATCCAATGCAGGGAAAGAGACGACATGACAGCATCGAAACTGTTCGCTTCGTAGGGCAATGCTTCAAGGGACGGAAGAACGGTCTGGGTGATGGAGACTTCGGGAGCAGGCAGTGTGTCATCACGATGGAGCGCTGTCGGGGAGGTATCGGCACAAACAAGCTCCTGGATTCGCTCTGAGAGGGGCACCTTGTTGCTCAACGGACCATCTGGCACTTCAGGCGCAATCAATGGTGGCATGGAGAGGGCACGGGCGAGGTTGCAGCTATTAGCGCCCAGATCGAGCACCTTTGTAAATTGCCGGTTGATGTCGAGTAGGCGATCAGCGAGTCGTCGAGAAACTTCGTTCTTGAGGTAGTCAACCTGCCGGCTCTGTTGTGCGTTGGCTGCAGCTCTCTCCTTTTGCATATACTTTGTGTGCTCATTGAAGATTTGGAGGGTTGGGGCACCAGGTGCTTGAACTGCATAACGTCGACGAGGACCAGACCGCCGCCGCAGCGCCGCATTGGGAAGCCATGGCCGGAGCGTTGCTGGCTTCATTGCTGACGATCAGAATTGCTAAAACAAATTAATGTCTGGCATTAATGTCGACGACCGTAATGCGTCCAGCCTGGTCCATACTCGAAGTAAATTGGAGAGAAACTGGTGATGTCAACAGCCTCGTCCTCGCAGCCTCGTCCATCAATAATCACGTGACTATAGAACCTTTGGAAGGTTCCCCGAAAGCGCGTCTTGGCGCGTGCATTCGACGTCGGAGCGTGTTTGGTGCATTCGCCTTGGTTTCCAACTTCTACAGTCTGGTAAAGGCATGAATCCGAGGTAAGTTATTCTTGTCCAAGGGCTGTGTGCAACAGATCGAGTGAGGTGTGTAGCGCGGAGTGATCGATCGAAGCACGGGTGGGAGGCACACATGCTGAGCAGACCGCCAACACAAGCATGGCCCTGCGATTCCCCTACACATTCATCTCATGCCCCTGTTCAGATGCCTCCAACCGAGTCTTGACCTCCAACCGAACGTCACGCGAAGTCGATTACGATCAAGAGGTCCAGGATACTGAAGACACCTTTGACCCTCGTCATCCTCGTTCGGCATTTTCCTTGTTCCCTCCAGAACACCTGTTGTATTGCGAGGAATGCCATGAAATCAAGTGTCCGCGATGCGTGACCGAGGAAATCGCCTCTCCTTACTGTCCAGATTGCCTGTTCGAGACGAGCAAGAGCACCATGCGATCAGACGGCGGAAGATGCCCGCGCAACTGCTTCCGTTGTCCAATCTGTACATCTCAGATGATCACTGCTTCCGTGGGCGAGACAAGGGATGGGCCCTTCATTCTGAGTTGCAATTACTGTATGTGGAACACTCTTGACATCGGCATCAAGTTCGGCAAAGGCACTGGCATTCGTGCTCAGCTTGATGACCTCCTTAACGGTGCTAGCGCCAAGGGCCACAACAAAACCCGGATAGATGACCAGGCCAGATCATCATCCTTATTCCAACCTCCCATCACATCAACCGATTCAGACCAATCAGACTCGGAGAAGAAAGTGGATTTTGATCGCCGACGCGAGTCTGCAGCACGCTTTGAGTCGATGACCAAGTTCTACAAGAAACAAATCAGCGAATCGACAGGTGCAGATGCTACGTTTTCCAATGCTGCCATCAACATGGCATATTCCTCACCGTCGTCCATTGACCGCATCATGGCAATTTACAACACCAAACTCGATACCAAAAAAAGATCGGAACAGCATGTAACCACAATGCGCGAAGCCAACAGTCCACATGAAGGGTTCAAAGAATCCGACACTCGGTCGACTTCCCTATTTCCATATCATTACTCGGCCACCACCACTCGATCTCAGCGAGACCATCAAAATCCATCCAACTTGGGCAATCCAGGTGCGGCAGTCGAATCCCACCTTGTGCCCATGTCCACTCCCTTCCGCACTAAGCGTCTCAAGCGCTGCATGAACTGCAAGCATATGCTCACCCGACCCGAGCTCAAGGTTACCTCCGCCCGGTATCGAGTAAAGTTGATCGCGCTAGACTATATCCCATTTGTCACTATTAAGCCGCTCCCTGTGCTGGGAGGTCTCTCAGCACCTGGACCTGACGGTGCAGATATTGCTCTGCAATCCGGCAAAGCAGTTCAGTTTATCATGACACTACGAAATCCACTTTTTGAAGACGTCAAAGTGTCACTCGGGAGCCCCAGTGTCACTCCGGGCAAACTCGGCCATCGTGTCACCATTCTCTGCCCACAATTCGAGATTGGCAAGAACAGCGACGCCTGGGACGACGCAATCAACCGCAACGCGTCTTCGACAGCCAATCGCGCCGGTGAGCAGATTGCCGGCAAATTGTACGATCAAGGGCGCAACTGGGCGAGTGTGGTGGTGGAAGTCATTCCAGCAAGGCTTGTGACGGGGCCCGGAGGCGATGTGGGCGAGGACGAGGATGTCATTGAAATTCCTATCCGAGTGAGGTTAGAATGGCAGGTGACGGAAGATCAAGAACCGGAGGACGAACGCAGGCGGAAGGAGAGAGACAAGGGTTTGGACCAAGGAGACGACATGCGGGATTCTGGAAAGAGGGAATTGAGTTACTGGATGGTGGCTGGGGTCGGCCGAGTGGATTTTTGATGCATTCTGATGAAGAGACCATGTCTATTCTAGTTTGTCGTTCTGCCGCATGATACCCTATTGTCGAGGAAAAGACTCGCAGTTCTCTTTGCTCCTCACGAAATCGATACACAAGAACTTTGGCAAAGCTGCGACAGTCATGACCTGCACAAGACTGTCCATATGTTTGTGGTTGGGAGAGCAAGGAGTTGGCGGTGTCGCATCCTGCTCGGGCCTGGACGTAAATGACATGTTGTTCATACCGTCCTCCGGTCAGACAGAACCCTGACAATGCCACCGACACCAACCACCTCTGTCAATTTTTCATGCCAGCTCAGGAGAACGCTCATGACCTGACCACCACCACCCTCGCCAAAGTTCCGACCTGATATCTGACTAAAACCGGTGCCTGTTGCCTGCGGACTAACACCTTTGCCTGAACTCCCGCCAGCTCCAACCGCCATGCCCTTGTAGATGTATTTCATCAAAGTATCTCCCAATGCGGTCCCTCCTGGTTGCTTGAGAATCTCGCCGAGGATTCTGCTGACATCTGCCTGTCGGATACCCTGGAGCACCTCGAGCACAGTAGCGAGATGGACTTGCTTAGCAGATTCATCGCCGGCAAAGGGAGCAGTCTCCAGGGCAGACTGTAGAGCGCCAACGCTGTCACCAGCTCGCAGTAGTTGACGTACTTGCTGGCCTATTTGTGCGGATTCGGAGGATGTGGATGGGGCAGGGAGGTTGGAGGGGAGAAGGGTGGTCAAGGCAAAGTTTGTGGCAGAGTCAGGATCATATGCGTCCACGTCAATGGTCCGCCAGTTGATGTTGGCCATCTGGTGTTGGGGCCCGAGGCGAGGTGGGTTGTGGTGTCAGAGGACGAGGGGCCTGTGGTTTAATGTTTGAAGTGGACTAGGTATGTCTTCAGGCAAAGGTACGGCCGGTCGAGGATGTGGCAGAATTAGGATGGGCGAAGTCCTGTAGTGTTGGGTGTTTGGTCTGAGTCTGGAGGGGGGGCAAAGTTGACGCCTGTGCGGTTTACGACAAGGACTAGGCAGAGAGGCTTGGTTGATCGAAGTCGTCGTCGCCGGAAATGATACGAGATGAGATGAGATGCGGGACAATAGTGGAGAGGGAGGATCATAATAGTCCACCCTAGCCAAGGCTACGATGAAGATTATCGACCAACTGACGCACTCACGCACCTTCCCCGCCTTCTCCTCCTCACGTGATATCAACCCCATTTTCCAGAGGAAGAGCTCTCGGTCATTACTGTCTACAATTGACGAACTCGATACCCTAACCAACTTCTATCACTCTTTCTCAGTTCTTGATATACCAAGCCAGGTCGTTCGAAGTATCTAGCTCATACTCAGTGAAGCCATTTCCCATGAAGCGAAATCTGTTGGTCGAGTGGTACTTGATGTGAAAATCTTCTCCCCGGATGTCCGAGATCATCTTTTTGAATAACAGGGCACTTCCAGGAAACGTCGCAGTCACCCTTCCGTCCACACGGTTCTTTTTGTACCAACTCCGACACTGGCCAGACCAGACCAGGGTCTTGTGGATTCGATCTCCATACCTGGTGAAGTCATCCGTGGCTTGTTGAGTCGGTGCAACTGAGTGGATGTCTTCAGATGCTATTTTTCTTAGCCATTTAATAATGTATTCTGCTACCCAACCCAGCCCTTCGACCAAGGACCCGTGACCGACCACGGCGTTCGGTCCGGTGAAAATAAAATAATTGGGAAATTCAGGACATGCCAGCGAGAAATATGACTCTGGCTCTTGAGCCCATTTGTCCGCGAGGCTAACTTGGTTTCGTCCAATAACAGGGTAAATGGGGCAATGTGAAACATCAAAACCTGTCGCACACACAACTATGATGGATGTTAGATTGTTGGGGATATGTTTGATTGGGGTCCCAAGGGCGGCTCTCTTACCGACATCGACCTTACACTCCTGACCATCTGTTGTCACAACAGAATCCCTTGTGATTCTCGCAATCGGGCTTTGAGTTAGGTGGACATTCGGCCGCAGGAATGATTCGAGATAACCAGCTCCAGGAGTCACCCGTCTGCAACCAAGCTCCCATTTCGGTATGAGCATCTCGCAAAGTTCGGGGTCATGGTTCAATTTGTCCGCCATCTGCTTCCTTGCATACTCAGTATTATCCAAATTCTCGACCGAGTCTTTGACAAACTGCACAGGTCAATCAATGGCTCCATCATTGTCGCGGCAGTCCACCGGTAACACACCGACTTACCATCCTGAAAGCCGTATTGATCCTGTGGATTAGGTTTTTTCGGTACTGGTGATGGTGCTCCTTGTCCTCTCGGAATTTTCGTTTTTCTTCCTCTGTATACATGGGATTCGACCCGATATTCGGCTTTCCTAATAACCTCCCTGGATCCATTCTTGCCACAATCCACGTTGGCCCTCTTTGGAAGGCAGTTAGATCGGTGCCGTCCAACTTCGCCAGCGCCGGTAGGATCTGAATTCCCGAGGATCCGTTGCCGATAATGGCCATCTTCTTACCAGAATAGTCATAGTCGTGATCCCACGAGGCTGAATGGACTTTGTGGCCCTCGAACTCTTGCAATCCAGGTATTTCGGGCCACTTCCAAGTGTTGAGAAACCCCTGTGCCGAGATCAGGATATCCGCATATTCCTCCCTCTGCTTCCCATCATTCTCGACCACCACCTTCCACTGCCCCTGATCTTCCTGCCAATATGTTCCCACCACCCTTGTGTTGAATTTGATATCGCGGTCCAGGTCCCATTTTCTAACCGTCTTGGTAATGTATTCCTGTATTTGGGGGCCCGTGGAATAGAAATGATCCCACTCAGGGTTGGGGTCAAAAGGAAATGCATAGATGTGTGATGGGACATCGCATTGTACTCCCGGATATGAATTGACGAGCCATGTCCCCCCAACCTCTGATCGTGCCTCATAGATTGTGTTGGTTACTAGGCCCTCAACTTCTGGATACTCGTAACGTATTTTATGAGCAAAAATCAGGCTGGAGAAGCCGGCCCCGATGGTGATGACTCGTAACTTGCGTGGCACAGAGTATGCTGGCCTAAGCAACAAGGGGATATCATTGCCAGGCGCTGTGCCCATGGTTCTGCTGTTTTCACCGTGGACGCCGTTTGTTTGTGATGCTGTGTCAGAGGCATGATGTTCATCATTTAGCCGACCATCCGGCAAAACCGTTGCTTGCTCTTTACTGTTGGTGCCGGTCTCCTCACCAACGCCAGTCGGTTTCACGATTCCTGTATCCGCCATCAAGGAAATTGCCAATTCTCGGATCACGAGTTCATCTCAAACAGGTCTCGATTGCAGGCATAGGATGCTCTTCCAACATGTGCGCGCATGTTCTGGGGATTTGAGTTGGCCACTCCCAGAACTGACGCTCAGCATAGTTGGAGAACATCCTCGGTCAAGCAACGTAAGAAGTTGGAGAATTGCATCAAGCATAGACGGGCCAATAATGAATGGCTGACAGCAGCTTGGGGTACATAGAAGGACCGATGAGCAATGAGCGACTCGTGTTGTCCATTTGCGAATAGAGCGGAATTCTACAGAACTTCCTCAACGATGACCCAGGACCTGGTGTGGCGTCGACACAAAGGTTGGTTACTCTGGGCTTGAGGCTCATTTGCCCAGGGCTACAGCAATCACTAGATCATCCTTCTAGGTATGGCCGACTTTGTTGAGCCAGGAAGAGCTAGCATGATTGAAAATGGTATCAATGTTACGCCCGCCAGTATCCGCTGGCATTGGTGATCGGAATGTTTACACATGCATTTCTAGCCTTATGAATTCCAGAGTTACAGCTCAGTGTATTTACGGCGTCGATTGCCTGGCAAACGTTCCACATTCCATTGCCCTTGGACGCGCACAGACTACTAATCAACGATGTTACCGGGTGCTGTGAAACCCCCCGCATCGATCATCTCTCTCTCTCTTTGTTCTCTCTAGAGGCCTCCAATGCGAACTCACAGGTATCGGACGTTAAGGCAAAGGGGTATTCTCAAGGGAGAAGGTTGACCTATAGTGCCTATGCGCGACCAACAAATTCACTCTGGCACAAGCACTAGGAACCACTTGTTACAAAGCTCCGGAACAAGAAAAGTCACAATGCCTTCAGAATGGATGGAAGATGTTCCCGAGTCGACCTTACCACCGTATGATCACCAGAAGAGCCCCCACACAATCTTCCACGGAGGAGTTGATAGACCTCATATTCCAGGTCTCAACCCTTCCTCGGAGTACGATCCATCCGAAACAATTTCACAATCTCCAGTCCGGCCAGCAACTAGCGAAGCGCTGCTCATGCAGGGGCAGAGAAGCCATCAAGACGCCAAAGCTCAATCGGTCATTTTACCTTCGAACCCCCAACGTACTAAGCCGATACAAGCAATCATCTCCACGAACGACAACGACTCTCTTTTCGGAGACAGCGATCCGGAGAGCGATATCATGCCTTCAGCCCGCCGTGAAAAAACAGAGCTTTTGATGAGTGGCGCCCTCCAGTCTTCCCTTCCAGCCTTTGTATCAGGTGCCTTTCACAGAACCAGTCACCGAAATGGCGTTCTAAGTTCTGATGACTATCAATCCAGGTGTGAAGAATCCGATGAGGAGGTTACGTGGGAGGAAGAGGAAGAATATGAGCCCCCAGACCCCACGCAAGAACTCCTGGAGTACACAATAGATACCAAGATTGCAGATGGGAGGGAATACGACCCATCTAGACCTTGGATTTTAGGACACCATGCTCAAAGGGATGCCGCGCTACGAATGCACTCTGAGAGACTGAAAGAAAGCGGTAAGACTGGAGACCCACCTTCACCGAGTGAGTCAGAACTCGTCTCAAGAGGCTTCGAATTTCACCAAGAGATCCCTGAAGATATACAGATTGCTCAATTTGGCCACTCGGCATACCGTGACGCTTTACGCAAGGTCCAGCCCGATATGCCCCGGAAACAGCAATGGTACTTATTCCGAGAGGTGGAACGAGCACTGAAGGACGTTAATTCAAGAATCGCAGCGACACCGGTAACAAAACCAACGCTGGGCGAGTGTGTCTGTGGTTGCAATGGCTCCACTGAGAAATGTGCTTGTTCTCCATGGTTTTGTGCCTGCGTTGAATGTGATCATAGCGACGAGGTTGACCGATTTATGCGCAAATACTGGCAAAAAAGCTGTGAAATTGACAGTCTCAACTCGAGCCACCATGTGGGCGCTTCCACGGTCTGTGGTTGTCTTCCTGGTCTGTGTCATTGTGCGAAGGATTCATTGGTAACCCCAAGCCCCAGCCCTGGAACCAGATGGTGCTGGCCACGCGACAATCTCACTCAAGGGCCACCATATTGGCAAGACGTATTTCCAAAAGGTGAATTGGTGGTTACCCCAGATCACCGATGGAGTATCAAATCTGCCTTGCCGCCTCTTCCTTGGAAAGTCGTGCAGAGGTTTTGGAAGGAGTCTGCCGTCAGAAAAGAGCAGATGACTGACGAGCAACGGAAAGACGCAATTCTAGAGTTCTACGCATGGGAACAGAAGAACGAAGCCGAGGCCTCCAAGGGAACAACACCGAAAGTCCAGCGTGGACAGGATCGCCATGAACAATACCTTAGCCTTGCTTCCTCGTCGGCTCGCGACCCAAACTGTCGGTGTCTGGCAAATGGTCGCGTTTTCGAACAGGGACAGGAACACCTTGGCGCCACAGACCTTGCCATAGTTTCAGACGATCAAGTATTTGTTTCGATGTCCATTGAGAGGAGATCCAGCATACCAACCAGTCGACCGGATACACCTAGGCCGCCTTTGGACTCGAAGACTACAACCCCGTATGCTTCGGACGTCAACCATGATTCCATCCGACAAAGCGTAGAACCTGAGCTCCCATCAGCGGAATGGCATCGGGAATCAACGCCCGCATATGAGGACCGCTCTCAGTCACCATCTCCAGTCTCAATGAACGACATTGTGCAAATCAGACGCCCCTGTCTCGCCGACGACCCTGTTTCGACCAGGACTCCTATACCACTTCCTATCGCTGAGAGTTCGAGTTCAGTGAACGAAAAGGCTTTCGCAGGACAATCTCATGACGTGACGACAAACTGGCTTTCCTCCCCGATGAAGATACCAAAAAGAAATGACAGGATCAAAAATGGGGTTCAGGGTGCCAAGGTTGAGAAACGCTCAGCGACTAGCTCAACATTCAAAGGGAGAAATATGAATCGCAGAGCCACGGCGATGCGTCCACCACCTGCAGCGCTGAAGAGAGCCGACAGAGTGAAAACTCAGCTTGAGAAAGATATAGAGGTTCAAGAGGCGCCGAATCCAGGCACGGAAAGGGTATCTTCGATGGTGGCGGACATTGAAGCACGAGAAAGTCGAGAATCGACAGAGGAAGACTTGCGGCAGAGGGATGGGACACCCGTCCGGCGAAGCAGCAGAGCAAATAAAGGCATTCGGTCATCACCTGGATATGCGGAAGAGTTTTCTTAATTCTATGAAATGGGGACAAACTCACGGCGACTATAGATGATCTTCATCACCGGAGTTAGAAAGTATGGCTTGAACTATGGTCCCATGTGTCCAGAAAGGGGTTGAATCCTGCCTGTATTGGCCCAAATAACTGCATGACCCCTTTGGCTTTTCTAGATTATTGGCTGTTCTCATACCGGTTTGATCAGGATTCAGATTGTTCCAGCCTCCTGGAGAGAAGCGAGAGCATACTCGTAGTCACGATAGTTTGAAGGTGAGGTGGCTGAGCTGACGCCAAGTGTCACTAAGAGTACTCGAACACGAGACTGCCGCAGAAGCTGTGACTAGGAGAAGGAAAACAGTACTTGTGTCTTCTGCCCCATGAACATTATTGTTCCTTTTCGATCGCTCTGTCGCGGTAAAGCCTTGACAGGGTCTGTTGCTTGAGCTGAATCAACTCGCTGAGTCACCACGATGGCACAACCATATTGGTGTTGAACGCCATGTCTTTGTCAAAGATGAGGTGAATTGAGTTACTTGGGCTTCCTCGTTCTAAGGGGGGAAGCCCACCTATCTATAGCCAAAGGTATGGCTCTACAGTGTACAGGAAGCTGGGAGATGTTACCAACCCTTATCCAAGGGTGTTGGCATTTGACAGTCTTGTGTAACGCCCCGAAAATGCTTCCTTGCTCAATACGAGAAAACTTGGGGCGGTTGGAAACACAGCCCAGTGTCCACAGGCCGGGGTTCTGCAGGCACTGGGTGGTCATTGCGGCCGCAGCCCTACCCAATGGTTGGTATAATTAGTCAATTGCTCCCAAAGTAGATGTGGGAGAAGCTGTCATGCCTTCAGTTCATCTGCCTCATCAAAACATGCCTTCCAACACTATACAGACCTTTCTCGGTGCAGTTCGCTCTTTTGCAGGACATGAAAGGGACAAACATCTACCTCGAAGCACATACACAACGATTCCAGGACAGCCAATTCCGGTCCACGAATGGGACCCCCCTAAATCCAACCTCAAGGCCGAGCTTCTCTCTAGACGATATGCACGGTTATCACAGTGGACTCGTGTTGCCGCAGCCGTGTCCAATGTCATGTCCAGCGTCTTGTCCGCTGTCATAGAAGCCATCATGATATACGTGATCTACAAATATTACCAGACCAGACATATTCAGACACCGAGGCAGTCTTGGGGTCCTTGGCCCAAGAACCCTGTGTTATGGCCTACCTTTATGCTGTCTGCGCTTGCCATCCTCACATTTGTTGTGGCGCTCGCTCAGTTGACCGCCGCCTGCTGTAGAGCCAAACACCAGGTGACTTTCTTCAGCGTCTTATATACACTGACCAGCCTTCTCGCCTGGGGCGTGGCCGCTGCCTTGTATCGAATCTTCAAGACCGACAAGGACCTATGGGGTTGGAGCTGCCTCGACGCAGCCAAGGAGATCCAGGACGACCTGGGCAGTCAAGTTCTCGATTTCCAGGTGCTTTGTAAAATTCAGGTGAGGCAACTATCAAACCCAAATGTCCAACAACCTCTTTTGTAGCAAGGGTGATCTGACTAGTATCTCAGGGGAACTCGTGGGCGATCGCAATTGGCGAGTCAGGACTCAAAGCCATTATTTCGGGCTTCGCTTTCTATTTCTACCTCAAGCGGCGGTCGTTGAAAAAGCAACTTGCCAGGAACAATGCATATGACAATTACAATACTCATTAAGATTGCTGGACAAGAGGACAAGAGGAGTGGTGGCGGTGGTGGTCTGCCAGCCATGCCACCAGCATAAATGGATCGTGGTTGAGTACCTGAGCATTTCAGGCCTCTGCTTATGTATACAATGTCAATTCGAGAACGAATGCTGATCCCCCAAGTGCCTCCCAGTTACCTATGTAAGTAGCCGCGTATAGCCTAACCTCTTGACCTCTGGACATTTTTCCAAAAAAGGCAATTCCAGGTTTTCCCACCACAATCTAAACCCAAGCTGACTTTGCGAAGCAAGCCTGAGTTACAGTATCACACGTCCAATCACTGTCAAATGGTGCATTTGTACTCGTCTTCCGCTCACAAACCGGATGCCTCGATAACCCAGTTAGGCAAAAATTAACCTTGCAGGAACAGCGAAAAGTCGTGTCCGAAGGCGACTATCCCATGCTGCCGGATTGCTTTGTCACCCAACAGTGATCAAAGCTGACATGAAATGATAACAGCCTTCCTCTATAAAAGTATGGGTAGTTTCCTACGTTGCGAAATTGCCTGCTGTAGTGCATGACACGTCAATTGGCGTCATTGTGTATATGAATTTGCATAAACTGACTACTACCACAAATTCTAGCCTCTCCTCGCCTTTGGAATCTCTCCAGCCATCCGGTCACTGTCGGAACCAGAAATCTTCATCATGTCGTCGGCAAAGCCATTCAATAAAGTCACTGTCTTCGGTGCCGGTGGTACCAACATCGGTCACCATCTGGTCAAGGCGCTATTGTCAAGACCTGGTATCTTCACAGTCTCGATCATTGCCCGAAAGTCTTCAAAATCCACCTTTGCCTCTGAAGCAAAAGTCCATTATATCGAGGATGAGCTTCCACACGAGCGGCTCGTCGAAGTTCTTCGAGGCCAGGATGTCCTCGTGTCTGCGATTGGTTTTGGCGCCATCCAGCTGGAGACAAAATTGATCGATGCCGCTATTGAAGCCAAAGTCCGTCGGTTTCTTCCTTCCGAGTACGGAGTGAACAACACGTACCAAGCAGCGAGAGATCTTTGCCCCGTTTTTGACGCCAAGGGTGCCATTGTGGACCTTCTGAAAGAGAAAGAGCTCGAGGGATTGACGTGGACTTCGATACCAACTGGACTGTGGTTGGACTGGTAAGTATCTTGAAACCTCTATCATACCGTGTTTGTGGCTTAACCTAAATCCTAGGGCTCTAAACCCTGACATCGCTTTCGCCAACATCAATCTTCGAACCCATACTGCAAGTGTTTGGGCAAAGGGCGACCATAAGCTTTCCTGGACCACTTTGCCATGGGCCGCCGAAGGTATCGTCCAGATTATCCTCGCGGGAGAAGTCAGTGCAAATAAAGTGGTGCCGATCCGAGCTTTTGAGGCCAGCCAGAACGAGATAATCCAGATCCTTGAGAGTGTTCAGAAAGTCAAGTACCGCGTCACCAATATCGACCCGGACAGTGTAATCCCTGAGTCGCAAAAGATTTGGAGAGAGGAAAAGAAGGGACCTGCAGCCTTGACCCTGGTCAAGGCAGGATTCTTTCTTGGAGGATACGGCAGTAATCTGGTTGATGAGGGCATCGTTCCAACGGGGAACGAGTATCTGACTCTTTCGCCTTTGAGTGTTCAAGACATTGTCCGAGAAGCGACACGATTGTGGGGCTAAGTGAATTTTTGGGTGGCAACAGGGTTCGAAATATCTCCCACATGAGTTTCGTTCTAGACAGGGCTTGTGTTCCCTAGAGCAACCACCGGAGCAAAACCAAAGACATCCTGGGGAATAGGAACTTTCCATTCTTATCCTGCCATTTGGATTCCTGAATCTTGACCTCTTCATTCGGCCCCATGTTGGAAACTTTGGCATCACGTCCTGTGACTGTAAATACTTGGATCGAAGAGCAGTCCGTGTGGCCAGCAAAGGTAGTTTCCATGTCCTGGTCCAGATGCATATTCACCACGGCCACGCTGACCCATCCATCATCCGAGATAGTTGCACTGACATCGAGGTACGGCGTTTGCTTGACGGCTCTCAGCCACTCGGGTCTCGTCGGTCCCTCATAAAAATCACAGGCAACTTGTACTGCAATTGCATGACCCTTCATGAATCTACAAAACAACTCATACGGCCACCAAGTGGTTTGTTTGATAATGCCGGTTGGTGTGGTCATCAAAGGGCTGATCACATTGACACTTTGGGCAATACATGCCATCTCCACGTGCTTTGATTGGCGAATAAAGACATTGAGCCAGACGGCGACAGCCAAAGCATCGGAAAGCGTATAGACCTCTTCCGCTCCTTTGCTTCCGGGGGCTCTGGTTGGTGACCACACGTTCCATTCGTCGAAGCAGATTCCGGGCCTTTTCTGACCGGGAGGGATCTTGTTCTCGATGATGGCTAGATCTATGAGGCTTGAACAAGCTTCGATATTCCGTTCTGCTGCCAATGGAGCAGTGACGTTCTCGTAGTGGTCTGCACTTGCTGTGTACAAGTGGATGCTATGCATGTCGATCAGAGGGTGTTGTGTCTCACCCAAGTCGCTGAGACCAGCTGGTTGTAGAGTATGAGTGAGGACGTAATGATCCCATGTTGTCGCACCTTCTTTTCCGCATAGGACCAAGTTGATGCTCGGATCAAGCAACTTCAACGCCTTGGCCCATTGCGCTGCCCTCTGTGCATACGCTTCTTGAGTCATCTGCTCAATTTGCCACGGACCCCACATCTCATTTCCGAGTGCCCAGTACTTGACATTGTAAGGCTCTTCATGACCGTTGTTGCGTCTCAAGTTGGCGTAGTAGGTGTCAAGCTTGCCGTTGCAGTACTCAACCCATGCCATGGCTTCGTCCAGTGTCCCCGTACCAAAGTTGAGACAGATATATGGCTCGGCATCGACTGCTTTGCACCACTTGATGAATTCGTCGGTGCCGAAATGATTCGTCTCGATGGCTCCCCACGCCAGCTCTGGTCTTGATGGTCGTTTCTCAATGGGTCCGATTCCATCTTGCCAGTGATAAGTTGCACAGAAATTGCCACCGGGATAACGGAAGACGGGGATTTTGAGCGGTCGCAAAACTTCAATCACGTCTCTTCGGAAACCATTAGAGTCGATCAAGTCTGCATTGGAGTTGGACGGGTCAAAGATGCCGCCGTAGACACAACGGCCCATGTGCTCAGTAAAGCCTGCATAGAGATTCCGGTTGACCTTGGAGACCTTGTGAGAGGGGAAAACCGTGATGGATGGTGCGCCCTTGGTCAAAGTATAGCTCGTCATCTCAACGACGCAGACCCGGCTACCTAGGTGGGAGAGTCTATATATCGTAGACCCAGCAAAAGGAGGTCTGGCCTTGAAGCTCACGTGAGCTTATATCATTGGGATCTATAGGCTCGGCAAGGTTCGTTTTGTCAAGTCACGATGAATAGTCGTCTTGTACAATTGAAAACCATTTTCTTTGGAGACCCTTGTTCGGCACTTATCTATCATTTTAGAACCAGCATGTCCCCGGCGCCGGTGGTCAAATGGGTCTTTAGGCTAAAGAGCCGGGACAATTGTGGTACTAGCGAATAAGATCCCCCAAACCTTTCCTCGATTTCTCTTGCGGGGTATTTGGGATCCGGTGGCCATCTCTGACATTCCCAATGGAACAAGGAACCCTTCCGAAATCTCATGACCCTAGTAACGCCGGAGCACTTCTTAATCCGGTGTTTGTTGGCCACGCCCATCGCGTAGAATCCAATCCCCTGGCGATCCGCCGGAGGATGTCGCCAAAAGGATAGGAGCTTCATGAATTACATCGTTGTCATCGTTGTCGAGTCCTCGAAATGGGTACACGCCGACGTTGTCACCTCCCCTTGCTAGCCCACGACACACCGTGTGTGGTATCAAGCACACTCAATCCTCTTTTGCGGGGTACTCTACCCCAGGTGGGTAGAGAGACGAGGATCGAGACCATGGTATTTAAAGCTGGGGAGATACTTCACATCCATCGATTTAGAGTGGTTGGCTTCCTATATATCTTCCTCAAAGGCTGATCAGTCGACCATCCGCTAATCTGCTATATAGAGACCTCGTTGCAGGTTCAGCACGACACTCCAACCATGGCGCTTCCACCAAAATGGTATCAATTCCTCGTCAGCGTCTTCGCTTCATTAGGGTCCTATCTCTTTGGATATGACCTTGGAGTCATCGCCGAGGTCGTTGCTAGCAACACATTTGTGGATCAGTTCACCCCTACCGATACTCAAGCCGGCCTGGTCGTGTCCATGTTCACCACCGGTGCCTTCTTTGGCGCCGGCCTCGCAGGACCAACTGGCGATTACCTGGGTCGAAGATGGACAATCGCAATTGGAGCGCTAATCTTTTGCCTTGGCGGTGGCCTTCAGACCGGGGCCGAGAACATCCAGTACCTCTGGTCAGGTCGGTTTCTTGCAGGACTTGGGGTTGGCTTCCTCGTCATGATCATTCCTCTTTATCAGGCGGAGCTGGCGCATCCGAGTATTCGAGGCCGTGTGACGGCACTGCAGCAGTTCATGCTTGGGGTTGGTGCACTCGTAGCCGCCTGGATATCATGGGGCACATATGTCAACATCAAAGATTCGAGCGCTCAATGGCGCATACCACTTGGTTTGCAGATTGTCCCTGCCATCTTCCTCGGTGCTCTGATCTTTTTGTTTCCTGAATCACCAAGGTAGGTATCCGACAGCCTCCTCCATTTCCACTACCCGCTTCAAGGAACTTATGCTGACATGTCCGACAAAGGTGGTTGATGGACCATGATAGGCCAGAGCAGGCGCTCAAAACACTTGCGCAGCTCCATTCCAACGGCAACGTCCATGAACCCTGGGTCCTAGCCGAATATGAGCAGATTCAAGAATCCATCGCCCATGAACGGGCCAACGAGGCCAAAAGTTATATTGAATTGTTCACCTCAAAATCCTCGTTCCGGCGACTCTTCCTCTGCTGTGCGCTTCAAGCCTCGGTGCAGATGACGGGCGTCTCGGCCATTCAATATTACTCAGTGACCATTTATGGTCAGATTGGCATATCCGGCGACGATACGCTCAAATATCAAGGCATCAACAGTATCATTGCATTGGTTGCGCAGTTCTGCACGATTCTATTCATCGACCGCACTGGGCGCCGCTGGCCTCTCATTCTTGGAAATCTGGGCAACATGATAACTTTCATCGTTGCGACAATTCTACTTGCCAAATTCCCCCCTGGTGTGTCCAATAACCATGGTGCCCAGTGGGGGTTCATCATCATGACCTGGCTGTACAATTTCAGCTTCAGCTGCACATGTGGGCCCTTGAGCTGGATCATCCCTTCAGAGGTCTTCGACACTCGAACTCGAAGCAAGGGTGTCAGCATTGCAACAATGACGAGCTTTGCATTCAACACTATGATCGTAAGGCGTTTCCTTCCCATCGTGTGGTAACATATGGGGTGTCGACTGGCACGGTCAAGATGGCAATACTAATCGAGAACAGGGCCAAGTCACTCCCATTGCCATGACCAACATTGGGTACCGATTTTATTTCGTTTTCATCGTCTGCAACCTGACCAACGCTCTGTTCTTCTGGCTGCTATTGCCTGAGACTGCCCGCCGCCCGCTCGAGGAGATGAATCACCTTTTCAGCAATGCGCCTTGGGTGGTGGTCGGGACGAGCAAAGAGGCCTATGCCAGCCATGACTTGGAAAATAGACTGAACGAGATCACGGCACAGACTGAGATCAAGAGGGGTCAAAGTGTCGTGCATGAGGAGACGGCAGCCCACTGATGCACGTTTCTCTCCATGGTTTTTTTTTTTTTGAGGCTGCATTCTCCTAGGTGGACACAGCCCTCAGGCTATATCAGCCAGCTTTTCTCAACTCGGCCAATTTTGTCAGAATCTCATAGTATTCCCGACTTACGCCCCAATGGGACAATTTAGTACTCAACAGTTTTGCCCCCTCCATTACAACTTTCTGGGGGGATTTGCAAATATCGCCGACATTGGTCATGTAACCTGACATGTTGTGCCCGTTACGTACAAAGTGCTGGACAATTTCATCATCGCACGGCCGGTCCAAGTGGATAAATTCGGGTCGACCATCCGACGAAGAGGATGCATCATCGCTGTCTAGAGAAGATGGTCCCATGCTTATTGATGGTTGCCTGTTTGCGTCTGCACTTTTGTCGGCTGTCGGTCTGCGCCATGGTACGGTGTCCAAAGCTGAAGCGTCTTCGGGTTGAGTCGTCGACTGATTTATGAAATGGATTGGCCGCTCCATTCTCTCCATCCTAGAAGGCTGCACCGCTCCTGATCTCTCTTGCCCGCTAGATTCACCGTCTTCCTTATGGCTGCTGGCTAACGGCCGCTCCATGGCGGTTGATTGATAGGAGCCATAAGTCCACAAGACCAGTGCTGCCAGGTAGAGGGCAAATGGCTCGTAGAAGCTCATCGTGGAGTATCGACGGATGTACCAAAAAACCGAGCCTGCATGAACCATGGCAAGCCGGGCTTTGTGCTGGTCTTCTCGAAGCCATCGCCACGTGATTTTCCGGATCTGGGGCAATTTGGCGTCATTTCGCGGCTGGTAGCTACCATCGTGGACGTAGAATGAAGCCCTCGTCGACTTTCCGACCTTTCCAATCAATGAGAATAGCAGATCTTGAATTTCCTGAAAAGGAGTGAGTAGGACCATTCTTGCAAGATGGAGATGCAGCACTACGGTGTGTTCAACACCAGAAGCCCTTGCAACCAAACTGTTGGCCTGCCAGTGCAGGACGTCCAAACAGTCACAGGCACTATTTCGCCAGTTGGCGTACAGCGGATACAGTGGAAGCCAGAAGTTGTCCTTTGTGGGCGTGTTGAGAAATCCGCGGGATTTACCGGTGGGAACCCACTCGCTAAGAGGCTGCTTTATATGTGTCCCCACCTCCCAAGTTCGTTGGTACAGGGCATGGATCAACAGTAATTGAGAGAAATTGCTCTGGCATGAATCGACATTCTTCTTGTTGTAGAGGGTTTCGATCGCGGCGCAAAGGCTTGTGGTGGGAATCATGTCTTTCATCGCCTCGACCCATGCGTCCAAAGTAGATGCTTCCCAAACGTCATCGGCGCAAGGCATTGGGGCCCTTGCATCGTCCATGTTGAAGAGAGGTCGGGAGTTGGCCATGTATCCGAGGGAGCAATCGAGGATCCATGTGAAATAACCAATCCTTCGAATTGTCTCAGCGTCGATCCATTGATGCATTCGAAGTTGGGCGACTCCGCTATTTTCAGAGATTGGAGTGTCCAGCAGCTGGTCATCTGACCGGTTGATTTGAAGAATCCCTGATTCCAGACACCAACGGGAAAGTTCTGCATGGTATCGAGGCGCCAGTGTTCTGAGATGCTCTCGGCCAGACTGTACCAAGCCGACAAGATTCAATATTCGAGCTTGAGCAAGAGGAACATCCAGCACAGTATCTGGGGGAGACTCATCATGGTGTTGTTGAATGGCACGCAGAAGGAATTCTTGAAAAGCTTCTCCAAGGTCTGGTGCGTCTTGTGACGTATAAAAAACACTTCCGATAGCGGCGACGGCGACTATGGTCAACCAATGAGATTGTTCTCGAAAAGTCGGGCGGTGAATCAGGGGGAAATTTGGGTGAAAATGTTCAAAATACAAGTCCAAGAAACAGTTGAACTCAGCTAGTCCTGGAAAATACGGGCTTGTGAATGGAGCTAATGCTCTTGTGGATGTAACACAGAGACTGTGGAACATGCTGGCAATCTTGCTGTGTGACGCTGGGGAACAATAATCGCAAGGGATTCTGGATGGATTGCTGAAGAGTGACGGATCTTGTAGAGTTGGAAAGCAATAGTTTGTTTTCGTTGACCGTGGCTTGGACAAGACGTCTGGCATTAGTGACGATTTACGCTTTTTACGCTTTTGATTTGATGTGCTGACAGCTGTGCTCGAAGAAGCTTCTCTTCCAGCATCGCTCGTGGAGGAAGTGGGACTTGTTTGCGAACCCTGAAGAGGATCTGTCGAAAGATGGTCATGTCCTACACCTTGCGACACCGAACCCGTCGCACCGAAAAGGCCATGGTTGGATTCGGGAGCCAGACCAAATTCATAATCTTGAACAGAAATGGCGGTGTCAGAAAAGGGGGGTAGGATGAAAGAAAAGTCTTGTTCAAGCTCTGCATCATATGGCGAAGGGTAAATGCTGGGAGGGATCCAATTCATCGATTCGCCAAACGATGGACAGCCATAATCAAGAAAATGGGTGGAATAATCGACGGGATAAGAGTCCGACAGCAAGGCAACTCCAGAATTGGTAGTATGTAAGTGGTTGGGTTGGCCGAGATGGTTAGAATGTAGGCTTGTCTGGGCAGATTGGAAATCGGATACGCTGTTTTGAGCCACCGTGTCATCCATTGGATTGAGGACTATGTTCGATGGTTTCTCCGTCGATGAGCAGGCAGTTTGATCGAGGATGGGAGCGTAGTGGGTTGATGTCCTTGGCCTTTTCTGCTCCTGGGAAAACTGAGCAGTATCATTGCCATGGACAAATACCAGCTCTCCAAAGTGGTCTTGCGGTGCCTGGCTTAGTGTTGGTGCGTTAGAACCAGCCGAGGATGAGGTTTGGTTCTCGGTGGTTTCTGTCCGTCCTCTACGAGGGTATTCGCAAGTGAGGCGACGAGTGGTACAGCGACCACATGGAGTTCCACCAGAACATCGTGATCTTGCTAATGCACAAGAGCGGCATGCTCTAAAAGTACCGGAGATGACACGATGGACAGGTCCGCGGTCGTCCGTGGCATGGTGGCTCTTCCCATGACGAAGCAGGGTATCAGATCGAGAAAAGGACTTTCCGCAAACCGTACAAGAATACGTGGGAAGGGTAATCTTGTCAAGAGACATTTCTGCGAAAGACTGGCTCTGTCACGCACAGAAGGTCCTCCTCTGCTGTGAGGAAAGGAGGATCCAATACGACAATGGATGTGATCAAAGTTGAAACAACTGTCAGGTGGTTGAGATTGAAATCCATGTGACCAAGTTGATGCCAAGCCCTGAACTTGCCGGACTCGTTTTGGACTGATAGAGGCGTTGGTTGTCGAAGGAGAAATATGTATCTCTAGAATCACTGTTTAAGCAGGCATCCACGGTGTGAGAAGACGACTTTTGACATGTTTTCTTCTATGAAGGATTGATGACAGTGACGAGGTCACAGACAGATAACAGAGGAGAAGAGAGAGAAAGATGTCAACAGGTCATATGGGTGACGAAACCACGTGACTATTAAGCTTGGCGCTGAATCGGTTGTCTTTATAAAAACCAGTGGACACTAACCTCTGGGCTTCAGCGTCTAGATGACTAATATATGTATGCGTAGATGCATAGGGTACTAGCAAGGTATCCGTATGTCGAATAGAGCATCCAGGGGCTCGTGGTTTACATCCTGGTGATTGTCAACGCTTCACTTTACTCACTGTTGGATAGTTTTTATCTGCCAAGCATTGATATCACCTGATCAGGCTCTCGCTGGCTTGGATTGAAGACTCTTCACCATCAGGATTCCAGTCTAGTCCTTCCCAGAGGAATTTATATTCATATCATAATGGAAATAAGTCCTTTCGCCATCAATGTGGCGCCAAACCACATAAACCTTGGTCAGGTGCCTTTTGTTCCCACGAGCCTTCGTTCAACCCATCATACAAATGGGAATACCTTGTCGGACTTTGACCCTTGAATAGATACCAATTCTGTCGTTTTTCTTCCCCTCTATCTATGACTACCCACTGCACCGTACCAAGCAAGCCCAAGTACAGCACCAACAGCGATCCCAACGGGAGGGGGAACCTTGAACCAGGCACATTCAGCGTAGGTCAAGACCGTGACCACTACCCACCAAGGTTCATTCGCCAGACTCTGGCCCGAACTTTCTTCGGCTGTCAAATACCCCATCTCCCAGAGCCGGTACACCGCGGTGAATACGAGGCCCACGGCCGTCGCATTTATGCCTCGCAGCAAGCTCGTAAACATTGGTTTGGTGCGAAGGACTCGCCAGAAGCCTTGAGCGCCCACGGCCAGACTCAAGCCAGGCAAGAATATAGCGACATAGCTGAGTAGCGCACCAACAATGGTCGGTTGGGGCGTTTTCAGCAATGCTAAGGCTCCTAGGTAGACGCTGAAATTGAAGTTGGGTCCAGGAAACGCCTGGATGATGGCAAGTCCAATGAGAAAGTCCCGCGAAGAAACCCAACCCGGCTCCACAACGTACTCGCGGAGGAGAGGGATCACCACAGGTCCGCCGCCAAAGATGATTGTCCCGGCCAAATACATGTTCCCCAAGAGGTCAAATGCCAGTGGCGGCGATTCCACGATGCCACGGCTAACGAGAATGGCGATAAAGGAAGCTGACCAGGTTAGCTTCCCATCTGATATCATGCTTGTTCAAAACAAAAGGCTTCCTACCAAAGAAGACGGCGACGATTATGAAACCTGCAAGAACGGAAATTCCGTGGGACGACATATCCGTAGAGGGCTGCTCGATCGTGGGAGCAATCGCAGGCACAGGCAACGATCCGTCCGACTGGATCAATTCCACCTCGGTTCGCGTGCTGCTTGTTCGCGTGACGGTCGAAGTGGCCCCTATGCGACGTGAGAGCCGTCCATTGGGGGTTTCTCCAGCACTATATTGCGGTTCGACGGTCGGAATACTCTCTTCTGTTGTCACTCCTGTCGTCCGCTGCCCCCGTCCGTGTTTCGGCCGTGTGATTCTCAACCAGAGCTTGACAGACCATTGCCGAAGACGAACCTCCCACACCGCGGTTATGATGCCGCCAGAGATGATCAAGACGGGGAAGTACCAGAGACTGCTGTAGCACAACCCAGCACATGCTCCGAAAATGACGAGAAGGCGGGTCCAATTGTCTCTGATAGCTTTTTCAGCGAGCTAGACATTGACTGCAAGTCAGCACGAGGGCTTCCAGAAAATCAGCGGGCCCATTCACAGACCTGGACAGCGGCCAAAGCGACAAGTCCAACGGTCGCCGCATTGAGCCCTGATAGGAGTGCGAAAACAGCGCGAGGCAGAACATTGCCAATGTTTTGGATTCCCAGAGACAGCGCAAACATGCCTATCGCTCCGGGAAGACTGTGTCGTGTCAGAAACAAATGCCTGAACATGGCATGAGAGATAGAATGAACCATACCTCCAAAGGACAAAGACAAAGATCGCAGGCACTATGCCCGCATGAATCAAGGCCATGCAGAACAACATTTTAGTGCTCGCAGGACCTGGGAGACTCTGACAGAGAGCAAAAAGCTCTTGGTACTATTTCGAGCAAAGATAGCAAGTCAGCATTGACTATCAATCAGCTCAACTTCAACGGACTCATCATCCCAGCCCAAGAGTGTGTTAGAGCCCACCGTTTGTTCATCAATCCAGGGAGTTTTGCCGCCATGGCCATCCACGAAACGTTGGTGAAGAATGCCAAAGTGGACAGGAGGGCCTCCAAATGCAGTGAAACCCAAATCCCATGTGCGCGAAAAGACATCGGCCAGGCGAAGGAACAGCTTTTGGTTGTTGGCATGATACGCATTCTGTCGATCACGTGTGTATGCGTGAATCGCTCGAATCGTTTCGACGATTGGCATCCTGTCACTGAAGATATTGGCGACGCTGTCAGGTCGACGATGCCCCTGCTGTGGATAAAAGTGAAACTAACAGCGCTGCTACGCTACCATGAATTCTCGCCCTTCACTTCCTCTACGACTTTTCATGAGGAGTTGGAGTTTGAGGTCAAGGGTTCGTGTTGGGATTTCTGTGCCAATGGCGCCATCAACGGCCCAGCCAATCAAATCCCGTCGAGCTGTCACGCACACGCACACCCAATCAGCAATCGGCTGTCATTGTATAGCAATTCATCGAGCATAACCTTCGTCGGCATTGTATTGCGGTCAGGGCCTCCAGGCGTGTCCTGGGTCCCCCTGGTCGTCATCAGCTATCAACATTTCTCCATCGCCTCGGTCTGGGGAAGGCACTTCAAACGTGACTCCGGGTCGCCGCTGGTGAGGACTTGGCTCGCCAAGGTGTCTCGATAAAAATGCGTGCTTCTCCTCTTGAAGATCCGCTTCTGAGTCCATTCTGAGTTCAACATTGAGATAGTCCCAGATACCTGCCCCGCTAGCATCGGTCTGATCAAAGAGACTGCGGTCGAGGTCCCAGAAAATTCTTAGCGTTCGGACCGTCGAGTACCGTGCTGCAACCAGCAGTGGTGTGCACCCATTGAAATCTCGAGCAGAGGCATCGGCGTCGTGGTCAAGGAGGTACTTAACTATCCGTTCAGGGACGTCCCGACACCTGCAGGCATGATGCAAACTCGTCCAACCTCTCTCGTCACGATCTTGGACTGATGCTCCCTTTTCCAACAACAAGTCCACAATGGGCACCCAGCCACTCTGGCACGCCTCATGAATGGGCATGATTCCCTTTTTGTCCTGACTCCTTGGAGAAATCCCTGATGTAATGAGCAGGTCTACTATGATGCGGGGTCCGTGTCTGGCGGCAGCGTGCAGCATCGATCGCCCATTGACATCGCGGTGGAAGATGTTGGAGCCGCATGCCCACAGCAACTTGACCGCGTCAGTCTGTGCAAAAGTGCATGCTGCAAAGAGAGCGGTCTGTCCATGGTTGTCGACAGCAACTACCGACGCCGATGCCGCGATGAGGATTTTGATGATATCCAGCCGCCCAGACTTTGCCGCATGGTGTAACGGTGTCTGCCTCTTACTATTGGTAATATTCACGTAAGCGCCCCATTCGAGCATGAGTGAAACGAGCTTTTTGTCTCCGCGTCGAGCGGCTCGATGGAGTGGTGTCGACTTTGGCGGACTTTGCTGCGCCAGAGATAATCCAGCGCCGTGTTGCAGAAGTTGCTCGCAGATCTCGGCATCGTTTCTATCCACGGCAGTGTCGAGCGCGCCGTCAAGGTCGAACAGAGTCGATCGAGTGAGCAGAAACTGAACAATGTCCGAAGATTTAAATTGGACCGCGTAGGCCAGCGTATCCAACTTTTGGGGTACTTGGTGCGCTTCGTCAAATGACTCCAGCACTGTCTTGACCAGAGACAGCTTTTGCATTTCGATGCTCTTGTGGAGGCACTTTTGTTTTTCATGGGCGTCGAGGGAGTTCAGATGCACCTTCAGGGCGGCTGTATCGCCTTCCGCCAATGCAAACATGGCCAGCGACGTGTTGCTCTGCTCACCGGCTCGAAAGGACATGGATCTTAATGCATGCACGGTGGGAGGCGACGGCCCTTCGGCAGAATTTTCCAAGATTCGATCTATGTCCTCGACGCTGGGGACGTCCAGCTCTTGATCTGGCTCGTCAAAAACCGTTCCAATCGTCTCAAACAGATTTTGATCGGTAAGACGTCGAAGGAGATTCTTTGCCACGGTGCTCGGCCGTCGGACCTTGCCCCCATGCACGCTCTCTTGGAGATTCGACCATCTCATGACGAGGCTGTTGATTTGAGAGCCCAGGCTACCAGCTTCTCTCAAATGACTGTCCCAGTACCTTCCAGCATACCTCTGGGCTGCTACACCGACGATTTTAGCTCGACTGAGTCCGCTAGCGTCTTCTAGTTCACTCTCTAAGCAATCCTGTAGAATTTCCAGGCAGGCCCAACTAAGTGTCAGGTGTAGCCGGCGTGGCGCCTGCCAATCGAGTTGTGCGCTAGTCTCTGAGAATTCCAGCGGTGCAAGACGACTCATGCGTTCATTGACAATGGTACGAACCAACTGACTCTTGAGGTGGAGGCCATCACCGTCAATCCGGATCAAAGGTCGTAGCTTCCCTTCTAGAAGCGACAAAAGTCGCGTCCTGTCTGCTAGGACTGACGAAGGAGTCTCCAAGGATCGTTCAATGCGCTCATAGATGGCGGCCAGCTCCTTAACACGAAGGGGTTGAAAAGCACAAGCGACCACAGAGAGCACCCAGTGCGCCTCTGGCCCAGCGGAATTGGCCACATCGAGCAAAATTCCTTCGATAAAGGTTCGGCGTTCTAACTGTTTGACGCTAGTGCGAGCAGCGTCCTCGGATAGCATCGAGTCCGAAAGATGCAATTCGCGGAAGTGCTTCACCGCCAGATCAATAACGCCGAATGACCTGTTTGGTAGCGACAAGAGGGCCTTTTGGAACATGCTGAGATAGACTGTGCTGACAGGATATGCTTTAGCAAAGCTGCTTAGCTGCTGGCGCGCGTATGACTCCAACGAGCGATTCCAGGCTCTACTTTGGAGGAGATCCATTTCGGTACAGTTTCTCCTCGAAAACAGCTCGTTCAGAAGTCGGTAGGCCGGGTCTTGTACAGTCGGGGCATCTGTGGCAGCGACACTGATGGTAATCAACGGCTTGACACGGTCGATATCGAAAATGAAGTTCAGAGTTTCGAGAAAAGAATCCATGAGCAGAATCTTACACTCGTCGAGTGCATCGACAATCAGGAAAATGACAGCCCAGCACGGACTTTCGAGTATGGTTCGAAGTGTTTCCTGGAGCAGTGCCAGGGCCAGCGTAACTGAGTGGTCTTTGGATGTTGGTCTCGTCTTTTGAAGATGGTAGATCAAAGCCTCATTCTGGTCCAAAGCTTGTGCGATCAACGACTCCAGCATGTGGATCGGGGTTTGCTGAGTCTCCTGATCGGCCTTGAAGAAGAGCTGCAGCGTACAGATCTTGCTCGTGCTGTCCTCACCATCCCGCAATTGGGTAGAGGAGCTGATCCAATCTTGGGCTCTTTGGGCTATGGCAGTCTTGCCACATGCATACGGACCGTGGATGACCAAAGGCGAAAGGCTGTCTTGTTGTGCCCAGCGCAAAAACTCTTCTTTGAACCACTCCACGTTTGGCTCGTCGTTTGTTTGTGGTGCAGCCCATCTGAGCCCGGGCAGGTCTATTCTCTGTCTAAAGTTGAGGTAAATCTTGTCAATATCGACCAGATCGCCGTCGGAAACAGAAGTCAATTGCTCGGAAAGTCTGATTCCTTGTACGGATTCCAGGTAATCCCAGCCCCCACCAATCATGTCGTTGCCCAAGAGCTTCTGGATCATGGTCTTGAGTTTCTGATACCCATGTTCTTCACGTGCGGTGAATTTGCAAATGGAGAGATGATCGCCCTCTAGCACAGCCCACGACTCGTCGGGATGATCTAACCTCGACATGGGTGGAACAACGGTGCGGGGACCTCGTCCTGTCATTGTCGGCTTGCTCTCAAAGAGAGAGATGATGGGGAACTGGCCTCGGTCCATCAACATGGAAAATCCTTGGGACAAGTGATTTGCGAGGGCGGTGAGACTGTGTCGATAGAAGTGGGTGGTGTCGGTGGCCATGCCTTTGAAGGCCTTGCTCGTGGAGATGATGTCTTCCAGGAAAGCGGTTGGAGAGACGGAGGCGTGTGGAGTGCCAAAAAAGACGATACCCAGGGTTCGAAGCGAAGGCAGGGAGATGGCAGAGCGAGAAAGAGCCAGCTTGACGAGATATCCACCTAGGCTGTGGCAGATGAAGAGTATGGGGGACTTCAAGGTCTGATTGCGATTGATTTGGTGGATGAGGTCATCTGCATGCTGGGAAAGGCTGCTCTCCAAGGAAGTAGCATCATGGTCTCGAAATGAGGCGTCGTCATAGCCATAGGACCAAATTGAGCATTCCTTCAGGTCTTGGGCGAGGAAGTCGCGAGGCCAGAAGACTTTAGATCTCCCGCTCCACGTTTCCCGGGCATCGCCGTGCGCCCCATGAACAAGGACGATGTCGGTGGTTTTGAGCTCTCTTGGACAAACATAGATACTCTTGAGTCTCTGGCGCTCGGCAGGAGAGCCAGGTGGTTCGAGGAGTGAGCCTTGGACAAGAAGGCTGTCTTGGCCGAGAAGTACGTCTCCGAAGAATGAGAGGCCGTGGTAGACATGAAAACAAAGCAGGTGTCTCTCTGAAGCGGCGGTTCTAGAGACTCGGAGGTTCACAGTGTCTTGCTGAGTGTTGGACCATGTGGTCGAGGCGAAGTTCAAGCGTTGGAAAAGACGCACCCAGGTTGCGGAAGAATTCCAAGTAGGCGACAAGGAGATTGACTGGAGAAAAGTGTGGGAGATGAGATTTTGTTGCGAGTTGACTTCTATGGTAGCTTCGACAGGTCGGCATAGAGCTGTCGGATTTTGTGATATGAACACGGTGCGTCGTGAGTGTTGACGAGCAGGAGGCGTGGTGGGGGAATCGAGTGGTCTAGAGGCCTCGAGCGAACTGGGATGTTCTTGTCGTGATGGAGAAAGGGGGTTGCTAAGACTATGATCTTGGGGTAGTATACCATGGCGTGCGCAGAGTGAAGTTAGGCGTTCTCGTATTTGTTCCAGATTCTGAGCAGATGCTCGAATATCTTGGGTGGACTTTGCGGTGATGAGCTTGTCTCGTACAGTAGAAAGATCATGGCTGATAGTGACCACGTTATTGTCGACAATGTCCTCTTCCGAGGCCCGGGACTCGTTGGTGAGTGTGGTGGCGAGATGGTTGACGTCGGCTGCTGTCGCTGCGATTTCGTAGAGGAGGTCAAATTGAGCTTGATTAGCCTTTTGGTTTTGCAGACGGGTCGCAATGGTGCGAATGTTGTTTGCAAAGCTGGCTACGGTGACAGCAAAGGAGACGACTGCGACTGAATCGGCCATTATACCAGGGTAGCGACAAGGAGAACGTCTAAAGTAGCATCGCGCGGATTTAATATTGAGGGAGGGGTACCATCAATGTTTATCGTCCAAGGACATTGGCTCTATCAATGGACTTGAGATGCGGTGGACCATCACAATTGACCTCGATTGACATTGGCGCACGCGTTAGGGGCTTGAGAGTTTGAGCAGAAAAAAAGGTGTTGAGCGATCGAGGGGACGATGCAGCAATAAGAAGAAAGGGATGGGACAACTGAGGGAGTCCGAGGTTGGGTATGGTGACTATAGGGAAAACTGTGGACTCGGAGTGACTGGCTGGTTTAAACCTCAGGTCACTGGACCTAGGGTAGTGACATAGTGCGGCGGATGTCTGGAATGTTCATGTTGGCCGGTGGTGAATTGGGAATGAGGTGACGCGGTAGGTCGCTGGCGCTGAGGCCACCGAGATTTGGGTATCTCTAACTTGGATGAGGATAGTCTGTAGTGGGAGACTGAGTACAGGTGCAAAGACGTCTGCATGAGGCTAGGCTGCTTGGGGCTTCTGGGCGCAGGATGGAGGATGGAGGACGGAGGATGGAGGATTAGGGTCGCACGAATGTGGTGGACGAGGGATGATGATACTGATTTCAATGTTTTCAATTGGGGACGTCGACGCTTGAGGTTGTGCGAGTGGGAGGAAGGAAGCCGCGACTGAGAGGTTGAGGTGGCACCAATCTCCGGTCGTGACTACCATTCGTAAATTACGCCTACCTGCCAACTTGCGTGCCTTTCATGCCTGCCTAGTCAAGTTCAGGGCTTTAGGAATGTGCCCGGGCATTACAGGGTCGTTATTTCAGGTAACAACAATAGGCGGATTCTCATATTTCAGCGAGGCTTTAGGTTGGAGATACGAGTTGCCTGAGCGCCTGGAATGCCATTGGTTTTTGTCGACGGCGCCATTCAGGTATGACAGGGTAAAGGAAGACTAAGTAACTAAGTCGAGAAGCGAGGGGCTGAGGATCCCTCAGCCTCTGGCTTTCAACTACTCCGTACGCTGAAAATATACTGCACCAAGTAATTAGGCACACGATATCATTCCTCCCGCGTCCCAGTGCTCTTACTTCGAGCACTCTTCTCGTTTTCCGCGAGTTATCTTCAATCAAAACCATTGACAAGGCCTGAGTGGACGCAGGTCTCTTGCTTCATGCTATGGTAGCAAGGCTGGAAGGTTTCAGAAATTGCGGCCCCCCAACGAACACTAGATCTTTCATGACCTTGTGGTCATCATCTTGGAGTCTGCGGAGATGGTTTGCATCGACTTGATTTGGCAATGGCTTCGTCCTCAGCGTCGTTGGGCTGATGGTGGCCTTTTTGCCTCGGGTTTCTCGTCCAAAGACTGTGTTCCACCTCTTGCGCACTCTATCCCAAACATCAAGATTCCCCTCCTGGATTGTCATATTGATCTGAAAATCCCCTTGATCTTTCCTTCCCAGCAGCATGGCGACCTGGAAAGTACTGATTCCCGCCGACTTTTTAGCATGCTCATCCTCGACCTCAGCTGTCCAATAGATGATGTCGTTTTGGGAGGCCGAATCATTCCGGGGATCGTTGGTTGCTATGGCCTCGAGGGTAAAGCGATACGTCTCAGTCCAGTCTGCTGTATCATCTGCCGTCCAAGTAAGCCCACCAGATATAACATCAAAGGGTGCAGGAGGGGAGACGTTCAACGATGGCTGAATTGATCTGTTTTTGGTCCTGTGCGAATGTACCTCGCTCATGTAGACCAATTTGGGTTCAAACAAATCCTCAAACCACACATCTTCGCCCGGATTCACTGTCGTCGTCTTTTGAATCTGCAATTTGGGTGAAAAGAAATCGAACCGACGTCCTTGCACTTGGGTGCCCACGTCGAAACGGAGCACAAGCAGCGTCGCAGGTTGAGTGTTTTCTCCATCTAGAAATCCGTGAATCTGGTAGATGCAAACCACGTTGACGTCTCGTTCGGCATTGGAAAAGTTGGCAAAGACCTCATCTCCGATCGATTTGAATTCCCCATCCGTCACTTCAAGTTTCAAGGTGAGAGACTCATCTTCGTGCAGCGCCATCGTCGAACTCGAGTATGTTTAATGTGGTTTTTTCAAACGGGGTGGACCAAGAAAGCGTCGTGCAACAAGGCAAGGCATCTCTCTTTAGTAACATTCGCTGCGACTCCGGGAGGCTGAGACATCGTGAACAAATTCGCCTATTCTCTGTTCTGATTAGCGACCAAAATACCTGGTAGGCTGAAAAGGCGAGATCCTCGGACCCACAAGGCAGCCCATCTTGGTGGCAGCAAAGTGTCACAAGCGTGCAGGAATGGCGCAGCCTGAGGGGAGGCTGCAGTGGCCCCTCGACCCCGTGGGCTTGGGGCAAAGGTCGAGGGGGTCTTTTTTCAACCAAGTACAAATACCAGGCTTGATCGTCGAGACCTTGAAACTCTATCATCGCTCCATTCAACCTGTTGACTCGAACGACGCCTATGTCGACAGCCCAGAGCAGGCGTGAGGATTTTGCAGCGTCTCGAGATCAAGGCACCTACCTTGTGCCGGCTGGGACGAGTTCGACGAGCATTCTTTTGCCCAGGGTCTCAGTATCGAGAAGAGTCTCCAACCCAAGCCTGCACCAGAGACTGTATCGTGGGTGGCATGAAAATCGAAGCCAGAGCGAGGTGTGGTAGGTTTGAGGGAAGCGTTACGCAGGCTTGGGCTAAGTAGTTGCTTGGGGCCCCTTGGCCAGTTGCTTAGCACGAGGCGTGCCCTCGGCCCCCGTGACGCTTGGACCCCCCAGCCCCCTCGGCCATCTCTGGGCAGTGCGAGTGGGTGACTTTTAAGCAAGGTTATGGCCGAGGTCCGAGCCGCCGGGCGCTTATCCTTATGCTTATACTGAATCCCCACCAGATTCAATGGAGACTCGCTGGGGCCGCCGCGCAAAAACAGCAGCTGCCACAGGTCCTGACAAGCTTCGTGCCTTCCTTCGTGAACCCTACGAGCCGCGAAATGATGCGGCCTTTGCTCTCCTTCACTACATCTCGCTTCACCATCATAACAACGACCTGATCGATGCATACTTCAGTGTCTTCAGTCCCTCACCAACCTCCCCTCGCTACCATCGCTTGAGGAGTGAAGAAGCTCGCCCAGTTCTGGACAGGCTGAGCACCCCATATATCAATGAGGACCTTTCTCTCTATGGCATCTTCAAGGAGTCCGTCTTTGCTGCCAATCAAGCTCGATCTGCCGATCCTTACGATGCTCCATCAAACATTCCGCCCTTGACCCAGTTGATCTGGGACAGAACAAAGTCCCAGCTTTATTGTCAAGGCGCTGTCATTGCCTGTGTCGAATTTGGCCTCCATGACCTGCTGCAGCAGGTCCTTGCCGAGATCCAGACCCGGCACCATGATCACAACGACCAACAACTAGCCATCCTCTTTCAACTACCCCAGATCTGTGCATACACCGCCATTGGCAACGCCATTTTCAGGAAGCGAATCCAGTGTTTCCAGACCTTGCACCTCACCATCGAAGGCGCCGCCGACTACATCCTCTCCCACCCGAATGTCGTCACCATGGGAAATATAGAAGTCTCCCCACTCCTCCATTGGAGCCTAGATTTTATCAAGCAACGTCTGACTCTCCAAGGTGCAAGCGACCATGATTTTGAGCAGGAGGAGGAACTACTACGGAGACTCATCGATCTCGAGCCCCAATTGCTCACACAGCAAGACATAGACGGCCGAACTCCTTTGCGCCAAGCACAAGACACTCAAGAGTCAGTACGACTCCAGACCCACAAAAAGGACTACGAGCAGTTGGAAGCTATTGTCCGAGATGGCATCTATCACCGTCTCAAGGATCCCGAAGAATGGAGACGCGCCCTCTACTCCAGGTCAGGTGAGTTTTCCCTTCTCCACTGCTGGTCCCCGCTGCCACGACGCTCACAGTTCTCGCTAGCTCTTGACGCAAATCAAGGTGAGTTCCATGACACCGCTGATCGGGAAGTCCAATGCTCAAGCCTGTCAGACAAGGAAGTCAGCCTTGATCTGTCCGATTTCAACTATGGCCCACAATATTTCCAGCACTTCCTCGACCATCTCGAAACTTTCCACGATAAGCTCAAATTACACGGCCGCACTTGGGAATTTGAAACCACCTTGTTGTTTCTCATTCTTCCCAATCTCTCCAGAGCCAACGGCGAAACACAATTGATGCAGGATACACACCGGTCGTGTTTGGCGCGCTTCTTGCTCTGGTTGCGCAACAAGGGCGTGAAGCGAATCATCAAGCTGAAATTGCCCGACAGCTCCTGCCGTTACACCTACGAATGGGTGTACCAGAACATCCTGAGCTTTTTCGAAGTAGATGAGCTCGACTGGACGCGACTGGACGTCAGGCTTGACGGCTTTGCGGCTCCTTCTGTTTGGACAACTTTTCCCAGACTCCTAGCATCTGTTACCGGCCTCGGAATGGTCAAGCAGCCAGATATTACGCCATCCACCACCACGGACGGTCGTGGCAGCGCCATAGTTCGAGCTATACATCTATATTCTCATGACAAGTTCGACAACAACAAGATGGCCTTTCTTGACCCCAGGAAGCTGCCTTGTTTCGAAAAGGTATTTAAAATTCCTTTCCGCGCCTTGTAGTCTCTAAATAACGTCATAGCTTGAGACAATCTACCTAAATCTAGTGTGTGAGAGAACCGATGAGGCATCGGTAGAGAGCTTGCCGCCTCCGCCACTACCCCGCTAACTACTGCGCAGATCTATGACATGACAAAGTCTGAGCTGTGGCGAGACCTCCTATGCGATGAATCGAGAAGACGTGGCTCCGAAGTCGTCCTAAGTAAAGGACCCCGTGTTCTCACCTGGCAGGAGTTTGCGCTGGAGCCTGAATTTATTCTGCCTCAAGCAAATCAAGAGTCTGCTCCACCAGCATTGCTATAGTGCACACTCGCTGATACCTATAACAGATTCAAGCTCTTGCAGGACCTTGCACCATGCCGCGACTTCCTTTTTTCGCTGCGAAGCATGAAGAATAACCCCGTCGATCCACAAACGAAACATTGTCGGGCCGTGTTCCAAGACAAGAGCAAACGCGTCAAAATTGCCGTTATTGACAATGGCGTGGATCAAATGGCGACCAGCTCCGCCAACATTGTTAGAGGCGCCTCCTTTGTCCGTAGCGCATCGGAGCCCATGTCGATTCTCCCGTGGTATACACCTGTCCATCCGCACGGCACGCAGATGGCGGATCTCATCCGGTGTGTAAATCCCTGGTGTGAACTCTTTCCCATCCGAGTTGGCTCGCTCCGCAAAGATGTAGACATCCACGCGGCCGTTGATGTAAGACCCGAGTCAATCAAACCAAGATGCTATGAGACTGTGGCGCTAACCTTCGTTCAGGCAATCGAATGGGCTCTCGACAACAAAGTCGACATTATATCGGCCAGTTGGATTATCAAGACGGACCATAAGGGGGCCGAGAGATTCAAAGCAGCCATCCACAAGGCAACCGAACGAGGGGTGTTGGTGATTTGTGCGACCGCCGACGTGGGTGCGCACGACAGCGGCGGGACCTGGCCGGCCAACTTTGCCAACGTCATCTCCATCTCTGCGTCCAACGAATACGGCCTCCCAATGCCGTGGTCGTTTCGCGACGTGGACGCGATGCTAATCGGCGATCAGATCAAGACCTCGGGTCCAGGTTACATGCGACTTGGGGAAGACGCACGAGAGTCTGGGTCCTCAATCGCCACGGCCATTGCCGCGGGGCTTGCATCCCTGTGCTTGTTCCTTGCCCGCATGGCCAACGAGGACAACAAAGGAGAGCGGTTCAAGGACCGCCACGTGATGCTGGCGCTGTTTCGCATGATGCAGGTCAATGACGCTGACAAAGTCATTGAACCATCGAGGGTCTTCAACCGCGAATTCAAGCCACCTGTGGGGTATCAGGGAGGTCGTAAACCGCCGCCCGTGGGGTTAGATATCTTTCGGTGGCGCCATTGGCAGAATGTGGATTTCGCTGACCGACGAGGGTCGATTACAGTGAGCCGGCGGGCCCTGAGTCGGCAGTCGTCACTGTCCAGATAATTCATGGGCACATGTGCAAATATCACGCATAGCGTTGCGGTAACAGAAAAAGTACGGCTAGATACCCTATCCGACGAGTACAGACAATGCCAAGGAGTGTTTATGCATCCTGAGGATGATGTGCTTTCGTTTAGCCGGGCTCGGCAGAAGAACTGGACTACCTAGGGAGCCAAGATTACAATATATGTATCTATCCATTTCGGCAGGCTGGGTTGGTGTGTCACGTCTGAAAGAGAATTGCAGACACATGGTCGCATGCGCACCAGGTATGACAGCCTCGATCACGATATGCATGAACGACGGACAAGTAAAGGAGGTTTCACCGCGACCCCCTCTCAAATCAAACCAATACATACAGACTGCACATGGCACTGAGACCGAGAATCATGCTGCTCCAGAAGGCGGCATTGTTGAAGACCCATCTCCCTCGAATCAGCTTGCTGCGTTGTAAGGCGACAATGGGCAACTGCAGCATCATGGCCACGAAGCCATAGCCGCGCAGCTTCTTGGTGATGCAGCCCATGATGAGTTCGTGACCGAGGGCGCTGACGAGGAAGGTGATGGTCATGGCCATGGAGGTGGAAACATATGTTTTGGAGGAGAAGAAGACATGGCGGCGCAAGAAATGGTAGACGGGAATGTTCCACTCGCGACTAAACTCGAGCCAATCACTGCTGTTCCACCAATCCGAGTAGAAGTGGCGATCGGCGAAACAGGTGATTTCGGCAAAGGCTCCGAGGATGTACTCCCAGATTACGAGAAAGACCAAGAGAAAGGTGATCATAAATGGGAAGAGGAGCATGGAGATGGTCTCGGCAAGGATGAGGCATCGGTCGGCCAAGGTGTGGACCAATTTCAGCCGGACGGCCGAGTCGGCGAGGACCGGGGTGATGAACTCTTCGCTGATGGTGATCATGAGAAAGATGCAACCAAAGACGGCGAGAGTCTTGTAAAAGAGCTCGAGCCAACGGATGTGCGGAGTTCTAGGATATTCGAGTTCGTAGCACAGGGTAGGGCACAGGATATAGTCGACCAGGTTGGCGACGGTCAGGTTCTGAGGGTAGGTGACCTGACCGAGTGGGGAGGTGAGTTCGGTAGCGAGATCTTGGCGCAATTGGGCCAGTTCCTCAAGGGATTCTCGAGAGGACCGATTGTCCTTGTCATCGGGCGAGCTGTCGTCCGAGTCTATCTCTTGAAGGCGGGAAGGCGTGGTGGGATATCGGACTGCTTTGGCCAAGTTTGCGGTTTCAGGCTTGTCGAGCTCTCGCAGGCGGTTCTCGGATTCACTCAAGTGGCCATTGTAAAAGGCATACGAGTGCATCTTCATGAGGAAAGTCAGGGTGTGAAGGGCGAAGTAGACTTGGGCGGTCCAGGTCCACTTGAGCAAAAATGGCCACTCGACCCAAAGAATCAGCCAGAAGAGCTGAAAGATGCTCTGGATCCAGATGCCCGCTCTGCGCCAACGGAGCAAGCCAGTCTGTCCGCGGACGAGCTTTTGTATGGCGAGGCTCAAGGCCGTGGTGCCAACCATGGCGGCATCACTCAAACCCAAGGATAGAACATTCCGGGAGAGGATGGTATAGACCTGAACTCGGAGTGGATGGCCCGTCTCTTTGATGTTTCGCAGACCAGTCGTAATGACCATGATACTGAGGCTGATCCAGAAAAGGACAAAGAAGCCGCGAAAGTCTCGGTATTCGCTACGAGGATCAAAATGGGATACTCGAGGGGTGTAGTTGATTGTGTGGAACAGGCGATGCTTTGCCTGTGCGCGAGCATGTTTCCGTGCAGAGGAGATGGACTGGACGGAAGGAGGCGCATCTTGAGGAACTGGGGTGCTGCGTCCACTAGAGGACAAGACAGGATCAGCATTGCACTTGGACAGTTAGGGGAGGTCGAGGAAGGGGGAAAGAGAGAGAGAGAGAGAGCAGGAGGTGGTCGAACCTAGAGATGGCCGAGGGTGGAAAGGGGTCGGGGAAACCATTCGAACCATGGCTACCGTTGCGCAACACATCTGGCAGTGGCCTGGTCGGTCTAGGGCGTAGGAGGTTTCCCTCGGGATTCAATGCTCGCGCGGCCATGGATAGCGACCTGGGAGTCTCAAGGGGGTCGTAGCAGGAGGGATAGGAACTAGAAGCAAACTGCAAAAGATTAAGATGGAGAACTGAGAATCATAGTTTCGTGCTGTAAACAAGATCCATACCCGCGCACGAAGGCGGTGGCACCAGGATCAACAGGTATGAAAGATGATGCGAACTAAGAGGTGGTGAGTAATTGGGATGCAAGGTCAGGAGATGTTTGTCTTGTGTGTGGTACTGGTAGATCAGGTATGTAGAAAAGTGTTCAAAAGATGTGGGAGGTGGTTGCATCATATGTATCATGAGCATTGATGCGCACCTGCACTTCGGCCTGTTTTTGCTCCTTCCTTCTTTCTGGGCCGGTGGGGCATGCCGGTTAAGGCCAACGTCAGAAATCGGGGAGCCGGAATAAGAAGAATGATAAAAATGGGGGCAAGATTGACATGCCCACGCCCAAACCCACGCCCACGACTTTCTACTGTCCAGGCACGCCTCCATTAATCCGGCAACGCCGAGTGGCCAGAGACGAGAACTGAACTGCCTTGAGTCCTTGATAGGGGATAGCGCGAGTGTCTCGATTAGGCCCCTCGGCCCTCACCCAGCCTTGGATTGTCGAGGGGTTTGTGATCTGACGTTGTCGCGAACTGGAGAAAGGTCCAATCTGCACTGAACGGCTCCTTCCCACCTCCCTTGGTAGTCCTCTATGCATAATTAAAAGTCCACGTAATATCAATCATCCAATAATACAGCTTACAGCTTACAGCCTAAGCCTTTTAGCCCACAGTGTCTCTTCGCACACCGAGGATGGAGATATCCCCTCAGATACGAGATACGAGACCTTCCGGATGTACCAACTAATCGAAGACGAAACACATTGCCCAGGGTTCGATTGAGTAATCATCAAGCAGAAAGCCTTTGACCTGATCTCGACTACTGCCTTCGTACCAGAAAAGTTTGCTAACCGTGACAAGATCTCTGGAGCATAGAGGAACTCAGCTCTACATTATGTCGAGATCGAGCTGCAATATCAACATAATAATATTGCCAAGCGAGGAATTTAATCTTGAAGTTCATCAACAAGTTTAAGAATAGGGCATGAGTGGATGATGTAGAGCTGGCAATCAGACATGGCACTAATGATTCCAGCCGACACATTTCTTTTGTTGACACAGCATCGAATCCCGTGTAGCTTACCCAAATCACTTTCTCGCAAGTGACTGGTCCAGTGATAATGCGCTTCGCTGGTCGAGCACTGTGCTGTTGATGCCCCAAGACTATGATTGGCCGGCTTTTGAGCGGCATGATATGACTCTCAATACGGCCAAGTGGTCTTGGCACTCACTTGAACCCCGATTCTTAGGAAACCGATTTCATGAAAGACACTTCAGCATTATCATCACCAGTGTCCCATCAACACCTCCTTTCAAGCCAGCAATAGTCCGGCCACTCGCGTTTTGCATCCTCTTGATTTGTTGACGACGTTGCTGATTTGCCACTATGGATTCATGATATCATCGTCGAAACCAGCATGATCGTACCAAACCGCGCCCCCCTGCTCATGACATTCTGATCTCTCCCTGCGCCCCCACCGAACGGGGATTCCTCCACCATGACTTCCCGTGCGTGTCTGCTCTCTGACTGTTGGTCTACTCATGATACTGACCGGCCTAAAGTCAAACAGTTTATCCGCAACGTTCGAGCCTCCAAGACTATTGCAGACGAGCGCGCCGTTGTCCAGAAGGAGAGTGCCGCCATTCGTGCCAGTTTCCGCGAGGAGTCCGGCGACTCCAACGTCAGGTATGATCATAATTGCCTCAAGATGTCTCTGTTCGAGTCTGACCTGCATTAGGCGGAACAATGTCGCCAAACTACTCTACCTCTTCACACTTGGAGAACGTACCCATTTCGGCCAGATTGAATGTCTCAAACTTCTCGCCTCCCCTCGCTTTGCCGACAAAAGATTGGGATACCTCGGTACAATGCTTCTACTCGACGAGAATCAAGAAGTCCTGACTCTGGTTACAAACTCATTGAAAAAGTGCGACATCAGCCGTTCTACTCCTCCCCTGCCCCGCCGCAGCCACACTAACATGAGCCAAATAGTGACCTCAACCACTCCAACCAGTACGTGGTCGGCCTAGCTCTGTGCACCCTCGGCAACATTGCCTCTGTCGAAATGTCCCGAGACCTATTTCCTGAAATCGAAAACCTCATCTCCACTGCCAATCCTTATATCCGTCGGAAAGCCGCCCTCTGTGCAATGCGAATCTGCCGAAAGGTTCCTGACCTGGCCGAACACTTTCTCGAAAAGGCAAAACTTCTCCTACAGGACCGAAACCACGGTGTCCTCTTATGCGGGCTCACTTTGATCACGAGCATGTGCGACGCAGACGAAGCCGAAGGTGGCGAAGAGGGCGTGGTCGACATGTTCCGCCCTGTGGTCCCACATCTCGTGCGGACACTCAAGAGCCTGACCAGCTCAGGCTATACGCCGGAACACGATGTTTCTGGGATCACCGATCCCTTCCTCCAGGTCAAGATCCTGCGCCTTTTCCGCACCCTCGGCCGAGGAGACCCCGCAACCAGTGAACAGATGAATGACATTCTTGCACAAGTAGCTACCAACACCGAGTCGACCAAGAATGTGGGCAACGCCATCTTGTACGAGGCCGTGTTGACCATTCTCGACATCGAGGCTGACTCTGGCCTAAGAGTTTTGGGGGTCAACATTCTGGGCAAATTCTTGGCCAACAAAGACAACAACATCCGATATGTGGCCCTCAATACCCTGGTCAAAGTGGTGGCAATTGAGCCGAATGCAGTGCAGAGACATCGCAACACCATCCTCGAGTGCTTACGGGATCCCGACATTTCCATTCGACGAAGAGCGCTAGACCTGAGCTTCACCTTGATCCGTGGCGACAACGTTCGCGTACTTATCCGGGAACTCCTCGCCTTCTTGGAAGTGGCGGATAATGAGTTCAAGAACGCCATGACTCTCCAGATTGGCATTGCCGCAGATCGATATGCTCCCAATAAGAGGTGGCACATCGACACCATGCTGCGCGTAATCAAGCTTGCCGGAAATTATGTCAAGGAACAAATTCTTTCATCATTTGTGAGACTGATTGCCACGTCGCCGGACCAGCAGACATACTCTGTTCAGAAATTGTATGCTGCGCTCAAGGCCGACATTACCCAGGAAGCCCTGACTCTGGCTGGAGTGTGGGTGATTGGGGAATATGGAGATGCACTCTTGCAGGGCGGAGCGTACGAGGAAGAGGAACTGGTCAAACAAGTTCAAGAGAGCGACATTGTGGATCTGTACACGACGATCCTGAATTCCACCTACGCAAATCAGATCGTGACCGAGTTCATCGTCACATCGGCGATAAAATTGACGACAAGAATGTCGGACCCTGCACAGATTGAAAGGATACGACGCCTGATGCAATCGCGAACATCTGACCTCAGTGTCGAGATTCAACAGAGAGCAGTGGAATACGGAAACCTCTTTGGGTACGATTCCATACGTCGAGGAGTGCTGGAGAAGATGCCACCTCCGGAAATCAAGGAAGAACAACGAGTTCTCGGAGAAGCGGCGAAGCCGGCGGGCGGAAGGAAGAAGGCTTTGAAATCCAAGACGCACGGCAAGGTGGCCAAGACGAACGAATCCGACATGCTGCTAGATCTGATGGGCGGTTCAGACATGCCAACAGTGGACGCGAAGGCGACGTTGAATGGGCAGCAACAGACGGCCGATCTGTTGGCCGATATTCTGGGGACTGGAACCTCGGCATCGAGTCCTCCACCGCAGACTCTGGGCAATACAGAATCAATCATGGACTTGTTTGGCGGCTCTGCACCAAAATCCAGCACACCGGGGCCATCAGGGCCACAGGTACACCCGGCATACAACAAAAACGGCCTGACGATGACGATGCAGGTATCTCGAAGTGGAGGGACTGCGCAGATCTTGGCTCGCTTCAAAGGCCAGGACGCATTGGGTCATTTCACTGGAGTTGGCCTACAGGCTGCGGTGCCCAAGAGCCAGAAGCTGACACTACAAGCGATCAACAAGAGCAGTTTGAGCGGCGGGGATGAGGCGACTCAGGCCATGAAGATTGTTGCTGCATCAGGGGTAAGTCGTTTGAAATTGATTGTGTGGTTATCTGGCTGGACTGACGTTGGTTGACAGGCATTACCGACCAAACTGCGCCTGAGGCTCAAAGTGTCGTATGCGAAAGATGGAGGCCCGGGGATAACGGAACAGGTCGACTGGACCGAGCCTTGATCCATGGGTGTCCTGGTGGTAACTCTGAAGAGGCACAGCACCGCATTACGATGTTCCATCTTCAAAGGAAAAGGCACAGCACTCAAGACATGTATCTTTCATAGCATCGAATCAAGCAGATGTGATATTTGACGTGTCACGGTAGTCTTGCCTGTCCATGTGGGAATTTAGCCATGACAGGACCTTGGGCCACGACCTCATTCGGTCCAGTCTCGGACAACAGTACGGTACACATTGGGTTGGTACGCGAGAGGGCTCTGATCTGGTCCGACTTCCACCACACGGCCAACAGCCCTTTTCACACTCCACCAGACAAGCTGGCCATCGCAAAGTGTTGACGACTCGCCGTCGCAGGCAAAGGGTTCTCTGGTGGTGCGGAAAGAGTCCGCCTGCGGATGCCTTGATTGGCGGACCTTTCATGTTGCTCCTTCCGCAAAGATTCTTCCTTGGCAGCTCCCCCACATTGTGCCATTATTCGCCTGTGCCGCTTTTGCTTGCCCCATCACTAATTGGTGAATCTCGCAGTCTCTCATTGGACCATCTGCCACTCCAACTTCATGGCGGAAGTCGCCCGATGCAATGTGGCAAGAAAGTAAATCTTGTTAAAGCATATTCCAACTTCACCGTCCCGCCATGTATGATTTGTATCAATCGGCAAATCCAGTACGTACGCGGCTCATGCTCACGGTGGGATGCATATGAATTCATAGTCTCCTATGTCCTGAGCATTGACAGCATCCATCCCAACACAAGCTGGAGCATACTCGGTCTTGAACATCTCGATCTCCTCCCAGCCCTGATTGATAACTTGACTTCATAAACTGCCTTGACTGCTCTGTCAACCCTAGTCGCTAGCAGGCAAAGATGCTTCTCCCAATCCTCATCTACTCCATCCCCGCCATCCTGGTCTACGTTCTCATTAGGAACTACCTTCTTCTTCCCAACACCATTCCTGGCCCCTTCCTTGCTCGCTTCACCAACCTCTATCGACTCTTGCTGGTCTCCCTTCGCTCCCCACACGAGCATCATCTCCGTCTTCATCGTCAATTCGGCCCCGTCGTGCGACTAGGCCCCAACAACGTCTCCGTCTCTGGCTCGTCCAAGTACGTCACTCAGATCTATGGCATTGGCAAGGGTTTCGTCAAGTCAGACTTTTACTCGTGTTTTCAAAATGTCGTGAATGGAAGACGTGCGGCCAGCCTTGTCGCCATGACTGACGAGACTGAACATGCCAAGTCCAAACGTCTCATTGCCCATGCATATAGCCTGAGTATATTGGTTGAGTACGAAGAGCTCGTCGATCGCACCATTCAAGTATTTCTCGCCACTCTCCAAGAGAGATTCTGCCTGCCAGAGCCAGCTTCTCCCACCTCCTCAACCTGTACTCGTCTGAGCTCACCCACTCTCGATCTCTGCCAATATCTACAATTCTTTGCCTTTGATGTCATTGGCGAGCTCACCTTCTCTCACCGTCTCGGCTTTATTGAATCCGGCACCGATGTCGACGGCATCATGGCAGCAATCGGTGCTAATTTCGAATACTTTTCTGTTCTCGGACAGATGCCCTGGTTGGATGAGGCAATCTTGGGTAAAAACCCTATCTATGTCAGATACTTTCGCAATCCTGTGAGCTCGCCCATCCTCCGTTTTGCTCAGAGATTGTTGCGTCAAAGGCTGGCCGAGGTAGACAGCGAGAAATCCGACGGAACTCCCAAAACTTCCAAGAGTGACACTCAAGTCAGCAATCTCAGCTCGAGCGTGTCTCTCAATCGTCCAGACTTCCTCTCCCGTTTTCTCAAGATTCAACATGAGCAGTCTATTCCCTCATCCGCCAATCCCTCCTCTGACGACAATTCGGAAGCCCTTATGTCCGACTCTACCATCCTCTCTAACCTTTTCATGAACATCAACGCAGGCAGCGATACCATTGCCAGCACCCTACGTGCCATCTTCTATCATCTTCTCAAGAACCCCAGTTCACTCGAGGCCCTCCGTGCCGAACTCGATGCGGCTGCAGATGCCAGCACCATCACCACACCCTGCCCGACGTGGGCCCAGACCCAGAACCACCTACCCTACCTATGCGCGACAGTCAAGGAGGGACTAAGACTGAACCCCGCCTTGAGTCTGCCTTTGGAGAGAGTCGTTCCTTCGGGGGGTCTGACCCTCGTCCATGACGAAGAAGACATGGATACATCCCCACAAGTCCCTCCGACGGCTACCTCCACACCACAAGCACCACCTCCCACAAAGTATCAATCAACCTATCTCCCGCCTGGGACAATTGTCGGCATCAATCCTTGGGTCCATCACCGTCACACCACTCGCACGTTTGGTCATGACGCCGACACGTGGAACCCCAACCGTTGGCTCACCAATGAAGAAAAGTCTACCAAGAAGATGGAACACGCCATGTTGGCCTTTGGAGCCGGCAAGAGGAGTTGTCTTGGCAAAAATATCGCTTTACTGGAGCTACACAAGGTCGTTGCCGCTCTAGTACTTCGCTTCGACATAGAGTTGGTCAGCCAGGATAAGGACTGGACAGTCAGAAACGCATGGGCTCTCAGCCAAACAGGCATAGATGTTCGAATTCGGAGGAGGCAATAAGGATACTTATCGATAACGTTCACTGTGCAAGCTGAAGACAAATCGGAAGTTATACACCTGGCAACGCACGCGACAGCCGATAAATACCTAGACACACAAAGCGCGTATTGCTCAAGGAGACGAATGCATCAATTGGCAATACGCCAAGATGGCGAATGCCAGAGAAGAAACCGCGAACGTCATTGTCGGCTTGAGTCGAGCAAAGGGTGTATTGACGTGTAGTCACGGCCGCTTATCAAATCATACCGGATAACCAGGCACTGAGAACCCGGATTTGATTACCGAGTGGCTGCATTATCACAGGACATCACAATGCAAGCAAGCGCTGTCGGCGCGAGAGTGCGATAGTGACACTGATATGAATTTCTCTATGGAGGACTAACTTATCACAGTGCAAGCAAGCGCTGTCGGCGCGAGAGTGCGATGATGATATGAATTCCTCTATGGAGGGCTAACTAAGGTGGCGAGGCACTGAGAGAGTCAAAATAGGTTGACTGTGGCCTCGTCACGTGATTACAAGGCTTGGCGCCTAAACTAACTAAACAACGATGAACGTGCGAACCGTGACAGACTCACTACTCCTTCAATAGGAGAAGAAAGAGAGTCAGGCAAGAAGAGGTCATGCAGAGAGAGATTTAACCTAGTCAGTCAAGCCCAACGGAGTACTTGAAAGTTCATCCAGTTAGTTCAATCAGTTCAGTCAGTGAGCTTAGCGAGTTAAGTGAGTTCATAAAGAGAGATTTCTATTGTATTGAGGCGATAGGAGGATTAGTTAGTTAGTTTGTTTTCGTTCTAGACTAGGGAGGACTAGCGATGCTGAGTCATCATCCGAGGACATACACCCCCTTCAACAGGAGGATATCGAGGAGGGAAATCAAGCAAGCAAGCAAGCAAGTCATTCATCAGACAGTCCAACAATATTCATTCATTCAGTCAAGCCCTAGTCGAGTCATTCATCCAGTTCAGTCAGTGAGTTTAGTGAGTTCAGCGAGCAAAACGAGAAGAGCGAAGAGAGAGAGAGAGTCTATCTCAATAGCCACACCTAGCGACGAAAGCTTCATTGATTCTCTCTTGTTTTTGGTTTGGCGTTGTTCCCGCGCGCCGGAAACGTGAATATCCTCCTCTACAGTTTGCTGCTGTAATTGTTCAAAATTATGTAGGGTCAACTAGCCTAGCCCTAGGCGGGGCCTTGAAGGACAACCAGCTCTGCAGATCGCCCCTCTTCGCCGGGGTCAACTGGCCGCCCCCTCTTGAGGGTCAACTAGCCCAAACAAGCCATCATCCTGCAGGCTCAATCAGCCT